TTTTATTATGAAATAAATTCAAAATACAGAATAGAGATTTTATATATATATGATATATATATATATCATATATATATATCATATATATACTGGAGTTTGAACTCAGGGTCTACACCTTGAGCCACTCTACCAGCTCTTTTTGTCTGGGCTGGCTTCGAAGCGTGATCCTCTTGATTTCTGCCTCCTGAGTAGCTAGGATTACAGGCATAATCCTACTAGATGTATTTCTTGGTAGATGTTATTTCCATGCACAATTTTTTTGTTTTTACTACATTCGTATGTATCTGTAAAGTATGCAACCTTGCATATTTTATGGTATGAGAGTGTTGATATCATGCTATTCATATCTCATCATAATTTTTTAAAAGCCCAGTATTATATTTTTTGCTATTTAGTGTGTTAGAGCTCTAGCTGAATAATTTTCACAGATTAGTATGCCTATCTTATGAATATATACAATTTAAGTGTTGATGGATATTCAAACGGTGTGTATTTTCATTATAAACAAAAATATTGCAGCTGAACATTCTTTTGCAAATTTCTTTATATGCATGTGAGAGTTTCTCTATGGACTGTCCTTAGAGTGAAAGTATTGAGTCATGGGATAGATATATCTTCTCCACATTGCAAGATATTGCTATACTGCTCTCCAAAGTAATTTTTCTTATTTGCACACTCATCAGCACTCACAAGTGGTCTTCTAGTTACTTCACATCCCAGCCAGTAATTGGTACCATGAAATGATATCTCTTTTTGGCTTTAATTTATATTTTCTTAATTACTAGCAGGGTTGAGCGTCTTTTGCTAGGCTTATTGACATTTCCTCTCCTGTAGATTGCCTTTTATATCTTTGCTCATAGGGAAACTTTGCTCTTTTCCCTTATGATTTGAAATGGTTCTTTTTATGTGATCTCCATAGTAATCTTTGTGTGTGTGCGTGTGTTACTGGGGTTTGAACTCAGGGCTTCACACTTGCTAGGCAGGTGCTCTATTGCTTGAGCCACACCTCCAGCTTTTTTTACTCTGCTTCTTTGGAGATAGGGTCTCACTTTTTGCCCAGGATGGCCTGGACTGTGGTCCTCTTATTTTATGCTTGTCCCCATAGCTGGGAGGATAGGAGTGTACTACCACTTCCAGCTTTTTTTCACTGAGATGGTTCTCCAAACTTTTTTGTTCATGTTTGGCCTGGAACAAGGATCCTCCTGATTTCAGTCTCCCAAGGAGCTAGACTTACAGGCATGAGCCACCAGCACCTGGCTCATGTAATTCTTTTATTGGTTATATGTATTGCAAAATCTTCTTCCAACCTGTGTTCACCTTTTAATTTTGTTGATGGAATCTTTGTATACTTAATTTTAAATTTGTATATCTCTGAATTTAGTAATCTTTTTCTGTATGCACTGTGATTTTTCTGTTGTATTTTCCCCAATCTTGAGGTCAGATAGTTTCATTTTTCATACAAGAATGTTCAATCCATGTGGAATTTACTGAATATGGTGTGAGGTAGAGTGTGATTTGATACTTTTTCCTTTGTCACCAGTTTCAGATCCATTCATCAAGTTGTCCTTTTTCTTCCCACTGATACACATGCAGCATCTCTAATTTATCATTTCCATATACTTGATATCATGTTTCAGGGCCCTCTATGCTCTTTCCTGGGTCATTTTGTGTAGCTGTGTCAATAACATTGCAAATAATTTCTATAGCTTCATAATAAGACAATGCCTCATATGTTGTACAAGTCATGTCCTGTATAAGGATACCAGGATGAAGAAATAGGTAGAGTATGTAATCCAAATCCAGCTTGGTACACCTTGCCTGTCTGTGTCTGCCTTTAAGGAAGGGCACATTTTTCTGATTCACAGGAAGACACTGTGAGCTGGATAAACTCTGTGCTTCCAAGCTTGTATCCCCTCTTTCCCACCCCTGCCAGTGGCACTGTTTCTTCCTCTGGGAAAGTGATCAATAAAAGCTAATAAAGGCCCTGAATCAATTTCTTATTGGGCATTCTTCCACCTTGTCTTTCTTCAAAAATGCCAGGGCTAGTATTATAGGTCCTTTGGTCTTGGTGAAATATATATATATTTATATATATATATATATATATATATATATATATATATATATATATATATATTTGTTGAAAATTTCATTTCATTGATGTTGCACTGTGGGTTTTTTAAAAGTTATTTTGTGGAAAATTACATTTTTTGATATTTAATTACCCCATTAATTAATATGATGCATACATTTATTTATGCCTTTTAATACCCTTTAGTAGGGTTTAATAATTTCTTCATGAAAGTTTTGTAAATATTTTGTTAGATTTATTCCACATATACATATGAATTCACATGTTAAAACTATGTCACGGCTGGGAGCCAGTGGCGGATGCCTGTAATCCTAGCTACTCAGGAAGCAGAGATCAGTAGGATCGAAGCCAGCCAAGGCAAATAGTTCTGGAGATCCTATCTCAAAAATACCCAACACAAATAAGCAGGGCTGGTGGAGTGACTCAAGTGGTAGAGTGCCTGCCTAGCAAGTGTGAGGCCTTGAGTTTGAACTCCAGTAGTGCCAAAACAAACAAACAAACCTAAACAACTATGTCACTGTTTTTTGTGAATCTAATTTTTTAAGTTGAACATATTTTCTATCTGTTGTTTATTCTCAGTGAATTTCCTACTTAAAACCTCAATCCATTTTTCTCGTGGCTTATCTGTGGAGTGCAATACCCCATAACTTATAGGAATTTTTAAATGAAAGCTAATTGCTTTTGTCAAGTGAATCTCCGCCCCCCTCCATTTTCTTTTAGTTTATTTTTTTCTTTGAGTGCAGAAAATATAAATTTTGTGGAATCACAAATGCTAATCTTCTGTCTTTATGTTCCTAATATCAGGTTAAGTAACTATTCATATATATTTTCTCCTTAAAGTACTTTAACTTTTCAGTCCAGCTGGAGCTTGCTTTTGGTGTTTGCTGGAATTAGTAAGCCCAGTTTTATTTTTTTTCTCCCTGGAAGTTAGGCAGATGTTCTAACAATATTTTATTCTCCCCCGAACACTGACTTGATTTCAAATTTGTGCCTGTAGACTTCACTTTTAGTTTTATTAACTAAGCAGTTAATAAGTCTTGGGATTTCAATCAAGTAAACATTTTTAAAAGCTCAGAGCATACTTTGCCCTACCACTGCAGTAGCTCATGAGAAAATGTTCCTAGTAGCAGACTTGGAAGGGAGAAACTAATGCAGAGGAACAGGAAGGGAGGCATTAAGGGAGAATTCCTAGAAATATTTGAGATACTGATTTAGTACTCATAAGTTGAGATAAATACATAAACTACTTAGAAATGTATATGTAGCTCTGATAAAGATCATAAAGGTGAAAGTTCTCATTATGGAAAATTGTATATAGAGGATAGTACAATAGCTCACATGAATTCTTCACCTATTTTGAACAATTAGCAATTAAAAAGTTATTATTTCATCTCTATACCCACTCATTTCACCTCTTCCCCACCATTGGATTACTTTGAAGCGAATTCTAACCATTTTGTCCTTTTGACTGTAAATATTTTTATATGTTTCTGTAAAAGATAAAAACTCTTTGCAACAACAAACATATTTGTGATATCCAGGGTGAGTTTGAATTTGCTGATTACTGTAGCTCATTGTGATTAAGTGGTAGAGTGTGAAGAACCTTCTACCTACTGTAAGGAGATCTATCTAGCTTTAAGTCTTGGCTGAACTTCCCACTTGTGTGACTTCAACAAAGCCCTTCGTTTATCAACTTCAAATCTGCTTCTCATTGATAAAGGATACAGAGTAGCATTCTTACCATTTCAGGATCATCATCAGGATGATGTTAACAGAGGTAGTGGGAAAAAAATCCTAAAATTATGAAGTTCTAATTTCCAGTCTAATTCCTCTCCTTGCAAATGACCTTAAGGACACCTCATCCAAAGGTAATTGACAGTTTGCCTGAGCCTTGTCTACAGTGTCTTTCCTGAGGTTTCTCTTCATGAAAAAAGCATCACTTTGGCACCCTCCCCCAACCTCCTACCCTGTGCTGGGTGTCAAATCCGGATCCTCCTGCAAGCAAGCCCTCTACCACTGAAACATTTTTTTAACTTTAGATAGAGGTCCTGCCATCCATATGTATAAGTAGTTTTAAATTCTAAGGGAACAATATTTGGATGACTTCTTCCACCTCATTCATTGGCCCTGTCTTTAGCTCTGTTCTAGCACCGAGATCTGATTACTCTTTGCTGTGTCCAAACTCCCAGGCTCCTGCTTTGTTTAAACTCGAATTTTCAAAAGTTAATTTAATGGCCTTTGGGCAACTCGAGCTTCAGAAAACTAACAGGTTCCCCTGCAAAAGCCACAACAATCAGAAAAGAATGTAGCTGGGCACATTTTGATTGCTAAAGTCTCCATTCTTTGAGGGTGTGTGTGTGTGGGAGGGGGAGTTACTCAGCTCCCTATAGGGGGAACTCTAAAGACAATGTTTTCCTAAAAGGGGCCAACTGGGCGGTGTCCTCCTTTTCCCAACGCCCTGATTTCTATTCTTAGATCTCGGTGGCTTTCATTTTTAATCTTCGTGGTTCCCAGACCTTCGGTGGGGTTGCAGAGAGAGGCCTGGGTTGGCAGGGCTCAGGCCTGGAGACTTTGGCGGAGACACTTGGTCACAGTTTCTTCCTGCAGGACTCCCGCAGCAGCCAGTGGGATCTGGTCAGAGGAGGCGGTGCTCGCCAGTCATCGGGGCTCTGCGGGCTTGGGGGCCACGGTCACGGTCACGGTCACGGTCACGGTCATCCCCGCCCGCTCTAGCCGCGCCTGGGTGGCTGCTGCCGCTCCACCGGGTGGACGCTCGCGCTGGGCGCAGAGCTGGGTCTGCGGCCTGGGTGGGGAGGAGGAAGCCGGGGAGCGGGAGGATCAGGAGGAGGACCAGGAGGACGACCGCAACCAGGAGGAGGGCAGCGCAGGGCGGGGAGCCGCCGCCTTCCTCATAAACAGCCCGGCGTGGGAGCCGTGGGCGGGCGAGGCGGAGAGCGGCGCTCCCTGCCAACCGCGGGCATTGGGGTCTGGAGCAGCGGCCACCATGGCCAGTGGCAGCTGTCAGGGGAGCGAGGAGGAGGAGGAGGAAACTCTGAAGAAGTTGCTAGTCAGGCTGAACAATGTCCAGGAAGGAAAACAGATAGAAACGCTGGTCCAGATCCTGGAAGATATGCTGGTGTTCACGTACTCAGACCACGGTAATCCTTTGCAAAAGAATCCCTTCCCTCCCCTACCCCCCATTCCCCCCCCCCCCCCCCCCCCCCCGCCTTTCCACTTTTGCAAACTTTCTCCCCTCCCTTTGGAGATAGCTGCCCAGCCTTAGACTTGGGAAGCGCGGACTCCTGGCTTCTTCCTCCAGGGCAGAAAGGAGATGGGAAATTCCAGGAAGATCTTGAGCACTCACCTCTTTTTGCTTTTCTCCCCCTTTCAGACTTAAAAGCGATATTGCGATGCTGTGTGGGTGTGACTTGGGTTCTTTCCCCCCTCCCTCTTTTTGTGTTTTTTTCCAGCCTCGAAGTTATTTGAAGGCAAAAATTTTCACGTGCCTCTGTTGATCGTCCTGGACTCTTACATGAGGGTCGCGAGTGTGCAGCAGGTAGGGTCCTCGCTTCACCCCTTCCCCCTTCGTATGTGTGTGTTGAGGTTACATACTCCCCAGTTCTTGGTTATTTCTGAGATTTGGTCTGAGGAACTGCGGACTGTGATTTTAAGATGTCAAATCTATAGCCAACGTTAACTGAGTCCAAGGGCCTACTCCATGTTCCCTGACAGTCTTGCCAGTGGTCTCTTAATCAAGCTGATTGACAGAATATGGACTGTTAGGAACAGATCCCAAATAAGTTGAGGTTCAATTCTGATACTGGAAGGATGAGTTCAGTAGTGTTTACATCAAACTATTCTGAGGATTTCCTCAGTGTGCTGTGTGACCTAGATAGTCACTATTGCGAATAGTTTGGGAAAAGTGAATAATTAACAGTAATAGGACACAATTAAGTAACTGGCAAACTCTCATAGGTTTCAGCCTTTTTTTTTTTTTTCTTAATTTGAAGACAGAGTTCCACCCTTCAGTCATAGTGTACCTGTAGTATCTAAAGAAAGTGATGTTTTATGATTTCCTTATGTGTTTATATTTATACTTTGTACCTGATGTCACGAATGTAAATGAATGTAAAAAGTGTAACTTTTAGGAAAATTCTGAAATCTGAGAAATAACTTGGATATAGTTATAGATGATAAGTAAGAATGACTTACAGTTAAGACAAAATTACTACTTAAGGTGATGACTTCCTTTGGGGCATTTTGACATTTTGGAAACTGAAATCAGTTTTTCATTTGCATAACTAAGTCACACAGAGGACTAGTATTATGCTTTGACCTCTATGGAGTGCAGTGAAAAGTACTTTTTTTTTTTGGCAGTACTGGGGTGTGACCTCATGGCCTAGTGCTTGCTAGGCAAGCCTTTACCATGTGAACCACACTTTTAGTCCTTTTGCTTGTAGTATGTTTTCAGATAGGGTCTCATGCTTTGACCTGGGCTGGCCTGGGAGGGCAGCACCTACCTCTGCCTCCTGAGTAGTTGGAATTCAGGTATGAGCCCTAAACCGGTGTTTCTTCGTATTTACTGATTTTTTTGTGTGTTGTTGGTTTGAACTCAGGGCCTCATGATTGCTGCTCAGGTGCTCTACACTTGAGCAAGGCCTTAGCTCTCTAATATTTCTCAACACTCACTTGAGAGTCCAGACATATGTAAGAATTATCTCAAAGGCTAGTCTAGTTTAGTCTCTCTCTTTATATTTACACTATCTCTGTAACTAACCAGCTTCATCTACACAGGTGAACCATATATCTACCCTTTTTTGCTTTTTTTTTGGAAATTAAAGTCTCACTATGTAGCCCAGGCTGGCCTGGAACTCAGGATCCTCCTGTCTCAGCCTTCTGAGTGCTGGGATTATAGGTATGTACTACCACATCCACCTCTAATTTCTTTTCTATAAGGGCATTGTTTTTACTTTTTTCAACTGTAAAACATTCTCCATCTGACTTGATTTTCAGACTGCTCTCAAACAAGAGCAAGAGGAAGATGGAGGAATGATAAAGACACTGTTCTTTTTAGCACTTATAGTCTGAATTTTGCTCAGGGAATCTGAGTCACATTTCAGGCACTGGCCTGTTGTGCTCATGGCTCTCCACCCACACCATCCTTCTTACTTGTCTCAAAAGTGCCTGATTCTGGATACCTCCATTCCCTGTCTCTGTGCTTGGTAGAATCACTACTGCTTAGTACCACTGAGGACAACTGGACCCTGGGGAGGCTTTGGTTTGCAGATCCAGGGGAGTAGACAGCCAGACTTGAGACTCCAAAGGAGCCTGAAACACACTAACTACCTAATTTTTTTTTTTTTCAGTTTTCAGGATCGAAATTCAGGGTCTTGCACATACTAAGCAGGCATTCTGCCACTGAACTACATCCCCAGAAACCTTAATTCTTAATTTTAGAAACTGCCCAAATTTGGACACACTTCTCTAGATTACTTATGAATGTCACTTAAAATCCTTGCCCAGAGGGGACCAGAGGAAGAGTATGATGGAAAAGAAGTAGTAGTCTTTTTGAATGTTAATTTTGTGGAACAGAATTATTACTTTCAGCATTATAGGTACATGTCTGCAAAGGGCATTATGTATATTATATCATTTGATTCTTGCTAGAATCCCAGAAATCTTACTGGATATTTTACCCTCACTGTGGCTTAGTAAGAGTAAGTAGCCCCTTGGTGATAGGGGCTGGTGATAGGGCAGGATTCAGGCCTTCTCATGCCTTCCACGTTTCTTTCCATCAAATACAACACTAGCTGCTGAATTACTTGCTTACTTGTGTAAGCAAGTAAAAGATATCTTGGTTTGGTACACATACATCAATTTTAATTATCATTGGTCTTAACAAAGGGATGTAGAAAGGAGTCTCTCTCCACTAAGATTTTAATATGCCACTTAAAAGTAGTTTCTTCCTTTAAATGTCTTCACATCATTGGGGTCATTAATATAGGCATCCCTTAATATACCCAATTATATACCCAACTAGCTTGTGAAGAATATGAGTTAAGGAGTGTTCTCTTCAGAAATAAATGTTAGGTTTTGTTTCCAGAAATCATTTAACATGATATTCCAGCCTCTGAATTTTTACTTTCAAATTTTAAAAAATATTTTGTTGGTGCTTGTTTGTAAATGACAATCTTTAGAGAATTGGTGGTTAGACTGCAGTATACCTTTCTCTTCCTGCCACTCATTTTCTCTGTTCCTCAATTTTACTTCTCGATATCCACACAATTCCACCCTGTGAAGAAGGGGAGCAAAATAAATGAAAGTGGCTAAAATTTTCTTTACCCCTTGACTCCTTTCCCATTGTGCATGAATGAGATGCTGAAGTTTAAAGAATAATTATAATAAGGAAAACTGCCAATGTAATTACATCAATAAATTCAGGATAGGAACTTTGTCTCTTTGAGAGATAAGCTTTTAATTGAATAGATTAATGGATCAATTGTTACCTCTGCTTTGTTGCTGGAGATTCTATTTAATTATAGAAGCTCCACTCCGTGACTGCAAGCTCAGCTCCTGAATCTTTTTTGCAAAGCAATTATTGATGCTGCAGCCTTACCAACCCAAACAAAACAGGTTTTCTCCTTGAGTCAGCCGTACAGGTATAGACTTGAGTTCAGCATCCTATGTGATCCCTCCCCTTCCCCACCAGAAACTCTACAGGATGTTATTTTCTTAAATACTCATGGGGAAAGTGTCTCCATATAGTTTGTGAAAGCTCAAAAATAGATGGTTTCTATGACAGCTGTATTGTCACTGTCTGTTCCGCTTACATGGAGGAGTATGTCCTACTTAAATATAGCTGTAAGAAATTGCTGCCTTTTAAAGCAAATTAAAATTATATAAAAAGAAGTAGTGGCAAAAAAGTAATTCATGCTTAATCTGAAAAGTAATATTGTAAAGTGATCTTGCAGATTTTTATCTTTGTGAGGTACCTCTTGTTTATTCCTGTAAGCAAGAAACTTGTGCCTCTGTTCCTATTGAACATATAAAAATTTCTCACCTTGTCATTCAGCTCTCAGCATCCTTCAACTCCACTTATGCATCCAGTATTACCCAGCAACAGTCTCCTCCCCTGTACCAGTCTTCTTTTTTTTTTTATTCATTTATTTACATGTGCATATATTGTTTAGGCCATTTCTCCCCTCTGCCTCCCCACCTTGCCCCGCCTCCTTCCTCTCTCCCTCACCCCTCCTTGCTTCCAGGCAGAACATGTTCTGCCCTAATCTCTAATTTTGTTGAAGAGAAGACATAAGCAATAATAAGAAAGACAAAGCACTTTTGCTAGTTGAGATAAGGATAACTATACAGAGAGATTCCTATCATTGCTTCCATGTACAAATGTGTTACAACCCAAGTTGATTCATCTCTAACTGACCTTTTCACTAGTTCCTGATCCCCTTCTCATATTGACCTCTGTCACTTAGGTTTCTGTATTAGTTCCTCTGGAGTGGGGACATCAAACACTTTCATGTTTTGGGTTTCCTACCTATCCCCATACCTTTGGTATGTGTTCTCTCCTTGTCACGTGACCCAAGCCCGACAACATTGCTGTATTGCCCTAGATCTAAAGTCCACATATGAGGGAGAACATACGATTTTTGGTCTTCTGAGCCTGGCTAATCTCACTCAGAATGATGTTCTCTAGTTCCATCCATTTACCTGCAAATGATAAGATTTCATTCTTCTTCATGGCTGAGTAAAATTCCATTGTGTATAGATACCACATTTTCTTAATCCATTCATCAGTAGTGGAGCATCTTGGCTGTTTCCATAACTTGGCTATTGTGAGTAGTGCTGCAATAAACATGGGTGTGCAGGTGCCTCTGGAGTAACCTGTGTCACAGTCTTTTAGGTGTATCCCCAGGAGTGGGATTGCTGGACCATATGGTAGATCTATGTTTAGATTTTTAAGAAGTCTCTAAATTTTTTTCCAGAGTGGTTGTACTAGCTTGCGTTCCCACCAGCAGTGTACAAGGGTTCCTTTTTCCCCCACATCCTTGCCAACACATGATGTTGGTGGTGTTTTTGGTGATGGCTATTCTAACAGGGGTGAGGTGGAATCTTAGTGTGGTTTTGATTTGCATTCCCTTTATGGCTAGAGATGGTGAGCATTTTTTCATGTGCTTTTTGGCCATTTGAATTTCTTCTTTTGAGAAAGTTCTGTTTAGTTCGGTTACCCATTTCTTTATTAGTTCATTGATTTTAGGAGAATTTAGTTTTTTAAGTTCCCTGTATATTCTGGTTATCAATCTGTTGTTTGATGTATAGCTGGCAAATATTTTCTCCCACTCTGTGGGTGGTCTCTTCAGTTTAGAGACCATTTCTTTTGTTGTGCAGAAGCTTTTTAGTTTTCAGTCTTCTTACCATTTAGGACTCTGCTTTCCTCTCAACTCATCGTTTTAGAAGGTTCTTTTGAAATCTGTCTCAAATTCTACTTCTTCCTTATATCCTTTGAGTAATTGTAGCTTACAGTGAGTCTTACTTTCAGAGTTCATATTATATTGGTATTTATCATACACCATACTTAAGCACCAAAATTAATTAATTTACATGCTATACTTCTATGCATTTTCTGGTTTGTTTATTTCTTAACCAATCAAGTATAGTTCTCAACATGGTAAAAAGAATTGAAGATACTATAAATATACAGAAGAATAGACAGTAGGAAGAGTGGGTTAAATTTAGTCTCTGGTTTGGAATCAGGACTTTGTATTTTTTTCAGGGGTCAAGAGCAATTTATATGAGTGAAGATTTATGTATTCATTTTGGGACTACTAGTGTTTGAACTCAGGGCCTTGGGCCTGCTAGGCAAGCATTCTAGCATGTGAGCCACACCTACAGTCATGACAAGAGACTTAAAACATATCAACAATTTCATATTTCATTTGGAAGTGTGAAATGAACATTTGTGGGACATCTGTGATTGCTAGGCCTCATTAGTTCATAGTTAGATATAGAGAGATGAAAAAGGGGCCATTGAGGAGTTCCACCTTCTTTCTATATCATACAGCCCTTTATTTTCCCTGCAACAGATGTAGATTCAATTATAGGACAATGCCATTTCATTTGCCACTGCTACCCTATCCCCATTACTTGAAAGCAGTCATTTCTGATAACTTACACTTTGCCACTAAAATCTCATCTCCCCCTAATTCTCCATTCCAAGTCGCATATTTTTTTTTCTTATAATTAAAATCTCAAATTCTTGGAAGAGATTCTATCAGGTAAATATATGTTTTTAAAAAGTACTAAGATGTGAGTATAGCCATTCTTGAACTTAATAATTTTGGTATGCCCTCTAAAATTATTTTTGTGTTCTATTTTAGTTTATTTTGTTTTATTTACATAATAAGCATGTCTATTTTCCTCATCGTTCAGAAATTTCATAATTTTTGTGTGTATGACTTTGAAGTAGTATGTAGTCTAAATATATATGGCTTGCTTTCATTTTCAGTAAGTATTTTAGGGAACTGTCTTATTTTAAAATAAATATTTAAAAATTATGTAATCACCTAGTCTACTAAGAATGGAGAGGTCTAATTTGATTGAATATGTTCTATTAGCATCCTCTAAAGAATGTGAATATTTTCTTTCTCATTTTCAGGTGGGTTGGTCACTTCTGTGCAAATTAATAGAAGTCTGTCCAGGTACAATGCAAAGCTTAATGGGACCGCAGGACATTGGAAATGATTGGGAAGTCCTTGGTGTTCACCAGTAAGTATGGTAGATGTATAAAAATAAACTGCATTGAATATTTACTTATTTATACACATGACAGACTTTCCCTTGATAAAGTATACTTTCAATCCAAGGTCTTCTGGTCAAATCCTTCAAAATGCAGATATTTTGCCTTGAATCAATGGTTTATAGTTACAGAGAGCTTTAAACTCAGGGATTCAAGTTAGAAAATTAACATTGATGGTAAGATGCCAGGTAACATTATTTTAATAATTTATTTCTACAATTATATGATGGTTAAGTTGTAGTTTTTTTTATCTCTACTTAAGAATTCAAACCAAGAAAAGTGTTTTACTTTTTAATAGTAGAACTGATAAAATCTACTAGTTCTTAAAGAAATGGGAACTGAAAAGTTAGTTCTGTAAGTAGCAATTTAAAAGTTTATGCCTGACTGTCTTTAAATAGCATAGTTACATGTATTCATGCATACATTTTTAGCGAGTTTAAACTATGGCTTTTGAGAAGAAGAAAAAAGAGGAAATTACCTTTCAGCACATCTGCAGTCAAGTCTTGATGGCTACATTACCAGCTCTGTTTTTGTAGTTTTCAGCATAATGACTTTTTAAATGAGTCCACTTCCTTATCCATAATTAGTTAAGAATTTTCTGAAGAAACATTTGTTTGCAGGAAAATCCTTTTCTTAACTTAGTTTCTTGACATTTAAAAACCATCTTCTGCCATTAAGTTATCTCTATGGCTAAAGCCACTTTTCTTTACCACAGAGAAGGCAATTATGAATGTATTTTGACTGGGTCTTGGTATGTAGCCTAGGCTGGCCTTAAACCCATGATCCTCCTGCCTCCAGCTCCCAAGTACTGGGATTACAGGCATGCACACATTTTTCCATTTTAAATAAATATGTGTTGCTGTTCTTCAGTTTCCATCGTCTCAATGGCATGCTTTGAAAAAAGCATATTTTCAATGAATCTGTGCTCTCATCTTCAAACTAATTTCTGAAATTCTATGAGTCAGTTCTATAGCATTTAGTGAAGAATTACCCAAATGTACCTACAATTAGTAATTGCAACTTTAAGTGTCCCTTGGTTTGTTTGAGAGTTTTCAAGATCCCCAAAGATTAGTCAATTGAGAACCTCAAGGAGTGCTGGAAAACTCATCTAGTCTATTCCAGTAGAAATCATCTGTTCACAGTAAATTTCGAGACCATTTCCACAGGGAGCATCCTTCATTTATTCATTCAATCAATTGCTCACTTGCTCATTGGTTCATACTTTCAGTTCCTTACCTTGCCAACTGGAGATCAAGTGACAAGGTTTTTGAATTTAAGCAAAGCTGTGGATGCCACCAGCATCTTCTCCCAATAATGTAAAGCCACACAACACTGGATAGAAAAGACTAGACATTACATTTTGAAACTGGCTAACACAGGTATAAAAATCCCATGGGTTTGGAATCAAAAACGAATGAATCTGAGATTCATTATATAATGTAAAATATTACTTTCTCTTTTAAGAATAGTAACAAACAGATTAGGAATGGTGGCTCAGGCCTGTAACCCAAGCTATGTGGGATGTGGAGATCTGGATGATCATGATTCAAGGCTAGCTCCCAGCAAAAAAAAGAAAAAGAAAAGTAGTAAGACTCCCATTTCAACTAATGCGAGCTGGATGCAATGGCATATGTCTGTCATCCCAGCTACTTGGGAAGCATAAGTAGGAAGATTGTATTCCAAGAACACATAGGCCTTGAGTTCAAATCCCAGGACTACCAAGAAAAAAAAGAAAAGTATCCATCAGTAACTTAAATATTTCAATGATTCTTAACTCATCTATACAAATTGATATTTTTATTAAATCTTTCTAAATGTGAACACTTCAACACACATAATGCAGAATTCATAAGTTTATGTTGCATATAAAAATGGGCTTGACCTCTTGAAGTGTACAAGCTCTTCATAATATTTGAGATATGGAGTTGGGTGAAAGTAGGTAATAACTGAACATGAGTATTTAGAGGAAAATAAGCAGTACTTACAACTAGTTACCGCTTAAGTTTTTTTTTTTTTTTTTTTTTTTGTGGTGCTGGGGTTTAAACTCAGGGTCTACACTGAGTCACTCCACCAGTCCTTTTTTTGTGTTGAGTATTTTCAGGTTCTTGTGAACTTTTTCCCTGGGCTGGCTTCAAACCTCAATCCTGCTGATCTCTGCCTCCTGAGTAGCTAGGATTACAGGCGTGAGCCACTAGTACCTGGCTTTGTTTGGTTTTTTCCTATTGCTGGGGATCAAATGCAGAACCTTGCATATGCTAAGCGAGCATTCTAACACTTAGCTACATGTTCAAGTTTCTTTGTTTTTAGTTTTGGTTTGTCCTCCCACTTTAACATATAGAGTTGGCAATTAAAGTTTATACTTATTTAATGTATGTGGCTTAATGATTTATGACACATAAATGAGAAATATTTATCACAATCAAGCTAATTAGCTAATTAGCAGTCAAGCCAAGTACTTATTTATTTATTTTCATGGTTCTGGGGATTGCACCTGGGGCTTTGTGCATGCTAGGCAAGAACGCTATCACTGAGCTGAACCCCAAGCCCGCCTGTTAAGTTTTTGTAAGCCTGTTTTAGGCTTGCAGGGAAACAAAACCATAGCAAAAAACATATGAGCTTTACTAGAGGGAAGTAAATATAATGAGAACAATAAAAATACATGTGAATAAAAAACAGTATCTATGGGCTGGGGACAAAGCTCATGGTAGAGTGCCTGTCTAACATGCATAAGGCCTTGGGTACAATCCCAACATTATGAAAAAAAAAATTAAATTTAGATATTGTAAAACCTCTAAGTATAAACTTACATTTTTATCTGCTTGCTGTTTTTAACTCCAGACTCATTCTTAAAATGCTAATGGTTCATCATGCCAATGTAAACCTGTCAACAGTTGGACTGAAGGCCTTAGATCTCCTTCTAACTTCGGGTAATACACTTACACATTTTCAAAATTGTGTCAGAAATATTTAAAATTTATTAAATGTGCTTTAATTTTGTTAGGATCATATTATAATATATTCTAAATACCAGTGATTTCCAAAACTCTTTCTGTTTCCATCTTCTCCACTCAACTTGTTTCTGTATATATTGTCTTTCAAAAATCTCATGCAATACCTTTGTTTTAAACATTATGATATTACTCTCAGATTCCTAACTCCAGCTATGCTCCCAAAATCTCATCCTGTATTTCACATTCCCACTGGCATGGTGGCCACTCATGTGCTTCCCACTATTTTATCTTTCTTCCTATATATCTTTGCTACGTTTTCTACATGTGCTAGAGTATGTGTATATAGAAAGTATATAGTGTTACTTCTCGAGTGTTTGGAAGATGCCAGCCTTCACATGTAAAATGCTTCACATGCTTTTTAAAACTTAATCCACCTTGAGATAGGTATTTTACGTCAGCTTTCAAGGTGAAAAACACTGAAACGCAGAGAAGTTGCCTTGGCTGCTAAGTGGTAGAACCAGGGTCCCATTCCACATGTCAGGTTCTTTGCCTAAAGAGGCTTCTGCCTGGAAGATAGTAGACTTAAATAAAGATTCTGAGATGGTGCAACAGCTGTGGTAGACCATTGGGGTCACATTAGGTTCTGAGAAGGGGAAAGCTGCTTCACAGGGGACCTAACCTTGACAGAGTGGGAGGAGTTTCGCTCAATGTAATGCAGGACACTCTTCCTCAAGAGAACCATGGGTTCAGAGGTGCAGAGGCAGCTGTAAGGATCGTGTGAGAGGCTGGACAGAGACTTTTGGCCTTGCTAATGAAGCCCCAACAGAAGAGAGAAGGAAGAAAGACTGGAAAGACTAGGGTATGAAGTAAGAGAGATAGCAAGACCCAAAGATTCTCATCATTTCATCATGGCTTTTTATTAAAATACTTAATGGCATGTATTAACTAGTTTTAACCACAATTTATTTTAAACCCTCCTTCTTAGGAACTTATTTTTTGATTCATTCTTTATTTGATGATAGACAGAAAGATGAGATTTTATGAACTTGAAATTTTTTTATCATACCAATTGACTATAGGAGTTTAATGGAAATATAATACTCAATTTTAGGCTGAATATTATTTTTAAGGATTGAAAAATCTTTGAACACTGGAATAGATAAAAGTCAGTAGCATGGAGACAGCTAGGAAGTTTGACAGGTGTTTTGAAAAGATTAGCTCATTTAATTTCTATTGTGTCACATTCAGAATTTTGAGTCATTAGGAAAGTCACATTCGTTTTAAAGTTAATTTCAGATATGTATTTGTGAATCATTTTTATTGTCTGGCTGTTGATTAATTGATTTAGCAGTTATTGTACACTTACTGTTAGCTTGGTCTGGAAAATCTAAGATCAGACAAAATTCCTACAATGTAGAAGTACACAATCTAGCACTGCTATCCAGTATAAGTTTTTCTCAGCTGTAGAGTAGCTGCTTAGCATGTGCGAGGCCCTGGGATCAATCTCCAACACCAGAAAGAAGAAGTGTTTACTACTACTACTTCCATTTCATTGCTATTGTTTTTGACAGAATAGATATTATTTGTGTTATGTCTGTAATTGTGGCAGGAATAGAATATGTTTGGTATAGAAAAGGGCAAGAATGTTTTATGTAACTAGTGCAGGTGCAAAGGGATATTTAAAAAATGTTTAGAGGCTGGAATGTAGCTCAGTGGTAGAGTCCTTACTCAGTATGTTGAGTCCTGTGTTTGATCTCCAGCACTTTCAAAAAAAAGGTTTAGTGATGAGTGAGGAAAGGCATGGAAAGACATGGGACTGATGAGATTCATATAGTCAGTTTTGTGAAGGATCTTGTTTGTTATAATAAGAGTTAAGAGAAGGCCTTTGGAGAGTCCAGCAATGGATTTACAGGATCACATCTGGTTTTGAGAAATATGACGCATAGAGTAAGCTTGTTGGGTTGAGATTTGAGTAAGGCAGAAAAATTAAGCATATGTCTGCATTCTAGGTGGGAGGTGATTAGGTCCTAAACATGGTAGGAATGGAGGGACTGTGTTCAAAAAGAGTTTTTGAGATATTTAGATGGTGATATTTGTAGGAACTGGTAATGTGTTGATTCATTGGTTATCCAGAGAAGGAGAAGAGAAAGGGAGGACAGAAGAAAGAAGATGACTTGGGTAGTTTCTCTCTTGGTTACCTATTGGATTATGAATATCCTTTATTGAGGAAGAAAAGGGAACAGGAGTAGGCTAGATTTGGGGTGCCCATAGAATATTCATATGGTGCTGTTTAAGAAGCAGATAGAACTACATTTTAGGAGTTTAGGGCAAAAGATCTAGGCCATATGTATTTACTGGAATTTATAAAATGATAATAAAGTGAACTGGGAATTTATCCCGTTTAGAAGGACCCTAGAGCTTGATAGGGCTAACATCTGGGAAAACTAAGGGATCAAAAATAAAAGCCTACAAACCATTCATAGTCCTCACATAAATAATACATCGACTGTTAAGGCAGTTATTTACTTAGGGCATATTATTCTCTTTAAAATAGGAAAAATCACGTTGCTGATACTGGATGAAGAAAGCGATATTTTCTTATTAATTTTTGATGCCATGCACACATTTTCAGCCAGTGATGAAGTCCAGAAACTTGGATGCAAAGCTTTACATGTGCTGTTTGAAAGAGGTATTTAAAAATGCCAACTTCTACATTTTAAAATATATATTTAAAAAGGGCTTAAAATGAGGAAAGTCAGATGTAGTTATGACAAGAGAAAGGAATCAAAATCATATTATTTATAAATAAGTGAAAATTGTCTGTCAAGGATGAGTAGTGGGGTTAAGTGGGAAACATTGCTTGTTTCTATGGAGTGAATTTCATTCATGGTGTATAAATCTTGCAACTGCAGTAGACTTACTTCCATTGCTTAGAAAGGCATAAGGTTCACTTTGAAGTGTGGGCGTTAAGAAAAAATAAAACTGTGAAGTCAAGCATAGGTTAAATTTGGGTTTATGATGTTGAGTCACTACCAGCATTTTAGAAATTGCTAAGGGCTCTGTATAAAGAATCTGGAAGGTCACAAAGTGTCCTTTAGGAAAAAGACTGATATGTATTTCATAGCATGGAGACTGATAACAGATTAGCATGTAATTTTGGAGTTAGTTCTTCCACTGGCTTAATGAGGAAATGAGTCAGAGAAGTGAGCAACTTGCCAGAGGGCACAGAACTAGTCAGTGTACAGTTTGGTGATTACTGCTTTTTTGAGAGTCCTGTTTGCAGCATTAGGAGGCCCAACCTTGCTGGGCATTTTAAGAATGATTTACCCAGACCTTGTCGTAAATATCAGTTTAGCACTTTAATTCTGGCAACTCTTAGAAATGGGACAGAGCGCTTAATGCTGTTTAATTCTCTGTCTTATTCTGGAAGGACTTTTAACAGCTTCTAGGTAATTATAATACATTTCGGAATATGGATCAAGGGAAAATACTAAGCTAGAATAAGTTTACTATTTACTTAAGGTACTATATGTTTGCAAAGGGATAGGCCAGAAATTTGGCTCTTTGCTTTCTAGCTGGCAAAGAAGAGAAATAAACATCTTGGTTACACATTTGTTGAGATAAATATAAACTCATTGCTTAGGAGAAGCAATCTGTCTCATGGGAGACTGGCAAAAGTCCTCCCACCAGGTTCCTTGCATGAGATGATAAAGTAGGAATACAAAGTGTATTTCGGTGAAAGTGACTCTGTCAAGAGTCAGAACAACTGAAGCCTGGGACCCAACTCTTTGACGATCTGGCTTGGTGGGGAAAAAAGTTTGCTGCGAGTAAAGGATTTAAGATTAGAGTATCTTCTGTGTCACAACTAAGCTTTTGATAAGGGTTGGGCAGGTAAGGTTTGAGATTCTGTTGTCTGGCAGGGTCTGTAATCTTCCGTGTTGCAATTTAGAGGCACATTCTTACTCATGAAGAAGGGTTATTATCACTCTTTGGCCAATGTTGTGGGGCCCTTAGAAGATATATGGATATGAGCCAGGGAATGTTAAACAAAAGAATCTTAATGGAAACATCAGAATGTTGAGAGAATTACGATTATAAATGTAGCTAGAAAAATTTATTTTTCCAGGAGTATCAAATTGCCTAAAATTTAGCTAATAAAGTTAGTTTTTAAAACATCAGTTAATAAAGTTAATTTTCAAAATTCAAAGATATGCTTTGGAGACTACAAAATGAAAGAGTTCTGCGGTATTTCGCATTAATTAAAATAATCTAGCCTATTTCTCATTATTCTCATACTATATGGACACATTGGTATAAAATTGAAAAAAAAATTAATGTTGATTACAAAAAGAGCTTTGTTTCTTAACATTTTTGTTAGCACCATTCTCAAGCTAAATTAGCCAGATCTTTAAACATGTTTCTGAGGTTTCCACCTAATAAAATGATTCCAAATGGACCTCATTGACTTGATCAAAAGGCTTTAAGTATGAAAATTAATGATTACAATTACTTTTATCTCTGATAGAAAACCATTAAGACAGAGTATTTCAAAGTGTAGTTACTTGCCATTTCCTGAACTCACACATTTAGCTGAGCTTCCCCTTAAAAGTCTAGTAGTAGTCCCTACTCTTAGGCATTGCAAAATTTTCAGGTCATCTTTATTGTACTGGTTTTCTCTAGCATCTCTCCAAAGAAATGGTAATATTTTTGTTTTCCTGAGAATTGTTTGGTGACGACTACTTTTGCACTTTCAACCATGATGTAACAAATATAGGTCAAGCAAACTTATTTTAAAATCAATAGCTTGTTTCCCTTTATAAAATTCTTAGGAAGGGATTTTTGCAGAAACACATTTTTATTAAGAGTACTGTATTTGCTATGTTTCTACAATTTTCATGAATATATTTTTTGATTATCTAAACTTTTATATGACTTTAAAGCTTATTCAATATTTTTTTCCTTTGGTTTTTTAGTTTCTGAAGAACAACTCATTGAATTTGTTGAGAACAAAGATTATACTATATTGCTAAATGCATTAAAAAATTTTAAAGATGAAGAGGAAATTGTCCTACATGTACTGCACTGTTTACATTCCCTAGCAATTCCTTGTAAGTATCCTGATTTCTTTTTCTCATGTGAAAAATCACAGTATATCTCCTTTCTAAATATACTTTGAAAATATTTTTTGTTATTTAGAGACTTGTGAATGCTAAACTCCATTCATTTAATTAATTTATATATTTTAGGACTGTATTATAGCTGGCTCTAGGCTTGGTTGTGGGGAAGCAATAGTGGAAAATATGAACATGTTCCTTGACTTTTCAGAGTTCATAGTGTGGTGGTTGATACAGATGTTTGCCTAAGGTGATTACAGTGCATTATAAGTCATTATAGGAGTGCATAGATGTAGGAAAGCAAGATCTCTTGGAAGAGTCTTTTAAAAAATTTTTATTTTATTTTTATTAGCTTATTATTGTTGTACTGGGGGTACAGTGTGACATTTACAGAAGTGCTTATAATATATCTTAGTTGGATTCACCCTTCCATCTTTCTCCTTTCTCTTCCCTCTTCTTAAAATAGTTTCAACAGATCTTACTTTTCCATTTTCATACATGTGTACATAATATTTACACCATATTCACTCTCTTTCATCCTTTCCCTATGCCTTCCTCCCTCCCACTGGTATCAATCCCCAGATGGGACCTGTTTTACCTTCCTGTCCTTCACTTTTTAAAAAAAGACATTATTGTTTAAGATATCTATACAAGCCAGACACTGGCTTGTATAGGTGGCTCATGCCTATAATCCTAGCTACTTGGGAGGCAGAGACCAGGAAGATCACGCTTCAAAGCCAACCTATACAAATAGTTAGATAGAGACCCTATCTTGAAAATACCTCACATAAAAGCAGGGCTGGCAGAGTGGGCTCAAGTGGTGGAGCACCTGCCTCGCAAGTGTGAGGCCCTGAGTATAAAACTGTACAACTCCCCGCCTCCCCCCCAAAAAAACCGTACCTATTCAGGGTGTTTGTCTTGAAGAAGAGGAGAGCTTTGTGTGTAGTGAGGTGTGAGGTGAAGTGGAAATTCAGGCAGCAGTGAGCTATGTGAGCACGAAGAGGTGGGAGCAAGAGAGTACCTAGAGTCTTCAAAACCATGAAAGTAGCTCAGTAAACTCTGAGTTTCTGAGTGTGCATAAATGCAGGCACATCTAGAAATATCTGCTTGAGTTTCTCTGATGGAAGCAGAGGAAAGGTCTACTAAGAGAGTGGATAGGGCTGGAGACACGGAGTGAGGGCCCAAAAGCCACAGGAAACTTTATTGTAATTGTTGGTTAGCATTTTAGTGATGCTTTGAAGTCTAGCCACTTTTTCACCAAAAAAAAAACAATGAAAAAAATAAGAAGAAATTAATTTGATTCATATGATACTGATGATTACATGCATCAGAGTCTGTTTTGTTTTATAAGAGCACGATAGCAGTTTATATTTTGTCTGTTACCTATGTGGGTTTGCACAGGATATAAATATGCACTTAGCAGTAATATTTTCATTCTCACTCATATAAAGTTGTTTTAAGGATTCAATGAGTTGCATATTGTGAAGGATGTAGAATAGCACACCTGGTGCATAATACCTATTCTAAATCATTGACAGCACTATTATATGTATTATGTACATGAAATATACAATATGTATCTTACGTGTATGTTATGTGTTGGATATAATGTGCATAAATGGTTTCAGATAAGGAAATCAGTATGGCAGCCTGAGGAGGTAAGACTTCATTGTAGCAGGGTCAAAACCAAATGCTTTTGTGAAAGAACGCCTTTCTTTGTGGTTGTAACATCACAGTGCTTTCTTAGCTATAGGAAATTAAACACTTGAAAGTGGATGACGTTGAATAATAATAATGGAGAATTCCTTACTTTGCATTTCTCTGAGTCATCACAGCCAACAAGCTGAATTTATTCTTCATTGTACTTTCCTGGGTTATAGTCACTCATTATTTATTTATTTTGGGCTGACTGTTTTTGGAACTCATTGTTTCCCACCCACAGCTGACATAACTCCAGCTGAAATGTGTTGATTCATAATGCAAAGGTCAAAGAAAGTAGCAGCTAAAAATGAAGAAATCAACAGTTTTAAACATTGATTCTATGTTAAAGATTTTTGTTTTTGAATTTTAAAGCAAATCATTATCTCCTGTTCTTAGACAAAGTCGGTAATCATTTTAAGAGACAGTTTCCTTTCATTATTTTTTGTTTGGTGTTTAAAAATGCAGTTTAAATATTAAAAAAAATATTTTGGGGAAAATATTTGGTTAGTTTCAGCTATGCTGAAATCCCATGTTTTGCAGGCAGACTTTTTCCTTTTTTTAGTGAATAGTCAATATTTCATTCAGAGATATAAATGTTTTCTTCATGTAGACTTATAGCTCAGCTTTTCCCACCGGATTCTTCTCTTTCTGTTTCACTTCCATCTGTCCCTTAGTCATATATTTCAATATCATACCTTTCTTCTCCCCTCCTTGATTGCCTCCCTCCACCTTCCTTGGAGCCTTCAGGAAGCTTGGTTTTGCTGCTGGACTGGAGGGAAGAGATCGTGGCTTATTTTAGCCGTTCTGTATGTGACAGTCTCAATTATCCTTGTGTTGGTGTGAGGAAAAGATACAGTAGAAATAAAGCCATTATGCTGACATGCATTTACCATCTGGATAAGACACGTTTGTATACATATTGAAAGGAGAAAATTATTGTCTTAGTGTAACTATGATTTCTTTAAATTTAGGCAGCAATGTTGAAGTCCTCATGAGTGGCAATGTCAGGTGTTACAATATTGTGGTAGAAGCCATGAAAGCATTCCCCGTCAGTGAAAGCATTCAGGAAGTGGGTTGTTGCTTGCTCCATAGGCTTACATTAGGTAAGTTGTAATTCTTAGTTAATTTAATATCACAATCTATATGATGTTAGCATATGCATATTACATATTGATGAATAGTATATTGATATACATTGAATAGAAGTATTGTGATGTAGCAAATTGTTATGCCAGGCTTAGATTGCATTTTAAAGGCAGTGGCAAAAATAGATGTGTGGGATGTGTGTGAAGTCTAATTCTTATTTTTCAAAAAAGTGATCTATAGGAGTGCTTTATTATTAAGGCTATATTTGAAATATAATTATGTAACAGTTGATACTTATAAAGAATAAGTGTAAGTTTTATAGAAAATGTAAAACATAAAGCAAAGAACTTCCCACTCAACTTAAGTATTAGTTACATTATAACAGCAAGGAGAGTTCCATCTTGTCTTTGCTTTTTCTGTAAAGGTTAATAATCTCTTGAATTATATATATACCAATCTTTCTGTTTTCTAATTATACTTTTACTGTATTTTCATGTTTCTCTGGGCAAAATTGTTATTGTATGCTTGGCTTTTTTTTCAATACTGGGGTTTTGAACTCAGGGCCTACACATTGAGCCACTCCACCAGCCCTTTTTTGTGATGAGATACTATTTGGCTGGGCTGGCTTTGAACCGTGATCCTCCTGATCTTTGTCTCCTGAGTAGCTAGGATTACAGCACCTGGCGCTTGGTTGGTTTTTGTCTTGTTTTTTTGAATTAGGATCTCACTATGTAGTTCACACTGGCCTAGAACTCACTTGTAGTCCAGTGAGATCTTACTGCCTTGGCCTTAGGAGTGCTGGGATTATAGATGTATACCACCACATCGACTTTTTTTTTCCCCATCATCATCAAAATGAAATCGAACTGTATATTGTCTTCTGTAATTTTTAAAAATTTCCACAATCAGTCAGTCATGGTGATAACTTCTGTAATGCCAGTACTGGGGAGGCTGAGGCAGAAGAATCCTACCTTTGAGGCCAGCCTGGGCTACATAGTGAGACTCTTTCCCAAAAATCAAATGAAAACTTTACTACTGTGTTTATAAGAATCATAAATATTTTTGCATATAGTTGAATGTAGTATTTTATATATGTCTATTTCTATACCACAGTTTGTCTATTTTTTATCTATGTATGTTTTGATTTCTTATTTTCTGCTGCTACCTTTGGTATTGTTACAAAAATAGAGCAGTGAATATTTTTTCAAAAATTTGTTTGCTGCTCTTGCTTTGTGGAATACACAATCTATCTTTTATCCAATTTTCTACAATATGGTCTTTACAAAATTGATTCAGAGATCCAGGATAATAATGGTTTGGTGGCTGGTTATATGTATTGAAAATATCATCTTGATTTGTGACCTCTGCTTTCACTCTATTTATGGTGCTTTTTGCAATAGAGTTTAATTTAATAATCAGTTGCTTTGTGATTTATCCTTTTCTATGTGTCTTGTTTAAGAAATATCTCTACTCTCTAAGGTAATAAATATATTCTGTATTTTTCCCTAGTCTTTCTCATTAAAGTATTAAAGCATTGTAATTTTATTTTGTAAAGTAGGAATTCAATACCCCTTTTTTCTTGTTTTCATATGGAGAACTAGTTACCATCTCAGCCATGGTTCACCCGTTTCCCAGTTGTGTGGCACACTGACTGTACATTTGAGTTTCTATTCTTGCTTTTTTGTTGCATTGCTCAATTTTGTTTGTCTGGATCAATGTCATACAGTCTTACAATATATATAATATAGCCACAATTTAATATATTAATTTAAACTATAGTTCTGTAAAACCTGATATCTGAAATGTTAATAGGCCAAGTGACTACACATTCTTCTTCTGTCACTTCTTGGCTTTTTTCTTAGGCCTTAGAATTAACTTGTCCACTTCAAAACTCTACTGGAATGTTGACTGAAATTGCACAAAATATTTGGATGAGTTTAAGAACTGGTATCTTTACATTATGACTTCTTCCATATAGGTCTTGCACATCTTTGTTAGTTATTTTTAAATAACTCATTTATTATTATTATTATAAGTGGTATCTCTTTTAAAATTGTGTTTCTGAACTGTATCTGCATGAGGTAATGCATGTGATTCTTTGTATATTGATCTTCCCTTTCTAATTCATTTATTAATTCTGACAACTTTCTTGTAAAGGCTCTTGGAGTCTCTAATATATTACAGTCATGTAATCTGTGAATAATGAGTTCTTCCTTTCCACTCATTATATCCTTTATTTCATTTCCTGTCTTCTTGCATGACCCAGAATTAACAATACAATGTTAATAAAAGCAGTGACAGTAGTGTACAATGAAAGTAGGTACCCTTGTCTTGTTCTTGGTTTTAAAAAGAAAGCTTCTAATATTTTCTCATCCAGAATAATGCTTAAGTTTTCTTTTTTAAGTTAAACTTTATCCTATTTGTCAAATTTAGTGAAGTTAAGATCTTTTTTTTTTGAGGTACAGTTGTAGCTTAGTGGTACAGCACAGGTTTAGCATGTTCCAGGGCCTGGGTTCAGTACCCAGCAGCAAAAAAATAAACAAAGAAAGACATAAAAAATAAATAGGAAAAAAGAAAGAGAAAAGAAAAAAATTTCCTTCGATTTCTTGTTTGCTTTTAATTTTACATGTGGCCTTTTTGTTGTTTAAATCACAGGTGAACATTGAGTTTTATAAAATATCTAAAAATATTAAGATCATTTTCTCTTCGTTAATTTTGCAACATTAAGGAGATGTTTTCATGGAGATGTTTTCTAATATTAAATCATCTTGCCACTCTTGTGATAGACAGGACTAGGTCATTCATTAGTTTTTGAAGGAAATTTCTAAAAATCTTCCCTTAATATCTTCAGATCTGCCAGGTAACTTTTGACTTCCATTTGTTTGCCCTGTCCCCACTTTTTATCTTTTTATTCCTTTCATCTGTAATGTGCAGATATTTAATTCTGTATATGAAAACTCCAAAATAGAAGGTCCTTGAAAGTCTAAGCCCACTACTTCTATGCCATGGCAAGAAGAGGCTTATTTTTTGTATCCTTGTGAGTCTCCTTAGTTGAGCTTAATATCTGAGCATCCAGAATACCTAAGTTACAAATGTTCCTCCAGAGATGTTTGCCAGGAGCCAGAGCACAGAACTGTGTGGGGGCACTTTATGATTTTGTTAAGTACTAGGCTTTATGTAAGAGACTCTGGCTGAGCTACCCTGCCTTGGAGAGGGCACAAGGCCAGTTGCAGTACCAGAATTCACACCTTTCTGCAAGCTACTCTAGCTTGTCTATTTGCTTTCAGCTCACAGCTCTTGTTGCAACTTCCTGTTGAACTCCTCTCCTGCACCCTTCCACCATCCCCTCCCCAACATCCATACTGTAGAGATTTCCTTGGAGCAGAACAGTACATTAAAAGATGAATGTTGGTTCTGATGACCTTTCCCCAAAAGGATCACCAGTAATATTTTTGTGCAAAGTTAGGATTATTGTAACAAGCACTTATCTTTTTATCATCACAACTTTGGGGGAAAATCATTGTCATTTGAAAAACACTAATTTTCATGATTTTTGTTTTAGCAATTTATATTTTTACTTTTAGAGTTATGGTTACCTCCCTACACAATTTGGAAATTGAGTTTTGTACTTGAAAAACTAGATCAATTCAGTGGAAGTGAATTTTAAAAAATTGAATGTTTTATGTGTAACACATCAGCTTATTCTTTCTTTCACAAACTTTAATTTAATTTTTATTATATGACGAAACTATAAGATATGGTTATATAATGTCAATACAGTTTTCAAAGTACTTTCACATATATATATATATATATATATAATGTTGTTTTGATTCATGAAACAATCACAGGAGACGAGATACTGTTATTTTTTTCTCCATGTATGTAACAGATGAGGATGTGTGGTTGAGCAAGTCTTTGTGTCTGCATGATTCATGATGATGTGGTCAGTAAAGAGTGAAGTCAGGCCAAGAGTTCAGTTTTGTCTCCCTGGTTACCAGAGACTGGGGAGAGGAGGAGGGAGGGAGAAATAAGGTTGATCAATGAGTACTAAGTTATAGTTAGATAGGAATGAGAAATTCTGGTGTGCTATTGCTCAGTAGAATAAATACAGATAATGGTAATGCATGATATGTATTTCAAAAAGCCAGAAGAAAGGAGTTTATGTGTTTTAACCATTAAAAATGATAAATGTTTGAGGAGATGTTTACTCTTTTTCAAACATTATATGATGTATGCATGCATTGAAACATCATGTGTACCCCTTAAATTTGTACAATTATGTCTTTCTGTCTCAGTTAAAAACAAATTTAACTTAGGCCAGGTGTGGTATTTCAAGCCTGTAGCTCACACCTCTAGCTACTTCGGAGGTGGAGATTGAGAGGATTGTGGTTTAAGGCCAAATGAGGCAAAATGTCCACAAGACCTCATAACAACCAATAAAAGCTGAGTGTGGTGGTATGTGCCTGTCACATCAGCTACACAAAAGTGTAATTGGGGGATCACAGTCTGGGCTGGCCCTGGGCATAAAAGCAAAACCCTATTCAAAAAATAGCTAAAGCAAAAAGGCTGAGGTTATGGCTCAAGTGGTAGAGTGCTTGCCTAGCAAGCATAAGGGTCTGATTTGAGTTCAAACCCCAGTACTGCCAAAAAAATTAACTTAAATTTAAATTCAAAACAACAACAACCAAGCATTTCTTCTAAAATGTAGTAGCCATGGATTAGTCTATTTCTTTATCTGGTGAGAGTTTTACTTATTATATTTTCATGGAGGATACAATTGTACAAACTGGCTGATACCTGAGAACATTTTGACTTAACTCAGAAGTTGATTCTTCAGCTCTAGTCATTGCAGCAGCACACTAATGTCCAATTTTCTGTGTCATGTCCTATAACTGCACAGTCAAGTGTCAACTTGCATACCTTACATTAAAAATGTGACTTCAATTCCTTGAAATGAAGGAGAGAAAGTGATTTTGATTTTATGATTAGGGAAATGACTCTTAACTACAAAATAGACCTATAATGGTACATTAAAGGTATTGCACTATTGAAATTAAATAAACCGTGGAAAGTATCATGACATGTATATCTTTGTATAATTCTATAACTATTTTTGAAAAATAAAAAGCCATCAATTCACTTCAGATGAGGGTGCTTTTCTTCTCTCACTAACCATAGGAGGTTATGTTTCATTTAGTGACTAGAAAATTTATTGTTTCAAGAGAAGGTGATTATAACTTTGAGCTTCATCTTCATCATTAAAATAAAAACCTAAAGTCAATACATAAATGTTTAACATTTTGTCAAATTATGGACTCTAATATGGGTTTAATGCATTTAACATTAATTAATTGCTTTAGATAATTTTCCACTCTTCCTATAAACTATCTGAATGTAAGGCTTGTTTTACTGGTGTTTGCCCAAAGCCACACTGTTGGTTAGGGGTGGAGCAGTTGCTGCCAGTGACAGAGGAATGATAGGGGAGAGTGATGGGGACACCCAAGTTTTGATAAGCTGGCAAAAGTGGAGGGGAATCTCTTTTGAAATGACTTTCCAAGATTCTTACCACCAAGGGCTGGGTAGTGTGCGTTTGATGGGTGAATGTGGAGGAGACACGTAGGAAGGTAGTGTCAAACAAGAGCTATTCCTAGCTAAGCTGTCTTTTGGTTTTGAGACTGTTGATTGACATTTAGTTTGGGTTTTAGGCTTTTCATGATATGGGATCTTTTCCACTTCTGGCTTTGTGTCTCGGGTATCATTTAATTACACTTGTAAATAATTTGGAGTTTTATTTTTAGTTTTAGAAGGAAAACTGGTAACAGTGAGTGACAAGTTAAATGGAAGAAGGCACATATTTATGGAATATAACTTACAAACTCTTACCTCATAAGGATTTAGATTTTTGGATATTATATTAAAATTCTCAAAAAATGGATATAAAAAAAGTATGGGACATTTTTCTGGGGTGGGTTGGAGGTGGTGAAAAAAATTATGTTGTTTTTTTTTTTAAGATCTTCATAGAGAAGATCAAATAATAATAAAAGTGTCAATCAGTGTTCTGAGCAGTATTCCTTTAAGTGAAAGAAGGGCATTTCAGCAAAAGGATTTAGTGGTAAAGGGGAGTTTTAAAAAGATGTCTATCTTTTAGAAGGCAGGAAAAGTAACTTATTTTGTACTATGAATATTGTAGAGCAGTGTGTCTGTGAGGAGTCAAAGAACACAAAGTTACTATAACCCAAAGTTGTGTTGTTACTTTTACTTATTTACTTCCTTTCTCTAAGTAAGATAATTAAATGATATGAACAAAAATTTCAAAACTTCATTCAATCATGTTATTTTAATTAAAGTAAACACATGCTTTAAGGTAGTCATCCCTACTTACATTTATTGACTTAAAGATTGTTATATAATTAAAGGCAATTTAAATTTCATGGGTAAGAGTTTAGCTAATGTTGTACTTAACTTTTAGGTAACTTTTTCAATATCCTGGTGTTAAATGAGGTGCACGAGTTTGTGGTGAAAGCTGTGGAGCTGTATCCAGAGAATGCAACATTACAGATCTCAGCACTCAGCTGTTTAGCTCTCCTGAGTAAGTAATGTTACTGATAAGGAATTATTTTATTTTATTTTTCTGGTGCTAGGTATTGAATGCAGGGCCTCATGTCTGCTAGGCAAGTGCTCTACCACTGAGCTACATCTCCAGCCCTCAAAAGGGAATTCTTAAGGGTGCATTTGATGATGAATGAAGAGGATCTCATGTAGAGAAGGAAGGATTAAATGCCCATTATTTCTTAATGTAATGTGTTTTCCAGTACTTTCAAAGGAACTCACAAGTATGGGCATTCCAGTTTATACAGGATTTGTTTTACACCCTTGGTTTAGTTTTGCCTTAAACTAGCTAATCTTTTCAAACATCCTCCTAGAGTCTGTTAGGTTTTTTGGTAGCCCTTTCCTCATTTTATCATGTATCTACATGTGATGGCAGTATTAGGAATTGTGTAACATATTTCAAATTGCTTTATAATTTACCAAGGATGCTACTAAACAGTACATCGCTCTGTTGGTAACACTTCAAACGTATGGACTAAAGACTTGGCCAATCAATTGTCAATAAATTATATGCATATGAAATACATATGTATATATTTATTTTTTAATTTTTTTCAAGCTGAGACCATTTTCTTAAATCAAGACTTAGAGGAAAAGAATGAGAATCAGGAGAATGAAGAGGAGGAGGAAGAAGACAAATTGTTTTGGCTGGAAGCTTGTTACAAAGCCCTAACACAGCACAGGAAGAATAAGCATGTGCAGGTTGGAATCTCATAAATAGCACAGTTATTCAGAATTATGGTTTTCAGTAACTTATATTTTGATAAGTTTCCTTTTCTCCTTCCTTAATTTAGGAGGCTGCATGCTGGGCACTAAATAACCTCCTCATGTACCAAAGCAGTCTACACGAGAAGATTGGAGACGAAGATGGCCAGTCAGTAGTTCTGATTTTATACTCTAGAAAATTCCAGTTAGAGTTTTAACCAATACATAGAAACATTCATTGTTACAAATGTTACTGATGTAGGCAGTTATGCTTTAAGTGTTTCTGGGTATGAATAGTGGGTATACAGCATTTTGATCTCATTGGCTTCCTTGGAGAGACAGAGTGGTGTGTTTCAGTTATTATTGAGGGAGTTTTTAAGGCATTTGTGACTCACGGAGAAAGAATTCTCCAGTTTTTTGGCTATGTTTTTCATTTTGGCAGATGTTTTTCATCTCTGGTGATAGAAATCAGCGAGTCATCTGTGACTTTCTCTGCTTTGGTCCCAGCCAACAGGTTGCCAATATCAGGAAATAGATTTGCTTAGAAACCTGTGGTGAGTTCCCACCTGATATGGGAGTGCTGACCTGCCTTCTCTGGGGAGGTTATTTGAAGCCATCAGCTGTTGAGGAGGCTTTCAACAGAGGACTGGGACCATCAGAGGACTGGGACCAGTGCTCTCTCTCCCACAATCCAGTTCACAAACAGAAGTTTTGTGAGCAGCAGATTTGTTTCCACTTTGAGCCTTTGTACTTGTGCTCTTTGCATTAGGTTTCCACTGGGTTTTAAAACATGAATGCCTTACTTTGGAAACTTAAATAGTAATATTCTGCATCACAAATCCTGACAGTCTATTTGCATAATGACCTACTGCCAATAAGGAGGGAATTAATGACACAGATGCTATTTAATTAAACATTTCCAGTTTGGAAGACAACCGTAATTATTCTGAAAACTACATTAAATCAGCATCTGAGTAATCCCACGTTGAGCAAACTTTTTTTTAAGAGTTTAAGGCCAGGCACGGTGGCACAGGCCTATATTCCCAGCACAAGGCCAGCTGGGGCTACATAGTGAGATCCTGTCTCAAAAAACCAAAAACCAACCCCTCAAAACCCCCAAACTTAGGGTAAAGCAGATTCATGTTGCAAGTCATAAATTTTAGTTGATAGTACTCATATTCTTCAATATTCATAGGAGATCTGTAAAAGAAATATGTTACTAAAAGAAAGTTGTTCTGTCTCTAAAATCTACTCTGCTGTTGTATTTTTAACTTTCCTTTCTTTTTTTCTCCATTATCTTCTTTTCTGCACTTTATCATTTTCTCCTAGTAACTCTTCATACGTGTGCTATGAACTATGGAGCATTTTCCACTCTCTAGTGCTTATCAGCTTTTGAAGAAATAGAGACATATTAATCCATTAATATTTCATAGACTTTAAATATAAAAGTGTTTATGTTTCAATATTGTAAGTGGCATAAAGCATAGTTTCTGTGCTCTTATTTGTAGTTAGAGTTCTTAGATGATGGTGAAAATTTGAGCTAATTATTAGAAAGATTACCACTGATTTTGTGTTGGATTTTTGAAAGGTTCCCAGCTTACAGGGAAGTGATACTATCCATGGTGATGCATTCGTCATCCAAAGAAGTCTTCCAGGCATCTGCAAACGCCCTGTCAACCCTACTGGAACAAAACGGTAAGCCTTACACTACATTTTAGTAAAGAGAAACAATTTTGTGGTATGTTTTCTTATAAAAGCTACAAAGCCTGAACAATTCAAATATGTATATATTCATGCATGCACATGAATATGAGTGTAAATATACATACATATGACACGGATATATTGACATATAGGTAAAGGATAAAAATAAGTGTTCAGATGTTTATTCTCCTGGACTTCTGTGTCTATACATGTACTCACACATGACATATGCAATATGTTTTATATTTTTGCACAATTTGATGCAAACTATATTCTTTTATAACAGTACTTTATATATAGTTTCATGTTGATAAATGTATATTTTCACACCATTTTAAATAGCTGTGTAGTTTTCCAATGTATGCCTATGGCCTATTTTATGAACCAGTCTCTTGCTGATGGACTTCTAGCTTGTGTCTAATTGCATTTTTTTTAACCTTATAATAAACACTTAAGGTCACTTTTTCCTCCCATTTTCCTTTATACATTTGTTCTTATTGTTTTCTTTCTTTTTTATTTTCTAATTGTTTATTGCTAATGCATTTGACATGCTGTTCAGTTTTCAAAAAATGTTTTTAATAGTATATAATAGTTGTAGGAGGAGTTTCATTGTGACATTTCCATATATACATATATTGTACCCCAGATATTATTTTTTTAGAGAACGTTACAGAAATGTGACTGAATGGTGAGTTATTCATCATTTTAAAATTTGGTAAAATGAAATTTTTATTGTGTAATTTTCCTTGAAAATAGTCCATTACATGTCATTCTTGTAAGTGTTACAGCATTGCTTGATTAAGGAGATTAAAAATGGCTCATCTACCATTTCTTCCTCAAGTAGGACTCTTGAGACTTAAGGTCATGGTCCAGCTGCTTCTGATTCCTGCCCCTATAAACAGGAAATACTGCCAGAAAAACTTGAGAGAGAACCCATCACAAAGGCATTGGGACTTGGCAGCTTTTACAGAATATTTTTAGAGAGAGAAAAATAAAGAAAACACTGCAAGATTAATCTGAGACAGAGAGCAGTGGAAGCACCAGATTTCAGTAGAGAATCCAGGGTAGAGAGAAAGAAATAAAGAAACCAACCGTGAGCATGTTTCTTTATACTATTATCTAGGTCAAGTCAAGAGGAAAATCATCTCCTCTTCCTTTTCCTCTTTTCTCAACTCATCTCCCTGATGGCGCTTTAATAAAAGGCTTGTTGTAGCCTGAGAGACAGGCAGGGCTTTTCCTGGGTAATGAATCAGAGTAGGAGGGGCAGGAAAGGGAATTGCTATTCTTGAATTGCCTGCATTCTGCTGTGTGGATAGAGGCCTGGGAGGGCTTCCACTCCAGAAAACCAGGACCAGACTTTGCTGCCTCTGTATGGGCTCCTTAGAGAGGGACAGAGTTTTCTATCTATGGAACCTTATGGAAATCTCCATATGCAAACACAACAACCCTGACCTCGTGAGATTTGTACTGCTTTTTATTATGGCATCTGAGTGACATTCGGAGTCAACCTTTATGTCTTTGTTCAGAATTAGTTCTTGTTCTTTGCTCCTGGCTCCCTGCCAGATGATCTGTCCTCAGATACCTTTGCATTGACCTTGGCATTCTGCTTTAATAGAGTATTAAAAACTTGAGTAGCTTGTTCACCTACCTCCTCAGGCAACTTCTCATTGAAAGACACTTGGAAACACTTGAGTGTGCAGGGCTGTTTGTTTTAAGCCCAAAACAACCAGGTTCTTGGAACCATTAAGATTTTAAGGCAAAGGCATGAACATCTTGTGTGGTATTTTCCTCAATTAATTATTTGTTGAGCTCCTATTCTTTGCTGGATAGTCTCCTAGGCACTTGGAATATACAGTTGAACACAAATTGTAGGCTCTTGGAGTTTAAACTCTATGGGGAAGACAGATAATAAGACTACAACATATGATATGTGAGTTGGTGAGAAAAACAATGAAGCAAGGAAAGAAGATTTGACATGTTAGGAGTCAGAGGAGATGAAATTGTAAATGGGCAGCCATTAAAGAAAATAACTATAGGGTCAACCCCTGTAGGAAGTTGCATTTTGTTTTTTTTTCTTAGGAGAGCTGGGAATTGAACTCAGGGTCTTCTGCTCTACTACTTGAGCCACGGCCCCAAACCTTGTGTTTGTATTCTGCTTTTGGGATAGGGTCTTGCTAACTTCCCTAGGGTGGCCTTGGACTTAAAATCTGCTTGCCTCTACATCCTGAGTAAGCTGGAGTTACAGGTGTGTGCCACTATGTCTGGCTTATTTGCAGATGATTTTCTGCTAAAATGGAGTGGATAAGATCAAGAGTATTATGTAGGGAACTGATAAATGATATAATGTGTAAAATGTTCTATAAACTCTAAAGTGACTTCATGATGAAATTTCCTCTTCTTGGTCTAGTGTTAGCAATTTTTGAGTCACTCATTGGGTAATAGTGGTTCTTAAAGTGTAGTCCTTGAACCAGCAGTATTACCTGGAAACTGTTTAAAAATGTAAATTCTAGGACTCATACAGACCGGCTGAATCATAAATCCTGGGGTTGGTACCCACAATCTGTGTTTGAACAAGCTGATCAAGTGATTCTTATGCACACTGAAGTTTGAGAACCACTGGTCTAGAATACATTTTTGTTGTTGTTGTTTAAACTATCTCGTTCATTAGGGTCTAGTCACTTTGGGAGAGGTTATGATGACTTCTGACATGATCAAGCAAAATAACTAACTCATTGTCATGACTTGATATGAGATATTCTTGATGTTTTTAGAAGGTATGAGTATTCAGGTTTGGGCAGCATTTTAGAAGTTTAGCTTGCTTCTATTTTTAGGTTTTGTTCTATCTTTTTTTAAAGTGCTGAGTATGAATCCGAGGTCTTGCGCACAGTAGGCAAGTTTTCCTACCACTGAGCTATATCCATACCCTATCTTCTTGAGACTGACAATACTTTTTGAAAATAGAACTCAAATTGAAACTTTCTAAATTTTCTCTTTTTGTCACTTTCAGAATGTTAAGTTACTGTTATAAGTTAGAATTGGTATTTATATGGAGGCTTCATGATGATATTTACGTGAAAGAATGAATCTGTATTTGATGAAAGAAGTTTACTATGAAGAGGAAATCGATTATGTCATACTTATAGCTAGGATAGAGTTATTTTGCTCCACATAGGTAAAAATCAGTTGTCAGGCATTATCTGTGTGTTTACTAAGTTTTGGCATGATGTAATTATTTATGCTTCATATAGGTGCTTCCTATCCCTTTGTACGTTTTATTGCAAAATTATGAAATCTTGCTTTCATTTCTACAAATAACCTTAAAAATGCAGTTAATTTTAGGAAAATCCTGCTGTCAAAAGGAATATATCTGAATGTTTTGGAGTTAATGCAGAAGCATATACATTCTCCTGAAGTGGCTGAAAGTGGATGTAAAATGTTAAATCATCTCTTTGAAGGAAGGTAATAGAGATTCATATATCTATGCAAAATATATGGTATTGAACCAGGTAGAATATTATTTCAGGCACATCTCTAAGAATGAAAAGAAAACACAGGCATTTGAAGAAAAACCTTTCTCAGTATAATCTCTTATCACTGATGTTTTAGACTTATTTTATCTGAACTTTAAAAGGAATGGCAGAGATTGTTCAGATATGGTGAAGGTTTTTTTCTTTTGCATCATTCTTGGTGTTGACTGATTTGAAAAGTTGTAATTTTGCAGCACAACTGGCACCAGTTTTTAAATGATTGTGCACGCAGTTTCTAACTGCTGCTTTTTATAACTAGTATGTTATCACTCCTATGTTAGTTACTATTACTGCACTTGAATAACTTTGACTTCTCTTCCTGCCTTCATTCCTTAGCTATGGAAGCTTGTAATGTACAAGCTTTACAAGGCCGGCATTGTCAAAACTGTGTTTCTGGTTAGTGGCGCAACAGAGATCAGATCTTTTTATCTGGGCTGGGACAGAACTGCGGGTTTAAGAATAAAACCTATGAAAAGACTAAAACTGAAGAAGATGACTACTTCAGGATATGTTCAGTAACTTTCTTTCATTTTGTTAGTCCAAAAAGTGTAAGGAAACTTTTGCATTATCTGAGTAAATGTGAAACAAAAAGGCTACATGGGTAATGTCGTGTGAAATAAATAAGCAAATGTAACATTTGTTTCACCACGAATTTGAGCCAATTATTTGATTGCTAAACTTCAGGTTTCTCATCTTAAATCATAATAACAACTTCAGAGGATGTAAGTTTATAATGTAAGGATCAAATAAATCAATTTTTCTAAATGGATTAGGACAAGGCCTGGTAAAGTCTAAGTACTCAAGAAATCACAGTTGTTATTAGTAATACTGTCACATGAGCAGATGAAGTTCATATAGCATGGTAAATTGTGAGTAGCACATCTACACACTTGGAAGGAATAGGATTAGGATGTTTTGGGGGTGGTGGAGTGGCTCAGGTGGTGGAGCACCTGCCTAGCAAGCATGAGGCCCTGAGTTCAAACCCCAGAACTTCCAAAAAAAAAAGAAAGAATTATACTGTTTTAAACATTAGACCAGCTAATCTATTTATGCTTAATATATATCGTATCTCTAAGTCATATTTTTCTTACTTAAACGTTTTGAACATTTGAATGAAACATTTACTTAAGTGTTGATTTTTATAGTTCTGGAAGTATGTGGACCTTTATACATGGGGGAAAAAACCTTTAAAAATGGGAACTGGCAGAGTGGATCAAGTGGTAGAATATCTGCCTAGCATGCATGAGGCCCTGAGATCAAACCCCAGTACCCCACTCATAGAACCCTGAAAAACTTGTATAAAGGAGGCAATAAACTACAGTTTAAGATTTTATGGGTTCTGGCCATGCCATTTAACGTTTCTAGCTGTTTTCTTATGTGTAAAATGTGCACAGTTCCAGTACTAGAGATTCAGAGTTAATTATGACAATGTGCTACCCCCCATCCCTAAACACTCAACGTTTAGTTAGGGAGACTGATTAGACTACATGTAGTGGTGTAATTCCACACTCCACTCTTACCATGTAGAGAAGGAGGAAATGACTCCTTTGTCATTTCCAAAAGAGGAGGGGGACCAAAGAAAGGATGTGTTCAAACTGGGACTTTTAGATAGCAAAGAGTGAATATACCTCAATGGCCATGGAACCATACAAAGAGAGGGGACAATTCTGATGTGTGTGAATTAGTTAACATGCACCTTGCAAAGCAAAGACTGCTGTATTAAATCCCATATACTACCAGACTCTAGTCAAGTGGTATTTGCTTATCTGTAAAAGAGACTGTAAATATCTTAGAGAAACCAACACCTTAATGCAAAGTGAAACTAATTACTGATACCATATAAAAAGTCCAGTGATATTGGTCCAGAAGAAACAACTTGCTATGATGTAAAGGGCCCTGGTCTTGGGGTCAGGCAAGTTGGGGTACTGGCATTGGCTCCATCACTTTCTAGTTAAAGGACTTTGATCTTTACCCTCTGACCACCTAGGTTCTTCCTCTGGAAAATAGGGATGACACCTACCTTGCAGGGTTGCTGCCAGTGACCCATATGTAAGCCAGAAGAAACTTATTCATTTTATGAAATTAAAGAAGAGAATTCCCAGGCAACTGTGAATTCTGCTTCTTGAGATTAAAGTTTAAATAACTAAAAATTTGTGTGCTCATATTCCTGAATTCATTTTTATATAACTTTCCTAGTAAAATATTAGGTTCTATTTTCCTGTAAATGTGTCAGTTGTTTGTACAATTGAAGCAGAGTCTATTTTTAATAAACATGTCAATTTTATATCTCTAGTAACACTTCTCTGGATACAATGGCAGTAGTAGTTCCCAAGATAATAACAATCATGAGAAGTCATGCAACATCATTATCAGTTCAGCTGGAGGCACTTCGAACTATTTTGCATTTTATAGTGCCAGGTAAGTTTCAGAATTGATTGCAGGAAGAGATAGCCAATTAAATGGAGTTTTGACTTTTCGTGAAATATCAACTTTCTAGGCAAAACTCAGAGGACCAGTTTCAAACAACCAAATGCTAATTCTTGTTATAAACTGAAAATAAGAATGTAGGATAATAAAGGATGATATGGAAGAACCACTGGAATCAATTTGTAGGAAAACTTCATAAGAATATTCAATAACTTATTACATGAGGGATAATATGGAGTTTTATCTCTAGGGAGAGTCTTCTCTGATATTTTTTCTGTATTTCTGTTGCCATCATCCAAGTTCAAGTTCAAGCTCCCCCAAACCCACCCCATACTTGCCTGAACTATAATAGTAGATAACTTATTTTCATACCTCCAGTCTTGCTTTATTTCAACCTTTCTTTTACTCTGTTGTTAAATTAGTTTTTATCCAATACAACCATGTAGCTCTTTCTAACCTCAATGGCTTCCACCCTCCAAACCCCATTTTACCTCCTACTTAATCTGTTACCTTATGTGTCCTCCAAAGCCCATTTGAAACACCTGCTCCTCCATTCTTTCAACACATTTTTATTAAGTGCTTTTTATGTTCACAACACTGTGATGCTGTCACGATTCAAAAGATGAATGAAAAAAAGCATGCTGCAGTATTATTGGAGCTTAGACATGTAAATAGTTAATTATCAGGCCATATGATAGGGGCTATTATAGATGAATGTGCAGAACACTATGGGAATATTGGTGGAAGCTCAGCTAATTTATTCAAAGGAGTATGTAGGTCAGAGATTGTGATATTCAAGATTGCGGGGTGATTACAGCTGGCCAAATAGAGAGCTAAGAGAACATTTTAGGAAGGAGGATGTGATCTCAGGTGAGTGAGAGAACAAGGAGAGGGGTGCTTGGGATGAATGTGGAAGGACAGATGGAAGCCAGAAAGTAAGGGACCTTGAATATAATGCTGAGTGATTTGTGATTTTTTTTGTAGAAGTCAACTCAAGTTTACAGATGGGTTCTTAAAAATTGTAGTATTGTGAGCATTTGTGCAATTTTTAGCAATAGCATTGTGGTTAGAGGATGATTGGCTGGGAGAGAGACTAGATGGAGAAATTGGGTTAGTGGTCATTGGTAGTCAACTGAGATATGGTGAAGGTGGCTATGGAAACAGAGGAAAAGGTGAAATTGAGCAATGGTTAGGAAATCTATTTGACAGGACAGCGTGACTCTTAAATATGAGGGCTAATAGGTTTTTCTTTCTTTTTTATTTTGTAAAATCCTAATGCTTTTCAAGTCCAGCTTTTTCCTTTTAAATTGAAAACTTCCTAAATGGACCATTTTCTGTACAAATATAGATACCTTATGTTTCTGAGTATAAGAGGCTGCCTACTATAAAAGTATAAGTCTTTTGAAGGACAGGACTTTGTTCAGTCATCTTTTAAAAAAGAATCCCTTGGTAATTTGAAAAAAAAAAGCTATTAATCAACATTTGAAAAATTGAATCATGGTGTCCTATTCATAACTGTCAGTTAATTTTTGAGACATAATTTAAATGGTATAATTTTGCTAAAGATATTATTGTGAGTTTTTTGAATTTTGTTTGTAGCTTGAAATAAAACAACAGTAACAACCAACCTCTTTTATTTATCCTTAAACGTATTGGCCTCATTCCTTTGAGGATAGATTAAACTTTTAAAGATAACAAAAAGACATTCAGAACCAACTGTATTAGTTGATAAAATAATACTGTCTTAGGCTAATAGAAAATCTTGTATGTATGTATGTATGTATGTAAATATTCTTAGTGAAAGTGATTAGTAAAGTTTACTAGGAAAGGAATACATTTTCAATAGACTGAAAGTGAGAGATCTCTGGACAGAGAGAATGAGAATGACCCAATAGCAAATTTTGAATGTAACATTTCTTTATTTTTATTGATCTTAAATTGACCCTGATGCAAAAGTGTTGGTTAATAATTATTTAGATGGTTATGGGTGCCTTTGGAGATAATTACTTCAGGGCTATACTTTTTAGTATACTTTTTAGATGGGAATGCATTTTTTGGGGGGGAATGCATTTTAATAGACACATTTTCTAAGCATGTCAGTATCTAAGTACATTTCTCCATTAGATAAAGGATTAACCATCTCTCCTGTGCTATCAAATCATATTAGCACAACACACAGTAGCTTAGCATAGAGTAGCACAGCAAAGAACAGAGCATACCCATACCATGCCGTGCTATGCTGTGCCGTGGCATTTTACATATAAATGAGTACTGTGGTGTTATATTCCAGGAGTGTTGAGACAGAATATAGTTCTGGTTTGGATATGTTAAGTTAAGGCCCTTATATGATATCTCAGTATACATGTACTTATTTATTAACGAGGCCACATTCAAGTTTCCTTAGTAACAAAGTTGTGCATTACTGCAAACTTGTATAATTCAGTATCTGGTTTAGTACAGTATGTTACATCTAGTGTTGTTTCTTTAATCTATTACTGTCTGTTTTCTCTTCTTATTTATAACAACTTATTAAAGAAATCAATCTGGTTGCATTAGTAAAATGATAATAAAGACTTGGTTATTTTAATAAAATATCATTTAACTTGTACTTTCTTGACTTAGCATTGGCGGTAGAGGAAATAATATGAAATTCTTTAAGAAGCAGCATGGGACCATTGAGAAGTATACAAAGGAGAGTAAAGAGGAATATAAAACTATATTGATAAGGTCAATAACAAGAACTGAGATTATATAATAAAGAAAAGAGATAACTTGGGGATACAAAAACTATTAAAATCTACTCATTTAAAAGCAATGGGAATAATAATATCTAACAATATAGAGGACTTAACAGTATCAGGAATTATTTGAATGTTTTATTAACTCTTTTACTTTTTATAGCAACCCATAAAACAGGTTCTGCTTTTTCTTTTACTTTTCTCTTCCTTCTCCTCTAGTTCCTCCTCCTTCTCTTTTGCATTATACAGATGAAATTGTGGTATTGAGATGTAGGTATTTTAAGGGTCACAATTTACATAACTGGGCTATGTTTCAACCAATGCAGCCTGACTCAGCACTCATTAGTGCAACAGTGTCTTCTGAACAACTGTTACAACTGAAGCACTGGTCATGAAACCCTTGAAATGTGGATGTGATGAGGTTGTGGACTCTGCCTTTGAATACACAACTCAAAGGACTGTTATGAAGAAAGGAAATTTCATCCATTCTGGATAGTAGGAACTCAAGTGATATAACAATGACCAGAGTCTAAAGCTGCAGGAATGTTCAAAATGAGACACAGAGAGTTTAAGGGATTTGCACTGTAGTGAAAGTCAGAACCTCCTTGAATAATTTTTTTTTGGGGGAGGGGAATTTTACTGCGGTTTGAACTCAGAGCCTCACACTTTCTAGGCAGGCACTCTTGTTTTTAAAGAACAATACTATTACAAGCCTTTAGAAGATTTCTGATTAAATATCGTGCTTTTTACCATTGTAATACTGAAAGTCAAATCTTGCTTTTTTCCAATATTAGCCCAACTGCTTTTCTGTGCTCCATCTCATATCTGACCTTTTATGTTGTGTCAAAATAATGCTGAGGTTTTCTCAAGTTGTATAGTGTTGCATGGATATCTTCTAAAATCTTAAACTACAGTCTATTCCTATAAAAAAGAGATTGTTTACTATAGAGAATCCTCTGGTTAATTTAAATTCAATAAAAATCCATACACATTGTGTTCATTTTATATTCTGTAATGAACTATCTTTTATGAATTTCTTAAAACTATGCGTTATTTCTTTGATAAGGAATCACATGTGTGTTCTTGGGCAAATTGTGGGGTGTTTTGTGTGTGGGGTATTAGGGGCCAAATGAAGAGCTTCATGTATGCTAGGCAAGCACTTTACTGTTGTTGAGCTCTGTCACCAGCCCAAATTATGATAATGTTTGACAAGTAGCAATTTGTTCAGCTTAAATGTTTTTAAGAAAAATATGTATGTACTTGTTTATTTTTTGTTTTTGCATTTAGGTATGCTAGAAGACTCCAGGGATGAATTTCAACATAAGTTAAATGTGATTAAAAAACAATGTTTCAGGAGTGATATCCACAAGCTGGTCCTTGCAGCTCTGAACAGGGTATGTTAAATATAGCTTTTGTCTTTTTACACTGTTAACTAGAATATTAAATTTGGGGAACTCCGGTGCCTTTTTTTTTTTTTTTTTGCAGTACTGGGATTTGAACTCAGGGCCTTCACCTTGAGACTTAAGCCACTCAGTACCACCTCTTCCCCCTTTTTGTGTGTTGGGTATTTTCAAGATAGGGTCTCGTGAACTATTTGCTTGGGCTGGCTTTGAACTGCGATCCTCCTGATCTCTGCCCCAGAGTAGCTAGGATTACAGGTGTGAGCCACCAGCACCTGCAGGGTACCTTTTTGGTTTAGGTTTTCTACCCTCTGCTTACTCTGATAGTAGGAAGTCTTATGGGAAGAAATAAGATGACAAGAGGAGTGCATGGGGTAAAGAGATGTGTACTAAGTGAAGTCTGAAAAAGAAAAGTAGACCATCAGTTCAGACTTAGAGAGCTTTTTTGATGGCTAGTCATGTAAATCTACTTGAGTTTGCTCAGTCAGAAGGACAGCCAATGAGCTGGATGGACAGATAAATTCCAGGAGATGTGAGGAAGTCTGCCTGCTATTTTAAGATAGAGGTCTTTTATGTCTGGCTGCTTGCTTTTCTTTATGATAGAGGGGTCAGTGAACAAAGGTATACAAGGTAGAACATGAAAGTCTTCTTGGATTCTCTGTGCTTGTTTTCATTGCTCTCCTCAGAGATAACCTTTGAAATGGTTTGGTGTGCATTGTTTCTTCTCAATTTTTAGGTATTTACATATCTATATTAACATGTAATATTTGCATTATACAGCATAATTAATGTGTAAGTCACACTAAGTATGAAAAAAGGGAGAGGAATTACATTTCTCTGTACAATGCAAAACGTATTGATGGAGTTAAGATAATTTGGAAGTTTAACATGAGCTGAATTGGTTCTTTATAAAATATGGGTGAAAATTTAAAGAATGATTAGGGTTAATGTTCAATGCAAGGAAGATAATATCCATAGTGATTCATGGAAGTGATTCCTTGTGATTTTTGGTGTACTTTGGTAAATGTCGTGAATTAGAGTAGCTCCAGAGAGATTGCCTTGAAAAATTCAATTTAAATTGTACTTTATAATGTAATTGTCTATAATGTGTGAGTCACTTGTACCCAAACCTGAATATGATTCTTGAGTATAGCAAGAATGTATAGTAAAATGGGCTAAATTTAATTCCAGAAATACTTTTTGAACATAAGTACATGTGTAGATCTAGTTAGGCACTGAAAAGACAAAACGTGAATATGTGTTGTACCTTTGTGTCGTGGATTTCGTTATTTGGCTCTGGGAATAACAACGAGGCATCAAAACACTAGCACCAATGAACTATACCAGCTTTGTGAACATATCCTAAGAACATGGAGAAGAAAGCTTAATTTTATTTATGGAAAATGTTGGTGAGAAGCAAAAGGTACCAGTTGATCCTTAGAGATAACTCTGGTTCTACTTAGCCAACCTTTTCTAAAGATACTGTGTGTGAGACTGATAGAGTGGAAGGAGTCAGGGGTTCAGTGAGCCAGTAAGTACTGTGATGTGTAGAAAGTCACTCAGCTCCAGGCCTACTTTCCTTTCCTATAGCCCAGGAGAAGTGATTGACAACCATTTCCTCTCGCCATGCCAACTCCTGAGCAAGCACCAACAGCATCTCACTCAACATTGACCTACTTGATAATATGGGGGTGGGGAGTTAAGGCTGTGGGGAAACAGAAGTGACAGTATTTTATTGAAAAAAGCTCCTTCATGATATTGCCCTGATCCTTCCCCCGTCTTTAAGGATGAGAATAAGTGATTTATTTAGGCTAAAATTATGTAGTTGTATGTCTCATTCTGAATAAAGGTTACAAACTTTATATCAGAAGTTTTTGGTACAAATTTTGCAGATACAATGAAATAAATTATCATTAGCAGACTAAAGTTAGACAGCAGAATTCTAAATAAAGTGAAACTTGAGATTGAACTATGATTTACAAAGCAGAGACTAAGCAAATATTTATTGAGGTGAACCAATGTTTGGATATATAAAATATATCATTAAAATTCAAACTGAAGCTAAACTCTCTTTTTTTTTGGTAAAAGGTGAATAATTTATATGATCTAAAGAGAAACCAGAGTAAAGTCTCTTGGAACATGGACACCCTACTTATGCCTGATCCTTTTAGCCTTCCACAGATGAAAATGTTTAGTTACCTGTTCCATAGCTAGGTATTTGTCTAGTATTATTTCTGGGTAACAGAGTAGAAAGTAGACTCTTGATAATTTGGCTTCATCTGTTCTGCTTGGTCAGGGAACCCAGGAAAGTAAAACCAATCTTCTGATGAAATGCTCACAAAACTTGTCACTTCACAAAATCTTGAAGCAAAGTATTTCCAGTTTAAAATTTAAGACATTTATTTCTGCTGTGAATAATATGTTCTCAAAGAAAAAACTTGTTTCAAAAGCAACAACACAACAAAAAGAAATTACATATGAGTAAAGTTAAAAAAATATTTATGGAACTACTCTAATGAATTATGAAACTCTACTCAGAGGTACAGAAGGATTGAATATAAAAAGATATATCTTCTTTTTGATTAAAGATTGTTTAAATATGAAAATTGGTCTGTATTTATGAACCCTTGATGAAAAAAATACCATTTTCTTGAACTAGGTAACCTTATGTAAAACCTGAATAACTGTAAACAGTTATTTTGCATGAATAACCAGGAGAATTTTGAAAAAGAACACTTCATATGGCCTAATTCCATTCTAATCAAATGTTTTATGAAATGTTTGTGAATAAGCTGAGCACCAGTGTCTCATACCTGTAATCCTAGCCACATGGGAGGCTGAGATCAGGAGGATCCAACTTTGAGGATAGCCCAGGCAAATAGTTCTAAGACTCCATCTCCAAAATAAACTGAGCAAAACGTGTTGAAGGCATGGCTCAAGAAGTAGAGCACTTGCTTTGCAAACCTGAGGGCCTGAGTTTAAATCCCAGTCCCATCAAAAGAAAAACAAAAAGAAAGAAAAATGTTAGTAAATAAAATGGTATAAAATCAAATGTTTTTACAATGTTAGCAAATCAAATCACACGACACTGGAACTGGAGTTCAGGAAACATAAATAAAAATGTGCAACTGGTACATAGTATTCCGCAGTTACTGGAGGAAAAAAGTTTACTCAATAATTTGTGTTAGAGTAACTAACTGTCTAGCCATTTGGGGAAAACAAAGGAAGCTGAATAATTTACCTTACATGTTTGGCCAAAATACCTTACAGGTGGATGAAATATAAAGGTAAAAATGAAATTGGCCTATGCCCATAAGGAAAGGTTCTTAACTATAATCATTATTAATGTGGATTAGAAAAGAAAATCTTTGTTGGAGGGAAATTTGGTAATACCATTAAAATGACAATGAACCTGTTTTCCAATCAGTAATTCCACAAAAAGATTTTATAAAATACATATACTTGAATGTGCATTCCAAAGATTTTTTTTAGACTAGAATGGTCATTTTGGCATTATTTGTATCAGAAAAATGTGGCAACAAACTCAGTATTTATTTGGTAATCTTTAGGCTCTTGACAAATCCTTGTAGCTCCCCACCTTCTGGCGATTCTAGCATAATATTTTGTAGGAAGGTATTTTGGAGCATGTGACAAATTTTGGCCAAGGAGTTGTAAATAGAGATTATGTTTATCATTACTGAACCAAACATTTAATACGTGGGAAGGCATCTTCCAGAACATTCTTTCAGGTACTGGGACCTGCAATTTGAGACAATGGTTGCTCTGTTAGTAATGTCCCTCAGTGATTGTTATCAGCAAAGGCCCCTCCTGACCTGCAACACAGGTAGCATGAGTGAGAACTGAACCTATTCATTTTTCAGCCTATGAAATTTGGGGATTTTTATTGCTGCCTAACTTAATGTGTCCTGACAATATAAAGTCCATCAATGGAAGCTAAACAAATCATTTATACTACATCCAAATTATATAATTCTATGTAGATATTAAAAAGCAAAGAGGTAAGATTCCTAATGTATTGCTGTGGAAAAGAATCTCAAAATTTCCATGAATATATCTGGCATGTCCCAGATATCATTTTTTTCCTTCATATATATTAATAGTAATGAAATATGTTAATAGTGGTGAAATTAGTGTATCTCTACTTCCTTATGTCTTCTCCCTTCTCTATATCACCCAGTTATTGATTAGATTTCTCTTAAAGCTTTAGCTGTCCTAAATTTTGTAGCAGTTAAAATTGTGTGCTCTGGAGTCAGGATATCTGGGTTGGAATCTTGGTCTACCACTTACAAACTGTGTACCCTGGACCAGTATTAGATTTAATCTAGTGTTAGATTTAAAAGTATCTTTTGACCTCTGGCTATAAAAGCTGAGAAAATCAGTTTTCATACATCCCTTTCTACCCATTTTCCCACTAACTTTTATGAAATAAATTTATTCTACCTTGCAGACTACATACTAATCCCACATATTTTTTTCTCTATTCCTCCAGTTATGTGGGTTCAATGTTTACCTCAAGCCCTTTCTTTATAGTTTTTTTCATTTGTTTTCATTGTCAGAATTTATTTTTAGAAGTTGCTTTCCTTGAATATGTTTATGTATAGAATGGTTTTTTTCTTATTATTGTTGCTGTCTTTATATTTGATCTCTTGAAAAGACAATTTGTTTGGTTGTAAAATATTGTGTTTTTTTTTCTTTCCTTGAAGACTTATAGACATTTCACTGTGTTCTAGTATTGAATGTCTTAGAGGTGAAGTCTGAGACAGGCTTCATTTTTTTCTTACTGCTAAATGACTGGTTGGTTTTGCCTGGCTGTCCAAAGGATTCTTTATCTTGAAAGCCACTACTTTATTATGATATATTTTGTGTTGCTTTAAACACAAAAGATTAAACCTGTTTGCTTTAATCTTCTAATATTTCAGGGAATAGTATAAGGGCCACAAATTATCAGCATGGTATTTACATATCTACATCTATCTTTCTATCTATCTATCTGTCTGTCTGTCTCTCTCCCTCTATCTATCTATCTTTGTGGCACCAACCCATACTTACTGTTTTTATCAAAAACAATGATGGGATATATAACAGAAAAAAGGGAGAAAGGAGAAAAGAAAATAAAAATATCTACTCTGCTTAGCTGACAGTGAGGAAAGAGGCCTGGTGAGTATTTTCCCCTTGAGCTGGTTAGCTGACTCACTAGAGAAGCAGTTTCAATTACTTATGGATTCTCGGAAAACAACTTGAAAGTTGTGGAACATAAGTGATACAGTGTGTCTAATGTCTTTAGGTATATTCTTCTTTTGGTATCTCCAAAAGTTCCACTTTATAAACATTTATTAAGTAGAAAGTTAATTTTAATCTCTATTTGAATGGTGATACAATACATCACTATTTTCAAGATGGAGCATTAGATAGGTGAAAGAAAAGTCCACTGTAAGCAGGTAAATATCATATATTCATGATATATATGTGTATATTCATAAATATAGATAGCCTTTTTTCAAATTTACTAAACTGCTAAAAATCAAATACCCCTGTTTTTAGTTATCAAATGCTTTAGGCATTGTCTTATGTGATCGTGCGATATTCTGAATTCTCTTGCTTTTATAGAAAAGTCACAGATTTCCTATTGCAAGTCATTAGTCAATACTTGAACTGGATCTGAAGAAGTTAGAGATTAAGGTGCTCTGTACTACAAGGATCAATAACTGAGTAGAAATTGGCTAGAGGTCAAGATATTAAAGACAAAGATGAGTGTTTTGTAATTATTAGTTTAGTATACTTTTTACACACAAATAATAAGCCTATAGTACATTTTGAGTTTAAAAGCAGAACTGGGTACAAAATTCATGAGACTCAGTACAAAGTAGGACCCCTACTTGGACATTATTAAAGATTTCAAGATAGCAAAGCAGAGCATTAAACCAAGGGTGGAGCCGTTGGTGACCATACTGGTGCATACTTGCAAATCTGACCTTGCCTGTCAAGCAGGAATGATGGTAATATTAGTCGAACAGAAAGTTCAGAATGACAATCTGACTTTTTTTTTTTTTGAAAAGGCACTAACTTTCTGGCATTGAATATATGATTTTAAGATGCTGGTGTCAAGCAAAAAGAAGTGTGGGCTTACAACTCAGAGAGCTTAAATTTGTGGTTTGAATTATCTGCTGAAAGGTCTAAGTGTCTCAAGGATTTTCATCAATACCTATAGATAATAATAGTTCATGTACATCATAGGTTTTGGGTGAGAATTAGTGAGTTAATACACATGAAGCTTCAATAAAAGCATCTGGCATGTAGGAAGTGCTGCATAGACTTTGGCATTGTTGTATAGTTGTTACAGTTATTGTTAGTGGGGTGAAACTGTTAATGTGTGAAATCCATCTACCCATCTATAAATAGAGTTTTAAGAGAAGAACTTTTTAGCAGAGTTTGGAGTTTAAAAAGGAGTCTGTGTTTGCTCATATGGAGAATCTAGACTGACTTTTTTTTTTTTTTACACTATGACATGATGTAAAAGGGAGAATGTTTTCAGATAATCAGTGGGTGGGGGAGTGGAAAAAAGGAGGGTAAAAAGGGGAAGGGATTTTATGGAAGTACATTATATGTTTGTTTGAAAATAACATAATTAAACCCACCAAAAACTGTTAAAAAGGAGCAGGGAGGAGGGATGGGAGGGGTTAAGAAAGGGTAGCATAAATGAAGTAAATTTGATCAAAGTACATTGCATGCATCTTGTCAATATCCCAATAAAGCAGTTTTGTGCAATTAACATGCTAATAAAAATGAATATAAAAAGAAAAAGGAGACTGTGAAGGAGATGGACAAATGAATGATTTTAAAAGTTTGAGAATAATTAAGGGTACACTGTATCCTGGAAATCGAGGAATGAGAAAGCAGTAATTAAGGTGTTAGTGGACTGTTTTGGTTGAATGCTTTTTTCATTTAGAGTGGTTAGGACAGAAGTATGAGTATATGAAATTAAGGGGTAGGAAGAACGTGGAGGTAGAGGGTGCAGCCTTTTCTATTAATAAGCTTATAAATGATGGAAAAGTGATAACTTGATGGAAGGGAAGAAAATTAAGGAAAACTGTCTCCCAGTAACCATTAAGTGTTTTATTTACAGTGAGAGCACTTAGCCCGAGGCCTGGCCTATGGTCATCACTCAGTGTTTATTGCATGAAGCTATCTCACTTCATCCTCCGTAATAATTCTGAATTATCAGGATTGTTTTAGAGACCAGGACCCAGAGAGACACCAAACTATCCTTCCAACTTCATATTATGTGACTTTGGGTTTTTAAAAAATATTTTTAATATATCCCCTTACTTTTCACTTTTAAGTAAATATAATTTCCTTCTTTTTTGATGGCCCTCAGATTTACAGAATTTAAACCCAAGTATAATTGGCTCCAAGGCTGATGTACTTTTACTACTCAGGGAAAGATGGTAAGATGGAAATAGTGACAGGAAAAAAGGAGGTAAAAGTGAGAGTGTCTCCTTAAAATGACACAGGAAAAGATGTCCAAACTGAGCAGTTAAGGGTGGAGGACAGAGCACAACATGAGAAATGGAGGCTTCTTCCCACTCCTTGTTCTAAAAAAAAAAAAAAGATACTGAATAAAGACAGTGGAGAGGCATCGAGGGCTGGACTGGGAAGGATGAAAGGGTATCCATTGAAAGCAGGAAGTGAGAAAGGCAGAAGGGCAGGAGGTTTTGGTCAAAGAGCTGCATCAGAAGTTGAGCCCTCGCTTGAAGCTATTTCAGGTCTATTCTGTACCTGTGGGGAGGAAATTGGATCTTGAGATACCATGAAAGTGGTGTTTGCATAATGTCGTCTATGTGAAAACTAAAATCCTGAGAAGGATAGCATTGTGATTTTTGAAAGGAAGGCTATAAGGTGGGCAGGCACATCATGGTGGAAGTTTGGAGAGGAGTGCTCTTGTGATCTGTGTGAGAGTCAGATATATGCCGCAGATGTCCCAAGAGAGATGCGACCATGGTTGTCACCAAGTGTGTGGGCCATTTCTTCTTAATGATAGGACAGCCTGGAAAAAGAAGTGGCTTTCATTAGTGCACTCATAAATAATTTCAAAGTATCTGCAGGAAATTCAGATTAAAGATGTTGGAAGGTGTCATGATTGAGATCCTAGGCTTTAAAGACACACATTCAGATTAAAGGCTTGGGGCTGATAGGATTAGCTATGTGACTTGTGCACTATTTCTCACATCTTTGAAATTTGGTAAACTGGTGGTATGAGGCTCTTGAAGGGAAGACATAATATAAAGCATGAAATGTACTTGGAGTAGCACAAATCTCATTTAGTATTCCTGTGGTGAGAGACAGCACTGCATTTTGCTGGTTAAGGATGTCAGCTTTAGGATCAAACATCCTTGCTTTGGTTTCATTTCTGCGATTTGCAGTCTGTGTGACTCAACCCTTCTTTCTGTGAACTCATCTTTGAATGAAAATAATCCATTTTGAGTTGATTTTTTGCATAGGGTGAGAGATAGGCATTAAATTTGAATTTTCTACATGCAAATATCCAGTTTTCCCAGTACCAATTAGCAAAGAGACTATTCTTTTTCCAGTGTAGGTTTTGGGAATGATATTAGTATGGATTTCATGAGATTATTGTGAAAAGAAATGTGTGTATTTAGTTCAATGCCTGACACAGAACAAGCACTGAATACCTGTTAACATGTTAACTCTTAGTGCATAAATAATAATAATAATAAATAATAATAATAATAATAATAATAATATAGGAGACAGAATTAAGTGTTCAAGTTTGTATTTGGATTAGTTGATTTATGTTTTATCAGTCTATGCTGGTTTTAATGGAGGCAAGTGTTAAGCTCTCACTTTCAACAGCAAATATTCTTAACCCCTTTTTGATTTTAGTTCGTTGGAAATCCTGGGATTCAGAAATGTGGATTAAAAGTGATTTCTTCTTTTGCACATTTTCCCGATGTGTTAGACGTGTTATCCCTGGATGGGGCTATTGATTCAGTGCTTCACACACTGCAGATGTATCCTGATGACCAAGGTTGGTACAACTTGAACTTGGGATTTATAATAGATTTTTATAGGTCACTAACGATTAGTTAGGTATCTTTAACTTTCCTTCAGTTTTTAGGTTTAAAACAATTAATTTGTTACTTTTTTCCTTTTATTTTAGAAATTCAGTGTCTTGGGTTAAGTCTTATTGGATTCTTGATTACCAAGAAGAATTTGTGCATAGGAACTGGGCACTTGCTGGCTAAAATCCTGGTTTCCAGTTTACAGCGATTTAAAGATGTTACTGAAGTGCAGATTACGGTGTGTACAATGTCTGGAAGGGAATTTGCAAATTTCTTCTGGTTTCATGTTCAATGCTTTTTTGTACTGTAATTGAATAATTGTTTTTTAGTGGAACTGGGATTTGAACTCAAGGCTTTGTGCTTGCAAAGCAGATGCTCTACATTTCGAACCATACTTTGGTTTCACTTTCAGAGCAGTTCATATATTCCCACTTTGTATTAATGGAGGTACTCTAGCTAATTAAAATCCCTTTATTATTTTGTCATATTTTGATTAGAGAAGGTGAAGAGAATTGGACTGGCTCTCTAAAGATCCAGTGTTTCATCAATAAATATCTAAAATCAGCATGTTTGTTTGCCACCTGTCTTTCTCATAAAAATGTGCTAAAGAAATTCCAATTACCTGAATTTTTTTTGCTAAGGTTTTAGATAAATACAAGTTGTTACTCTTACTCAAAGTTTCTCACCTTCTGTGTTTTATTGTGGCTGCTGGCCTCTAGTAACTTGGCTTCTTCGTTTTTCTGCAACAAAATAATATTTTAAATATTTTCATTAGACAATAGTTAAAGCATTCAATATAAAGAATCCAAGAGGTTTAAAGGTTAATTCAGGGGAGATTAAGAAACAAATTGTCAGCTCGAGCATGACACTCACCTATAGTCCCAGCTATTCCGGAGTCAGAGGTGGGAGGGCTACTTGAGCCTAGGAGTTTGGGGTAACCTGGGCAGTATAGTGAGGCACCCTCACCCAATCTCATTAGAAAAGCGAATAAATGTTTTAGCTTTTTTCTTTTAAAATTTTAGCCAAATAAATAGTTTATTTGAGTTTCTGCTTTGCTTGTGGTTTTTTAGTAATAAAGTCTGTACATTTAAAAAGCCACATTCACAGAAGATCAATGACAGAATTGACCAGGAATAAAAATATCTAGGTTCTAACCTTTGCACAAATATTGCCAGTAAATGAGAAAATGCATGTAATTTAAAAAAAATTATGGAGTGCTTAAGGCACACCATTCTTAGATTTCAAACAACAGAGCATTTTATAAATATGCTTTTTTTTTTTGGCAGTGCTGGGGTTTGAACCTCGGGCTTTGCACTTGCAAAGCAGGCACTCTACTACTTGACCACACCTCCAGTCCTTTTTGCTCTGGTTATTTTGGAATTAGGGTCTCGCTTTTTGCTCAGGCCAGCCTGAACTGTGATCCTCCTATTTTATGCTTCCTGACACAGCTGGGATGACAGGCTTTTGCCACTATACCCAGTTATTGGTTGAGATGGGATCTCATGAGCTCTCTGCCTGGGCTGGCCTCAAACCACAATCCTCCTGATCTCAGTCTCCCAAATACCTAGAATTACATGTGTGAACCACCAATGCCCAGCTTATAAATATCCTTTTTCTAAAGTGCCTCTCACTAGACTGATTAAAGCTATAGCAGAATTGATTAAAAGCCATCCAAGGAAATTGTACCTGATTTCATGCAGGTACAGTGTTCTCAATTATTCTGGAATAAGTCATTTACACATCAATTTTAGGATCTTTATAGCAGAGTTGATAAGTCATAACCAGAAGGCTAAATATGGCTTGACAATATATTTTATTTGGCCAGTTCAGTGTTTAAAGGTCCTTAGTTTGAACACATTCCCATCTCTGGCTTTGCTATAACCTTTGAGCTTGCAGGAACGTCCCTAGAGACTGTGGACAAAGAGTCTCTCAGAGCAGCACAACTTAAGACTACTTTTCTTACCAAATGTTAGTAGCTATTTGTAGACACTCAGCATCTTAAGAGCTCAAAATACTAATTTCAATATTTAGACAATTTCATTCAGATGTTGAATACTACATTAAAAAGTTAAACTGATCATTGGTGAGCTTACTCATGCTAAATAATACTAAAAGTCAAAAGTCTCATCTTTCCTTAAAACATCGCCTGTGTTGGATAGGTCAGACCAGTCTTGCGATGTTCTTGAAGTGGTTCTAAAAAGTAATTCTGTTCTTGGTAAAGAACGTGCTGAGTACTATGTACATCAGAGAACCTTCAGAACTTGTCTGTACACTCATTGTGAGTGCATGCTTGTAACTGAGGTAAAAATTTTGGAGTCAGCACATAATCCTGGGGAAATGTTGAACTCTCAGGAAAACCTAATCTGCAATCTTGTAATAATAAGAAAAATTACTCGATTGTTTTCTTTGGATATGTAGCCCTGCTGATATTCAGCTGTTCTAGGCCTGAGTAGTTTCTGGCTTTTGTCCTGGGGGTATGGATTCAGACAGGGGTCTTTAAAGGCCACATTTTGTGGGAGTAAGTCTTTTTTCTGCTTTGCTTGAGGATAGTTTGTTAACTAGCATTTATTTCTGTCTCTGCTTTATGTATTTATTTATTGTTCTCCAAGCCCTTTAATAGTCACTTAAAACAGCCAAGGCACAAGTAGTAACAAAACTTCATGTTTTATATTACAAGAAAGAGAATTTGGTATGTTATTTGCATGACACACTAATTTTCCCATAATCTCTTCTGCAATAACATTTCATTAATAAGGTCATAAAGGAAGGTGAGGGATGGTAAATGTGCCAAACTTACCAAGGGGTAAGAGGTCTGCTGTATTTCTTTCTTTCTTTCTTTATTATTATTATTATTATTTTGTGGTACTGGAGTTTGAACTCCAGTCCTATTTTTGTGATCAGTTTTTTTGAGATAGGGTCTTGAGAACTATTTGTTCAGGCTGACTTTGAGCCTCCATCCTCCTGATCTCTGTCTGCTGAGTAGCTAGGATTACAAGCATGAGCCACCAGCGCCTTGCTTCTGCTGTATTTCTTAGTAGTGAGAATACAAGGAGTATTTACAGGATTGTTTCAAGGTTTACAGTTATGGAGTACAAGCCCAAATATATCTATTTAGTGAAGTGAACATACTAGGTATTAGTATCACAAATCTCTGTTTCATATTATTTATTCTCTTTGCCCATAATTGCTTATATTATTGTTGTTCTTGGCCATACTTTCAGGGATTTCAGACAATCTTGGAAATACTTGAATTGTCAGCACCTTTTTCTAAGCTGCTGCTGCATCATTCATTTGACTCTGTAATATTCCATCAGATGTCTACCAGCATCATGGAACAAAAGGACCAACAGGTACTATGTTTCTCTCTTGCAGGCTGAGTATTTCCATTGAACCGGCTCTAATCCTCATCTCCATTCTTTTTAGTTTTTAAGCACCTGCTGCAAGTGCTTTGCAAAATTAGTTATGGACGATGAGTTAAAAAGTGTGATGCTAGAGAGAGCTTGCAATCAGAATAATAGCATCATGGTTGAATGCTTGCTTTTACTGGGAGCTGATGCCAATCAAGCAAAGGAAGCAACTTCTTTAATTTGTCAGGTAAATATTGAAGGCCTCACCTTTATCTTTTCTCCAATTTCTTGGCCTTGCCATTATACAGCTATTCCTTACATCCTGTTCTTCTTTTTCTTCTTCCTTGTTAAAAACAGATTTATTGAGATATAACTCATATAAGATGCAGTTTACTTATTTAGAGTATACAATACAGCAGGGAGTGGTGGTGCATGCCTATAATGCTAGCTACACAGTAGGGTGAGACAGGATGATAAATGAGCCAAGGTGTTTGAGGACAACCTGGGCAATATAGTGACATATTAAGACTCTATCCCAAGGGAAAAAAATGTGTCCAATCTAAGGGTTCTTAATCTGTTTGCAGAGTTGTACAACCATCATCACAATCAATTTTAGAACATTTTCATCACCCCAATGGAACTCCATAACCATTAGTAGTCATTCTTCATTTCTGTCCTCCCCAATAATCTGCCTTGTTCTCCTCCTCAGCTACCAGCCCCAGGAAATCACTTTCTGCCTATTCTGTGCATTTAAAATCATATTCTTCTATCGAAATGCAATTGACCAGCATGTCCCCATCACCACTCCCAACCCCCTAAGTCTATGGTCACCACCATTCTACTCTCAGTATCTTTGTTTGTTTCTCTCTCTCTCTCTCTCTCTCTTTCTTTCTCTCTCTCTTTCTTTCTTTTTTGTTTTTTAGAGTACTGGGGCTTGAACTCAGGGCCTACACCTTAAGCCATTCCACCAGCCCTTTTGTGTGAAGGGTTTTTTTGAGATAGGATCTTGTGAACTCTGTGCCTGGGCTAGCTTTGAACCTCGATCCTCCAGATCTCTGCCTCCTGAGTAGCTAGGATTACAGGTGTGAGCCTCAATTTCTATGTGAGCAACTTTTATAGATTCCACACATGCATGAGATCATGTGGTATTTGTCTTCCTGTGCTTGATTACTCCACTTGACATAGCGTTCTCCTGGTTCAGCCATGTTGTCTCAAATAACATGGCTTCAGTAGGTTTTATAGCTGAATAATATTCCATTGTGTTTGTCATTTTTTTAATCCATTCATCCATTGATGGGCACCTCGGTTGATTCCATATCTTGGCTATTGTGAGTACTGCTGCAATCAACATGAAGGCGTGGATATCTTTTCAACATAATGATTTCATTTCCTTTGGATATATACCCAATAGTGTAATTACTGGATTACATGGAGGTTCTATTTTTAGTTTTTCAAGGAACCTCCACACTGTTTTTCAAGATTTACATTCCCACCAATAGTGTGTAATGACTCCCTTTTTTAAAAATTCTCACCAGCAATTATGACTTTTTGTCTTCTTGTTTTAAATCATTCTTACTGGAGTGAGGTAATAACTTACTGTGATTTTGATTTACATTTCCCATTACTGATATGAGTATATACCTGTTGGCCATTTTTTTATATATTCTTTGGAGAAATGTTTATTCAGTTCACTCTATTATTCTTCACTGCAGAATTTACCAGTTTATTGTGTACTTGCTGATGATTTGTAGCTAGAGTTTATAATCATAGAGTTTCAGATGCAATAAGGTCCTATAGGTATTGTCCAGTTTGGTTCTTGTATTTATTAATTTGGATTTATTTATCTCCCTCCCTCCCTCCCTCCTTCCCTCCCTCCCTCCTTCCTTCTTTCCTTCCTTCCTTCCTTCCTTCCTTCCTTCCTTCCTTCCTTTTTGTGTTACTGGTTTGAACTCAGCAGGTGCTCCACCATTTGAGCCACAAACCCAGCCCTTTCTGTGTTAGCATATTTTTCAGATAGGCTGTTATGTTTTTGCCTGAGTGAGCCTCAGACCACAATCCTCCTATGCTTCCCACATAGCTGGGATTGCAGATGTGAACCATCATGCCTGGCTTTCCTTCTTAATTTTAGTAGTTTATGTACATCATTAAGTGGATAACTAATGTCAAATGTGCTCTTACTCTGCATCTCTCTGCAAATGGTTCTCCTGCTGCCCTCCACACAACACACGATTCTATTGTGTTGATCAATTTTCAACCATTTCCTCTCTGTTTTTAGTTTCTCTGCCTGTAATGCTCTCCTTTGAGGGCTGCTGCATATGGTAGTGCAGGCTCTGCCCAACACACCTTTGGGGGACCATGCTTGTAGACATCCCTTACGACTGCCACCCCTGAAGGTGTGTAACACTCTGGTTTTTCTCTCCTTCTGTCTGTTCCTTCCTGAATCATGCAGACATATCTATCTGATCATTCTCTTCTTCCTTCAAAATTTAATAAAGTTCTCTTTCATAAATAAAGCCTTCCTCAAACAAAATTAGCATTTACTTCTGTACATCCATGAGATAATTTATGCACAACTCTTGTACATTTTTTGAGTTGTATGAGAACAGAAATGTACAGTGTTCATTTTTATGTCCTTCAGAACATCTAGTTCATTGCCTTATGCATATAGTACGTAAGTAATAAATGCCCACTAAAATACGTTACATTCAGATTTTTCTTAATTGTATAAATTTTAGAGCTTATAATAGCATGCAGATAGTGCTATATCTATTTCTAGAAATTTAATAATATTTCTAACAAAGAAATTGTGTAGTGATTTAATATACATTATTAAATAATAAGCAGGGTACTATGTCTTCCAGTAACATTTCTTTAAGCCTTACTTTAATTTCGTACTTTGGATTCAAATCAATTTGTCAGTTATATGATTAAGTTAATGCCAATTAGTAATCACATAAGAAACAACCTGGTAGCTCATTTTCATGCACCATTACGTTTATGCATTAATATCAAATAAATAATTACATTATTTAAATTTAGTAATATTTTTTAAAAGCAAGTGGCACTGAAAATAGTTGTTTCTCTGTTCCCTCAATAATTTAATATGCTTTTATTGTGCGTCTTTTGTGTGCAGATCATTGCATTAATGTCACTTGAAGATGCCAAGGAACTAAAAAGAAATTTCCATTTCCAAGTTCTTGTTCAAGAAAAACCACAGTGAAAAACACCCATGGTGACATTCCTCACACAAAATGCTTTCTATCTTCTCTCAATATATTCGAACTTTCTGTTCAAAAGAGTTTTTTGTTTTATTTCTCTTCTCATATTCTTTTGGACTTCATACACTTATTTTTATCTTCCCTTCTTAAAGCAAAATCAAATCTTTGGTGATGGAGGTATAGCTCAGTGGTAGAGCACTTGACTAGCATGAATGACTCTGGGTTCAATCCTCAACACCACAACATAAAATAAAATAAAATGAAATAAAATAACATAAAGTAAATTGGATCTTTTCTTCCATGGATGATATATTGCATTAATAGAATTTATCCTAGTTGTTAGAGGTTATTTGTCTCTAATAAATAATAAATACTGATTAAATATTGTAGACAGACTTACTCAATGTACTTTTTGTGTTGGTGCAAAATAAGGCAATTAAAGTCATTTGTTCATTTACAAAATAGTTGCATAATTTAAAAAAGAACTATTCAGAGCAAACATGGAGTTAATCATACTAGGCTTTCTGAGAATTTAACCAAGTAATGTACGTGATTACTAGAGAGGAATATGGAGGATCAATAATGTGCATGAAAATACACCTGAAATAGTACCAACCCAATGATGGAGAGAAGAGTAAGTCTTCCCTTTCACAACCACTGTCTTTCATGTAGAAGATTATTTGATTTATGTTAGTCCCATATTTATGGCACTAATCTTAGTTTATTTGCCCAACGTATTTTAAGAATAAGTTTTGTCTCATTTTGTTTCATCTTATATTTGAGGTGTAAAGAAAAATCACACCAAATTAAATTCACCATTTTCCCAAAAGGGAACAAACAGAGTTTTTATATGTTCATGTTTTTTCTTAATAGGTGTGTGAGAAAGAGAGCAGTCCCAAATTGGTGGAACTGTTGCTGAATAGTGGGTCCCGTGAGCAAGATGTACGGAAGGCGCTGACCATTAGCATCCGGAAGGGCGACAGTCAGGTCATCAGCCTGCTTTTGAGAAGGCTGGCACTGGATCTGGCCAACAACAGCATCTGCCTTGGAGGGTTTTGTATAGGAAGAATAGAACCTGCTTGGCTTGGCCCTTTATTTCCAGATAAGACATCTAATTTAAGGAAACAAACAAGTAAGTATCAGCAGGAATATGTTATACAACTCTTTCTTTTAGTATTATTATTACTATTATTATTTTACAGTGCTAAGAATTGAACCCAAGGCTTGGAGGATGCTAGGCAAGTGCTGTACCACTGAGGTACTCTAATAATATCATATTACATAATTGTATTTTTTCTTTTTCCAATCTTCCTTTTGATAAATTGCAAGCTTCGTGGAGTCATTCAGATTTTGTTCACTTTTGTAATCTAATCTTAGCATCTATACCAGTGTTTTGGACCTAATACATAATCATTAAGCACTTACAATATTGGCAAAAGTAAAAAGTCGGTAATAAATGATGTTGAAAAGCACATGTGGAGGCCAGATCTCATGGCACACCGCTGTAATTCTAGCTACTCATGAGGCTGAAATTGGGAGGATCCCAATATGAGGGCAGCAAGTTACTGAGACTCCTAAGAAATAAGCTGGGACACATCTGTAATCCCAGCTATTCAGGAGGCATAGGTAGGAGGATCACTGTTTTTGCCAGCCCTGGGCAATAATCATAGGACCCTATGTGAAAAATAACTAGAACAAAGAAAAAAGGCCTGGAGGCATGCTCAAATAGTAAAGTGCTTACCTAACAAGTATGGGGCCCTGAGTTCAAACTTTAATAGTGCAAAAAAAAAAAGTATATGTGGAAATTAGCACTTCACACCGTTGTTTGTGGAACAGCAACTTTGTTGACATGAATTTAAATTTAAATTGTTATCTATTCAGGCCATTTGGTGATATCCAGTATCGCTGAAAATGATACTTTTGCATCATTTGTGATCTTTTGTGTTTTAGGCATTACCTTGTTGTTGATTTGTTTTGGAGGTACTGGAGTTTGAACTCAGAGCCTCACTCTTGCTGTGCAGGTATTCTACCACTTGAACTACTGCTCCAGCCCTTTTTTGTGATAGGTATTTTCAAGATAGAGTCTCAAGAACTATTTGCCTGGGCTTGTTTTGAACCATAATCCTCCTGATCTCTGCCTCCCAAGTAGCTAGGATTACAGGCATGAGCCACCAGCATCTAGCCATTGTTGATTTGTTTTGTTCTAAGGAAAGTGATAGTAAAGCTTATTAAGAAAGGAATATACTTTCAATAGACTGAAAGCAGGTTGTCTCAGAAAGGCAGATGGAGAATGGTCTGTGCTAAAGTTTTATAGGCACTATTTCATTTCATCTTTCTGTAACCCTGTGCTGACTAGGTTGTCATCTTCACTTTCCAGCTGAGGATACTGATGCTCAGGGAGTTTACATAACTGGCAAGTGATATTAGTATGATTTGAACACAGTCCTGTCCAGGTCCTTATTTATATCAAATATTTGGGCAAATGCTAATGATATATATATATACACACATATATATATATATATATATTTTTTTTTTTTTAAACTGGGCTTGAGGTGTGGCTCAACTGGCAGAACCTAGCAAGCATGAGGCCCTGAGTTCAAACCCCAATATTGCTTCAAAAAAAAAAAAAGCCAGGATACAGTGGCTCATGCCTGTAATTCTAGCTACTCAGGAGGCAGAAATTGGGAGGATAATGGTTCAAGGCCAACCCAGGCAAAAAAGTTGTGAGACCCCATTTCCCAGGCTGGGTGTGGTGGCATGTGTCTGTCATCCCAGTTACTTGGAAAGCGTAAATGGAAGGATTCTGATTCAGGCCAACCTTGGCATAAATTCAAGACTATACCTAAAGCAAAAAAAAAAAAAAAAGGACTGGTAGTACACCTGGGTAGCAAGTGTGAGGACCTGAGTTCAAACCCCAGTATCACTAAAAAAAAAAAAATTTAATCTGCCACCTGGTAATTATTCAATACAGTATCATTGTATATTGTAAAGTGACTTTGGAAGGTAGACAAAAGCTCTCTAGAAATGAGAGTATTAGGAACTTTTGTGAGATATATGTTTATTTTGTGTGACTGTTGATTTCTTGGTTTTGGTCTACTTTTTTTAGATACAGGATCCATGCTAGCAAGAATGGTCCTCAGATATCAGATGAAGACTGCTGTGGCAGAAGGAGCAGCCTCAGGAAGTGATGGGAATTTTTCTGAAGGTGTCCTGGATAAACTCGACGAATGGACTTTCATTCCTGATTCTTCTATGGACAGTGTGTTTGGTCAAAGTGATGATCTGGATAGTGAAGGTATTTATTGTAAGGCATAGTTTCCTTTATGGTTTGCACATACACTTGGGCATTGAACAATAGGAACAGAGATGAAAACCTGACAGTGCATTTGGGAAAACTTGCGTAAAAACCTATTCATTTTTGGAGACAGTTAAGCTTCCCAACTCCAGCTAAAATAGTGACTCAAAAAAAGGTGTCTCTGCACCTCCCAGTGTTAGGCAGAGGACTCGGTTCATGACCAGGCTCACAGTGAGAACACTGCTGGCTCTGACTGGAACCATGTTCCATGTTGTCATGACTGACTAGAACCTTTTGTGGTTATGTAAGCACCTTAACTTTGTTAAAGGTAGTGAGGCCAACCTTGGAGGATTACATACAGGATTTAAGAAAATGTAGGCAAAGATTGTTTAGCAAATGGGAAGAGATGAATAAAAAAATACGTCTTACCTTAATTGTAGTTAAAAACAATATTAACATTTTAACAGCTCATATGACATAACTTTTTAAAAATGTTACAGCAAATATACAATGACAGTGATTTTGGATGACATATTTAATACATGCAGTTTGGTAAACATGCGGTCAAGGGGCTTTTTAAAATTAACATAGTGTGATTTGAAAACTTTAGGTGACAGCATAAAGAAAGGAATTTGAGAAGACAAAAAGCAAAAGCTTTTCCAAAATATGTTTCAAATCCAAGTATTATTTTTTTATAAATCAACGTGCTAAGATATTATGTACATAAATTAGAATGTATTCTCATGAGTATGTATTTTCATTAGCTTTGGAAATTTATATGCCCATGTAGTCAGTCATTACTATCATCAAGTTATACAACATTTCTGTCCTTTTACACATTTTCACAGAAAACTCCCCTCTGGACCCTGGCAAGCACTTACCTGCTATTTGTCACAATAGGTTGAATCAGTGTTTTCTCCAGTTTCCTATAAATAGAATCATACAGTATGTACTCTTTTGTGTCTGGCTGTTTTCAAAGTGGTTGTTATACTCCCACCAGCAATGTACAAGCATTCTAGTTGCTCTACATTCTGGTCAACAGTTGATCTTGTCAGCCAGCTTCATTTTAGTCTTTCTAGTGGAGGTATGGTCTTAACTCCTTAGGGGTGACTTTCATTTCCCTGATGACCTGTGATATTGAGCATATTTTCATGCTCTTATTGGCCATTCATATATTTTCATTCATATTTAATAGATTTGTTCAAATATTTTGCTCTTAATATAGAGGTTTTAAACTCAGTTTTTTAAGTATCTCTTTTATCATTAGAATTTTCTATCCCTTTTAAAAAATCTTTTCCTTATCTAAATTTGTGACTGCTTTCTCTTATGTTCTCTTTGAAGTGTTAAGATTCTATCTTTTTAGTGAATATTGGTGATGTACTTCCTATATAAGAATGCATAGAGAGTAGGAGGGTGAATACAGTGCAAATACTGTGTACACATATACGTAAATAGAAAAATGATACCTGTTGAAACTGTTCCAGGAATGGGGAGGAGATAAAGGAGAATGATGGAGGGGGTGAATTCAAGTATGATATATTGTAAGAACTTTTATAACTGCTGCAAAGTATCCCCAGCACATCAAAAAAATTCTGTCCTTTACATGTAGGTCACAATCTATTCTAAGTTGATTTTTATGTGGTTATCAACAAAGGATTGAGATTTATTTTTGCTATATGAAATCCAGGTGTTCCAACATCCCTTGTTGAAAACTGTGTAATTCCTTATTGAATTCATGGGCAGCTTTGTTCAGTTTAATTGATCATATAAATATAGTTCTATTTTAGGATGATTTATACTGTGCCATTAATTTATATCTTTATCTTTTTGTTAATGCCTCATTGTCTTGATTAATTTAGTTTAATACTAGGTTATGAAATCAGGTATGATAAATCTTTTGGTGTTCTTTTTCATAATTGTTCTCATCATTCTAGCTTGTGTTTCTAATACATTTTGAATCAATTAATTTTATTGATTTATTGGGTTTATTGGTTTAAATCTATATAGACAATATAGGATTAACATAAATAACATGATACTTATATAATATTATATAATTAGGATTAATATATAAATAATTATATAGATTAGATTTCTAAACACATTTAGGGGAAATGATATCTTTTATTAATTTATATGTCTCTTGACATATAAATGTGCTATGTATTTTTATTAATTTTGTCTTTTAAAATTTCTCTTGTCTAGTGCTTGTGGCTCACACCTGTCATACTAACTACTCAGGAGGCAGAGATCAGGATGATCACAGTTCAAACCCAGCCTAGGCAAATGGTTCATGAGACCCTATCTCGAAAAGTCCTATCATTAAAAAAAAAAAAATGGGCTGGAAGAGTGGCTCAAGGTGAAGGCCATGAGTTCAAGCCCCAGTACTGAAAAAAAAATTCTCTTAACAATGTTTTGTGCTGTGTGTTTTCTGAAACTGTTGTAACTGGTGCTGTATTTTAATTCCAATTTTAGTAGTTTACTACTGGTATGTAGAAATATAGTTGATTCATTTGTATATTAACTTTGTATCCTGTGACTTGCAAAGTAAGAAGCAAAGTAAGCACTTTAGCTCATCTTTGGGGGTACAGAGATGAACTTCAATTTAAATAAAGAAAAGAATTTTGGGTATGGGGTAGAAGGTATGTATAATTAATAAATGGTCCTGGTCAAATGATCTACCAATCATTATTTCAGTTATGATTTTGAGAGGAGTTTCAGAGAAGTTGTTATCCTTGTCATCACTTGAGGAACAATCTAGTCAGGATAAGCAAGTCATTGTTGCCTGGGGGGGTCTGTCCTGCAGAAGCTCTGTAGTTCCTATCCTTGGGGATAGTTTCCTCCAGTTCTCATTGTAAATATGTTATTGATCAATTTTGTCCTTCCTGGATTCTAAGGTGGCTCAGAGCAAAGACAGATACAGACAGAGCTGCCAAGCTGTTCTCTTCTTTTAGTTAATTTATGGGCCCAAGTAAGGATTCGGTGCTTTTTTTTTTTCAATGTTTTTATTAGTATATGGTAGTTATACAGGTGGTTTCATTGTGGCATTTCTACATATATATATATTGTACCCCAGTTTGGTTCATCACCTCAGGAGTCAGTGCTTTTCAACAAAAGCAGTTTTTGAGTACCTATTACAAGAGGATTATAATTTTTTGTGTGTATTAACCTCTTTTTATTGATCTAAGTTTGCATTCAGTAACATTTCTTTCCTCCAGAGCATTTGCATTTCTTATAGTGCACATCTGCCAGAAACCTCTATGCAGATGGTAGGTGACTCCACCCCAGAACCCACAGCTACCTCAGTCTCCACACTGAGCTTCCTTCTCCTTTATCTCCAAAAAGTCATCTGACATCCTTTAAATTCCTTCTTTCTGTATCTGTGGCTCCTAAATTGCCTCTAGGTGGAAGGCAATTGTATGGTGGCCATAGGGCTCGCAAAATTTATTTCCTTTCTTTAGGGATTGCATAGTCCTGTGCTGTCTTTGCCAAAAGTTTTAATCTATGTTTTATTCAACAGATTTTGTTGAGTTCTCTAAGTTAAGTTTGTGCTTGTTAGTATTGAAAGAACTCTCTTCAAGTAACTTTTTCTTTCTTTTTTTTTGTAGTGCTGGGGATTGAACACAGGGTCTCATGAATGCTAAATATGTACTCTACCACTGAGCTATACCCCTAGCACCTAAACTCTTATTAAATAAAGTGAAATATTAGAAGGATAACATAAAAATCATAAATTGCACTATTTTGCTTATATAAATAGTATGCTAGTAGACCTTTCACAAACATACAATGAGACAATTATAAAAATGCAATACTTTTATAAGATACATAAATAACAAATTATGAATTTTATTTTATTCTAATTCTTAAGCATAAAAATCATTTAGAATATATGATGAATTAAATTTTAATATTGAACCAGACAGGTAATGTTTGTATCAAGATTTGGATATGTTGATTTTATAATTGTTGACACCAAAAATTAATTCTTATTCTTTTTGAGCTAAAGAGTGATAAGATTTAAAATCTTATAAACAGTTTTTTAACAAATGCCTCCACATTATTTATTCTAACAAATCTGATTTTCATTGTTTGAAAATTCATAATTTTAAAAGTATTTTTCATCCCTTATTTCACAAAATAATTATTGCCAACTAGGGCTGGGAATGTAACACAGTGTTAGAGTGCTTATCTAATGTGTGTGAGATCCTAGGATTAATGCCAGTACAGTAAGAAAAGAAACTACCTAAAAGGCTGATGCCAACTCAACCCATTGAGTTTATGAAAATCATTTCATGAAAGAAACTATTCAAATAGAGTTATACTCAACACTGCTGTACATCCAGTCATTTAAAGTATGATTCCATTATTTATAGTCAAATTTTAAACATGTGTGAGAAAAATTCAGAGAAATAGAAAAGATGAAAAAATAATATTGATCACATTTGTGTACAAACTTTCTTTGCTTCCTCTACACACAAGTATTAACTATTGTGTGTGAAACCTTTGGTCCCTTTTGCCTATTGCTTCTGGCCTATGAAAACTGGTCATGGATTTCTTTCTTCTGCCCATCATTATCCAGCACTTACTCAGTGTCTCTCTATGGCAGCCACTCAATAATTATTTAAGGAGGTAGAAAAAAAGTAGTTGAGTTCTTAATATGAAACACCAACTCATTTTAAAGATATTACAAAGGGAATTGATTATCCAGTTTCTGTTAATGAAAGTATAATCTTACATGACTAAACTGTAATGCTAGCATCTATCTTATGATTGAGTTAACTTTTCCTCCTCAATTTCATGTTTTGTTGTTTCAAAATAGGAAGTGAAGGTTCATTTCTTGTGAAGAAGAAATCAAATTCAATTAGTGTAGGAGAATTTTACCAAGATCCTGCATTACAACGCTGCTCACCAAATTTGCAAAGGCATTCCAATTCATTGGTAAGTGAAATTGTGAGTATGTTGGATGTTTGGTTATTGACATTCTCTTGATAGCTAATATTTGTGGAAAAGCTAGAAGTGATTGCCACAGAATTCCCTAATTTATGAAAAAATATGAGAAAATATATTAGATATAAATTAACTTTACAATTATAGGATATTAAGGATATATAATATAAATTTGGGTCATATATGTATTCACTGATTATACTTCAGAATGGTTTCAAACTTCCTTCTTTTCAGAGAAAAGAATGTATGTGTGTATGGATATATTGTACATATGCACATATTTGCATATTGAGAATCATTTAATTTTATAGAAACATTGTTCTTGTTTAATTAACAATTATGGAAAAACTATGGCACATCTACATGAAAAGTGGTAATTCTAGTTGGGAAAATTGGGAGCTACTGTATTTTCAGATTCACTCACTTAGAAAGATTGATGCTTTATATGCTCTAATTTTTATCATAATTCAGTATTAAAAATAAGAGAGCTATTTTTTGTTAACTATAGATCTTAAGACTGGAAACATTAGCGGAATAGGTTAAATTAGGCCACAGTGTTGCTATACACCATTTCTAATTTACGTAGGTACTTTAGCTAGAAAAGGTATTTCAGTTGATGGAATTTTATGTAGAAGTTTTCTGACTCGACCTCTCTGCCTTTTAGTTTCCTTTTATTTAAAACCAAAGCAGAAAGACCTTTGTGAGGTCGTTCTGGCAGTAACATGGATTGTTTTCTTTTATCTTCATGATTGGGCTCTTAGTTTGTACTTGCCAATTTCCTGCCACGATTTTAGATCTCATTTATTCCATTAATATTTCATAGTTGCTCCACATTGTTTCAAAAACAAAAAAAACTCCCTGATAGCAATTTTATTGTAAACATTATTATTTGTTTAATAGGGGCCCATTTTTGATCATGAAGATTTACTGAGACGAAAAAGAAAAATACTGTCTTCAGATGATTCACTCAGTAAGTGTTTGAAAGTAATCATAAGTAAATAGATATTTTGTGCAGAATATAATGCTTTGTTAAGTTTTCTCTCATTTTCAAATCTTCACAGTTTTACTTTTATCTTACATACCCTTCATTTTTATTTACCTAATAATTCCATAGGCTACAGAAAAATGAAATATAATTGCCAATTAAAAAACTTACCATTTATGAATATTATTGGAAACTTTTTAAATGGATTTTCTGAAATCTAAATAATACACCAACCAATACTGTTCTTCATCTCCTTCAGTTCTTATTTTGTTTTTTTCATCAACTGATTAAATATTTTTTATCTCAGTTCAGTCAGTTACTACTGATTGAGTATTTTTATTTACTGTCCGTCTCTGCCACTGGAATACAATAGTTGTTTTTTTGCTGAATATCCAGTGCCTTGAAGAGAGTCTGACAAGAGTAGGTACCCAGCAGACTTTTTCCAAGTAACTTTAAATTGTATACTTACATTGCCATTGTTTGTTTGTTTTTGACAAAAGGGTCATCAAAACTTCAACCCCATATGAGGCATTCAGACAGCATTTCTTCCCTGGCTTCTGAGAGAGAATATATTACATCATTAGACCTTTCAGCCAATGAACTCAGAGATATTGATGCCCTGAGCCAGAAATGCTGTATAAGTGGCCATCTGGAGCATCTTGAAAGGCTGGAGCTTCACCAGAATGCACTCACAAGCTTTCCACAGCAGCTATGCGAAGTAAATTGAATTCATCCTTATAACTTGCCGGACACTTCAAGGGCTATTGTTTTGACATCTAACTTGCATGGTTAAATGTTTCAGAAGCAGGATCTATTTTTATGTCATTAGTTTTATGTCATTAGGTAATAACATCCCTCACCCATTCTTCTGGTTTTCATGCAGGTATCTTAGCCTGAGTGGTGTTCAGAGCCACCTGGGAAGGAGGCAATGGAAATGAGGACTTGATTGTAAGGAATTCCAGGTCTTACCCTGGTTATGTGGAGTTCATGTTAAAGTCTATCAAAGCTTATGTTTTTACCCTCAATTATTTAATTCCAGTAAGATAGCTTACAGTATTTGGATTACATTGATTTGGTAGTATTGGCTTGGACTTGGTTACTACATATGTTACAATAAGAATTTGTCATTCTTCCTGTGCTAAGTCATCCTCACCTGTAAAATCTAGGGGTTCAACTAAATGATCACAGTGTCATTTTTTTTTCAGTTTTAAAATTATATACAACCTGAAAACTGATATTTTGCACAGTTCCTGTTTTGCATAGCTTGTTGATAGGGTAGTCCTCTGAATATTGACTTTATCACTTTTATGTGCTATTAGTCAACATAGTTTTTAAAGCCAAAGACAAATGACAATGGTGATTTCAAATTATCTCAATACAAATACTTAAATTACTAAACTGGATTCTTGGAGTGAATTGCAAAATATGAAAAAAGGATTATACTTGCTTTTAAAAAAACTAGTCTTGCATTTTCCTTTTTTCAAACCTAAAGCACTTATCATAATTTTGAGATTTTTTTAAAGCAAACCTGCATGAGTTTTACCTATATTTAAATGATGAATTTCCTCTAAAGTCTTTAACCTAGAGTGAGAGAGAGAGAGAGGAGAGAGAGAGAGAGAGAGAGGAGAAAGAAGGTGACCCTCTTATTTCCATCCCAATATTGAAACTGTGTTTTTTTTCTCCTTTACCTCTGCCTGACTAAATCCTTCAAGTCTCCTTGGTCTCTGCTTAAAAGTTTAAATGTCACTTCTTCACTCTGTGCTTTTCTTTCTTTCTTTGTTTCTCTTCCTCCTCCCCTTTCTTCTTCTTCTTCTTTGCTGGGACTGGAACTCAGGGCCATGTGCTTGCTAGGTACACAAACCACAGAGCTATCGCCCAAACCCTTGCTTCTCTTTCTCCTTCCTCCCTGAAGTCTAGGTTGACTACCAACCTGGTTTACACTTCTGTAGCACCCCTGTTTTCCAGTCCGTTTCCCCAATGCTTCCCCCAAATCTCATTCTCTCATTTGCTTTAATTTGCTGAGTATTGCCCTCACTGGAGTGTGAGCTCCTTGAAGACATAGACTATTTCAGGATTGTCCTGTCCATCCCCAGTCCTTAGTAAGCCCTGACATGTGGCTTACTATAGGCTTTGTAGATACTTACTGAACTCATAAGTGGAGGATTAATGGCTGACACTGGGCAAGCCTTCAATAATATTTGTCACATAAATAAAAGAAATAGGATTTAGCCCAGGTAAAACAAAGAGAATTTTAAGATACCATGACAAAGTGAAACAGAGCATCTAATGACTCAGAACCTTCTCTTAGAGAAATTTCAAAGTGACATCACTGGATGGCATTTTTTTGGTAGTACCTGAAGGGTCTCAGATGTGTCTTGTTACAAAATTTTTTTTCTTCATTAAACCTTGAGAGTAAGTAATTAAAAAGTCTTTAAATTGGTGGGATCAGAAACGAAGGCAGGGATTTTGAATAATTGGGTGAATCATTAATAAGCCTTTATAACCACATCAGACTTTCTGCATTTTCTTGTGAGGTTAAACATATTGACATATAAAAATATGATTGTTTTAGGAATTTCAGTACTTTGACAGTAATCCAAAGTAACCAAAGATTCTTAAATTGACATGCTCTGAAAACATGTTTGCTATCATCTTTGTAAAATTAGAAAGTGCTTAAAAATAGAAACCAGAGATCTGAAATAAAAAGTTCCATAAAAAAGAGGAAGTACTAAAGTAAGGCAGTTATGGTAGCCCAGGTCTGTAATCCCAGCTACTCAGGAGGCATAAGTAGGAGAATCATAGTGCAAGTCCAATCTATCCGAGAAATAATTGACCCTATCAAAAAAATAACTAAAGCAAAAGAGGCTGGAGTGGTTGATCAAGTGAACATTTGCCTAGCAAGTGCGAGCCTCTTAGGTCAAGCCTCAGTACCATGAAGAAAAACAAGCATAAAATAAAACGTATTTTATTGGACTACTTTCATGGTTAAATCTTATTTATATTAAAATGTATAATGACTTCTAAAAGGCACTATTTTAAAAAATGTATTCCCAGGATTAAGTTGTTTATCCATGAAATCAATTATACTGTTTAGTCATTAAATCTTTCGTTCAAATACTGCTAGTCTGTTTTGTTTTCATCTTGCTCTTTGCAGAAGTAATTTACAAAAAAGCTGAGTTAGCTCTCATCCCTATTTTTGTGAACCTACTTTTGATAGTTACCTGTGCTATTTTGTTTTTCTGGTTTTACCCATGGCTGGGTCAGTAAGTATGTTGAAATTCTGTGTGGATTGTGTTTTCTTTTTTTTTTTTAATTACTTGATGATCCTAGTTACCAGAAAGGCATGTAAGGCAGAAATATTAGCTCAGCTCACTTATCAAGTGATTCATTTTAGAATATTAAAATTTTGTCTTTTCAGACTCTGAAGTGTTTGACACATTTGGATTTGCACAGTAATAAACTTACATCATTTCCCTCTTACCTGTTGAAAATGAATTGTATTGCCAGCCTTGATGCCTCTCGAAACGACATCGGCCTCTCCATCGTTTTAGATCCTGCAGTGAAGTGTCCTACCCTGAAACAGCTCAACCTGTCCTATAACCAGCTCTCTTCTGTACCTGAGAACCTCACTGATGTGGTGGAGAAACTGGAGCAGCTCATTTTAGAAGGGTGAGGAAGGGGTTCTTTAAAAGCAGTGGGCTTGACTTACATCGAACTTTCTAGGGTTGACAAAAATGTGCTGAGATTATAGTAATAAGTTTTAAACAAAAATATAATAAAAGACTAAGGCAATCAATATTACAATTTGTATCAATTGTTTTAAATTCTCACAACTAATTTAAAAATGAATAATTATTCTTTGATGGTAGAAAGCAAATTTTGAAGGCAGATTTTTTTTTGAGTTTATGCAATTTAATCATTTTTGTCTTTTACAACTAGAAATAAAATATCAGCGATAGGTTCCCCTTTGAGCCTGAAGGAACTGAAGATTTTAAACCTTAGTAAAAATTGCATTGCATCCCTACCAGAGAACTTTCTGGAGGCTTGTCCAAAAGTGGAGAGTTTCAGTGCCAGAATGAATTTTCTTGGTAAGTGTTCTATATGGATCTCATCCTTAACAGGATTTCTAAGTGTCAAAGGATTAGTCATATTTGGACAGTTGAAGTGAGAATTTAAAGGTGATATGTCAGTATTGCATGGGCTTTTCACAAACTTAGCCAGTTAATGACAAAAAGAAATAAGCTGTTGAGCTCATTGAAAAGACATGCAGGAAGTGGACATGCATATTTCAGTGAAAGAAGTCAGTCTGAAAAGACCACATACTGTTTGATCCTATCATGAGAAGGCAAAACTATGGGTATAGAAAAAAGATCCATGCTTGCCAGGTGTGGGGGAGGAGGGAGAGATGAAATAGGTGATTTTTAGGGCAGTGAAACAATTTCATATGATACTAGAATGGTGGACATCTGTTACATATTTGTCAAAATCCATACACTGTATGTTCCATAGAAGGAATAAACCCTAAACTGAACTATGGATGGGTGATAATGATGTGTTAATTTTGGCTCATTAATTGTAACAAATATGCCAAACTAATGGAAGTTGTTAATAAATAGGGAAAAAATGTGCTTAGGGAGGTGAGGGCAAAGGGAGAAACTATCTATGGGAACTCTCTACTTTCCAATCAAATTTTCTGTGAACCTAATGCTGTTCTAAGCAAAGTCTTTAAAATATATATATAATTTAAAAGTAATGATCACATTGCTATTGTCATGGGCTAAAATGACAGTCACTTGGTCTACAAATAATAGTTACACTGCTGTTCCTTTTAATCTGTTACACTGCACATGGCCACTGAGCTGGGTAAAGAAAGCATCCTTGTACTAGAATACTGAGCTCCATACTGAAGTTTCCTCAGCATTTTTTTTGTATTAAGAGTACAATTACTATTGCTGTTATTTTCAGAAATAAAATTTAGCATTGAACAGTTTTCACTTTAGTAAGGATGATTGTATGTATTTAGAGCTTGCTTTTTTCAAGATGCTACAATAGAGTACAGTATGAAAACTTTTATTGAAAGTTATGAGATACTCTCAGTTTTTTTAACATGTGAGGTAATACAGGGAATTATGTTCACTTGTAACCTACCAAGCATTTTAATATAAGAGACAAATACCTTTTTTGACAAAACCCCCCCATATTCTATCTTAGTAAAAGTGACATGCACCTTCCTCCTCTTGTGTAAGTAAAAAAAAAAAATCCATAATGTTGTTTAATAGTGGAATAGACTGCTTATTTGAAAATACTCTATTTTTGTCAGATCTTCCGGAAACTAATAATGATAAAATCCACATTAATGTGCATAGTATTTTCCTCCTGAACATTGACTGTTTTTATTATGAGTCTGAAACTAAGGATAGAGTAATTTATTCACCAGAAAGTCTCTGTAATTGAGGAATTTATACTCAAATTCAGAAGACAAGTATTAAAAAATGATGGCACAAATAAATGTAATTTTATTTTGTGCTAAATGTGGAAAAGTTTTAAGAAGCTAAGTGTATCTCTGGGGATCTGATTTAAGCTGTAGAGTCAGGGAGGCATTTCTGTGTCTGTGATTCTTTAAGTTGGGTCTGGAAGAAAGGTCACCTGAAAGTACTCTGAAGCTTGATTAAGGTCAATATGTCATCTTAGCTGAATCTCACAAAAATTTTACAGGGCAGAACAGGTATGACCTCTCCTTCACTAATGGAGGAGATAGAAGCATTGAAATTTTCTTGCGATGTGTTCAGAGGCATGCAATTAAGTAACGTTATAAGAGCTTGGATAGAACTCAGTTTAAAAATCGGCTTGCTTTCAGTGGTGTTAGCCAGCTTTCCTTTACTGTAACGAATACCTGAGATAATCAGTGCGGAACAAAGGTTACTTTGGCTCACAGCTTCAGCTGTGACTTGTTGCTTTGGCCTGTTGCTTTGGCCTGTGGGACTGCAGCATATCAAGACAAAGACATGTGATGGAGGAGGATGCTCAGCCTCGTGGTGGCAGAGAAATGAAAAAGAGGGACTGGAAAGGGCCGTGATCCTAATATCCTCTTCAAGGGCACATCCTCAATGACCTAATTTCTTTTCACCAGGCCCCAGATACTGAAGGTTCCACTATCTCCCCAAAGGTTCACAGCTGAGGACTAACCTTTCAACACCTGGTCCTTTGGGGCATTCAATGTCCAAATTATAATACAGCCTTAATGGTTTGGAAAGTGGTCTTACATTTGAGAAGATGCTCAGTGGAGGGACCCTGAATGGGACCCCTAACTATCAAAAACAATTCCGTGGAAATGGAGTCTTTGATTTTAGGAGTGTTTTCCGTACAGTGTCTGAGCCACAGAACTTCATTTCTTAGTTGGAGAATAATTTTTACTCATTCATTTTGTCACAAATGAATTTTGGAAGTAGGTGAGTGTATAATGTCTATCTCTGTATTTCTCAGAAAGACCTTCTAGCAAGGTTCTAGAATGTCTTGTGCTTTGGAGATTTTCTGTATAAAATATAATTCATAGCTTAACCTTGAAAATGCTAAAAAATACTATATTAAGCCATTTTCACAGAGCCTTAGATTTTTAGATTAAAAAAACGCTAGATTTGAATTCTAAAGAATCCAAGTTCATCTGGTCTAGCTGCACTGTTTTACAGATGAGAAAACAGGCTCTTTGATTTGCTGTTTCTCAAATTGTGTTCTATACAATTTTATTTCTAGAAATACCTCATACTATATATTCATCTTGAAAATTCATAAAATACGTGAAAATATTTCCTGGGAGATATTTAACTTTATTTTACTGAATGTTTTCCAACCTCTTGAGATTAATACTTTTTTGGGGGTGGGGTGGTACTGGAGTTTGAACTCAAGGCCTCATGCTTGCTAGGCAGGTGCTCTATCACTTGAGCCATACCACCAGCCCTCTTTTGTGTTGGCATTTTTTGAGATATAAGATCTCACAAACTACTTGCCTGGGTTGGCTTTGAACCACAATCCTCCTGTTCTCTGCCTCCTGAATAGCTAGGATTACAAGAGTGAGCCGCTGGCACCCAGCCAAGATTAATAGTTTTATTAAATAACATTCATTTTTGTTCCATAGGACATTCTTTATGACCATGGTCTGATAACTTTTATCCTTGTACTATACTATATACTATATGGTGTATTAATAAAGTGTTCATGGTATGGTATCTTGTAGCTACTTAAGAGTAATTTGAATTAATCTACACTATATGTCATATAATAACATCACCTAATTTGCAATGAATATACTAATAATCTTTACTTTGCAAAATGTAGAGTAGCTGAGTTTATATTTATGTAGTTGTTTAAAAGCGTTTAGAGTAAATTTCTGGTAAGTATGTAGCATATTGTTTGATTGTTTAGTGGAAGTAGTAGAGGATATCGCCTCATTTTATAAAGTAGATTTATTTTAGACTATCAGGGTGAAAATGGAAATTAAATTAAGTGGCATGTCATTGGTAAATGTTCTTACTGACTTTAACAGAAATTAGTTAAAATGATTAAAAAGTTCATTATCTCATTTTTATTTCTTTTTAGCTGGTATGCCTTTCTTGCCTTCTTCCATAACAAGCCTAAAATTATCTCAAAACAAATTTACATGTATTCCAGATGCAATTTTAAATCTACCACAGTAAGTTTATTGCTGTTTTTATTTTAAAGCCACATGAGCTGGGGCAGAACTTTTACAAACATGGTTTTGATTCAGGCATATAAGTGTAATTCATTTCTGAGCCTTCATGTTTTTATATGTGTAAGTGTTTGATTTTCACTAGACAAAAGACCCAAGTCTTTAATCTTTTATATGAATTTATTGGGTTATTGTGCAGAAACAACCTAATATTATGTAATTGTTGCATTATTATAATCAAATGAGATTGCTTTGGCTATCACCTTGTTTTTTGGAGGTACTGGGGGTTAAACTCAGGGTCTTACCTTGCTGGATAGGCAGTCTACTACTTGATCCACGCCTCCAGCCTTATCTATCACTTTAATTTTCAATTTTTAATTCCTCTTAGAGGTCGATATGCCACCAAAAATACTTAACTACTTTGAAAGTACTTAAGTTATGTTTGACTGACATTTTGGTGAACATTTTGGGAGTTTTTGGTTAATCGCATTGAAAATAAAACTTTCGTGTTAACTATAAATTTATGTATTAAGATTTCAAGTGAGATGTCATTTTAAATACTACTCTCTGTGTCATGCATTGTAAACCAAATTCATAATATAAATCAAATACATAATTAGCATAGTGTGTTTATATATATGCAAATATAAGCATATATAGGCAAATAGTAATTATAATCTAGCCATAGAGGGCATCAAACACAAACTAGTTAACTTGAATCTATGGAATGTTTCAGCCGCTGTTCTGTTTTATAGTGGTCATCTTTTTTAAATCTTCCTGATAATTCTACAAAATACTACTGTTATTATTTCCACTTTGTAATCTCATTAGAGAGATGAGGTATCTGCCCTAGAGTCACCATTCTTCAACACTAGATAAAACTTCAAGTCTGGTTCAACGTCAGACTCTAACTCTTATAAACACCTATCTAATCTCGGTAGTCTCATATTTTAAATATAACATATTCCTGAAAATGTGTTGGAAAATCAAATATTTATAATAGTGGACTAGGAGATAACATGACAAAGAACATTTCTTCCCAAAGAACTAAAAACATAATCCAGTACCTAACTCTACCATACTTTAGGTACTATTCTCAGGCATCCATTTCTAACCTTTGTATGCATTTCTTTGATTTTCTTTGTTTCACAAATGAGCAGAGAGTTGGTCAGTTTAAGTCTTGACTGAGGCTAAAGTGGCACAGCTTTGTCTCAAATGCATTGCTTGTTAGACATAAAGTATTATCTCTAATACAGTCAAATTCCTTTTCTTGTTTTCCATACACTTTTATAAGGTAACTAGGGCAAAATCTAGTACATTTTAAAATAAGAGCACAGATGTTGCTTTGAAGACCTAAATTTTTGTCTAGCAGGCAGTTCTGCTATGTGAGCTTGGAATTAATTCAGTAAGCTTCAAAAATGCTGGGTGAAATGGGTCAGTATATAATTGTGAAAGTCCCAGCAATCTTTTGCATAGTCAAATATACTGCAGTTGCTGACTGACTTTATTCTCCCTGCATTAACACATACATGTATGGCTGTGTTTTTCTGCAAACCTTGAGCAGCACTGCTGTATGAAAGCAGTCTGCATTGAGAACCCATTAAAAGCCATGCAAGATGCTCAGTGCTGTGATAAAATTGTCACATTTAGGCAGCTGGTAAAAGGGTGTACCCATGCACTATAGTAACTAACTATAAGACCCAACCTCTGAAGTGTTCTGTTTAACAGATAAATGGGGGGGCTACACATTTGTAAACCTTGCACAGAAGGCAGGAATCTTAATGACCATTTTTACTTTTGTTAATTGTAATTTCTCATGCACCACTGGTCTACTCCTCATTCTTTTTTTTTGTGTATGTAAATTTGTTTTTATAATTGTTGTACTGGGGGTACACCGTGACATTTACAAAAGTGGTTGCAATATATCATAGTTAAATTCACTCCCTCCACCATTCTCCTTTCCCCCCTTTCCCCCGTTCCTGGAAGAGTTTCAACAGGTCTCATTTTTCCATTTACATACATGTGTACATATTTCTACCATATTCACCTTCTTACATACCCTTTCTTTATATCCTGCCCCCTCCCACTGGTACCAACCCCCAAACAAGACCTGTTTTGCCCTCCTGTTCTCCACTTTTATTTAAAAAAATGACATTTTTATTTAAAATAGCTATACAGGGTATTTCATTATGACATTTCCATGTTGTATCTGAAGTACATAAAGGAAATTGGACCTCAATTTTTTTCTTTCTTTTTTAAAAACATCTTTAACTAATATATATAAATTGGACATCTATATTACCATGTGCTGTTTCAATACATGTATACATTGTGTAATGTTCAAATCAGGGTAACTATATCTGTCTTTTCAAACAATTATCATTTATTTATGGTGAAAACATTCAAAATTCTTTCTAATAGTTTCAAAAAAATATAAAGTACATTATCATTATATATAGTAATCCAACAGTGCAATAGAATCAATTTTGCTTTTACTTTATCAATTTTTTTGTTTTAATCAGTTTTGTCCTTATTCATTTAAATCTCCAGCTCAGTGAAACATGACTTTTTTCTAATCCATGTATGCCTGATGTACATACAATCTCACATGCATACTTACAAAATTAATATTAGCTTTAAAGTTGTATCTTTTTCTCACTGTGGTGGAAATTACTTGTGATGGTATTTCATGTATTTTGAACATACTCATTTGACTTTCATCTTGACATTGAATCATTCTAGCTTGCGGTCCTTGGATTTGAGTAGGAATAGTATTGAAAGTCTGCCAGGTCCTGCACACTGGAAATCCTTGAACTTAAGGGAGCTGCTGTTTAGCTATAATCAGATCAGCATCTTGGACTTGAGTGAAAAAGTCTACACATGGTCTAGAGTAGAGAAACTACATCTTTCTCATAATAAACTGAAAGAGGTAAGAGACTAGCTTGATTTGTTTAAAGTTATTGGGAATTTAAAAACATACTTCATAGTTTGCATTCTCATAAATTATTTTTAAATCTGTTACTTGCTATTTCTTACTTTTTAATTAAGATATGACCTTAATCTGTGGTAAGTGATATATTCACTTATTCACTTAATTTCCTAAAACAACAACCAAACTAACATCCAACAAAGAGGGCTGACTCAAGTGATAGTGTGCCTGCCTAGCAAGTGCAAGGCCCCATAATGGAAAAACAAACAAACACACAAAACCGTTCTTTGTGCTTTATTTTCAAGAACTGTATAATATGTATATTTAATTATGGATGTGTATAAGTGTAGCATTGTGTCACTGCATCTCTGATCTGTTCACAGACTCTCATCTCAGATACTCTGCATTTCTCAAGGTCTCTGGGCCAAAGGGAGCTGTGTTTATCCTCTTTCCTTCCTACATCCTAAAATTTCTGCATTCTCCCACCCAAATAACTCAGCCTCCTTTGCTTTGATCCACTCCTTCTGTTATAAATCTGAACTTGATTATCCAACATGTCTCAGAAAATATTTTTTCTTGTAAAGTTCAAGCCTATTGCCTATGAACTAATCCCCCTCCATAACTAAATATTTTTGGGTATCTCAATTTTGCCAGCAAATGAATGTTTTCTGTTATAAATGTAATGTACACTGCTTAACAAATTTGGACTAGAAAATGAAAATGATACTCTCTCTACAACAAAATTAGAAATAAGGGCAAAATAGTTTCTGCTGGGTATTGGGGGGTGTGGGGGAGAGGGAGGAGGCGGAGTGGGTGGTAAGGGAGGGGGTGGGGGCAGGGGGGAGAAATGACCCAAGCCTTGTATGCACATATGAATAATAAAATAAAAAAGAAAAAAAAAAGAAAATGACCACTCTAATGAGGCTACTACCTAAAGTATAAATATTTAGTCATGTCTTAAGAATAGCAAGTTGCATATACGTTTGTAATGACTTTGCCTATATGGTTTATTAAGGAACATAGGGAGTGTGAGGGAGCAGAATGGAGCCATGGATAATGGATTTGGATGACTCTAAGAAACTTTATTTTCAATGTTGTGATGAAGTGTATTACCAAGGGAGACTGGATTTTTAATGTTATAAGTCACGTAGATTTCTGTGAGGTTGAGTTCTTTATAGTATGTTTTGTATGTTGTTGTTAAGCATGTACATTAAAGGCTTATGACAAATCTTTGGAAAGTTTTTGAACTCTATTGGGAGGTTGTGCAAGTTGCTGATGCAATCTATAAGCCTTTCTTGGGTCCTATCATCTCATCCCCTTGCAGCATACATTTCTTCCTTCCCACCAACAGGTTTTGCCTTTTTTTTGTTTCATTAAGATTCCTCCTGAGATTGGCTGCCTTGAAAATCTGACATCTCTTGATGTGAGTTACAACTCAGAACTGAGATCCTTTCCCAATGAAATGGGGAAGTTAAACAAAATATGGGATCTTCCATTGGATGAATTACGCCTAAATTTTGATTTTAAGCATATAGGATGTAAAGCCAAAGACATCATAAGGTTAGATGATGTTATTTCCATTTATTTTTATTAAATTTGTTTCAGATTTCTTGCCTGTGATTTTGATGTATATGTAGTTATAATTTGAGGAAAATGAATAGTACTATTTAGCATTCATGTTCGATGTGCCATTTGCCTTCATTTGATAAATGGGTCTGTGTGGTGCCACTGCTGCGGGTTTTCATTCTTGCAGCCAAGCCAATGCTGAGCAAATGCCTTCTCCTCCTATCACCCTTTTCAGTAGGAATGGACTCTAGAAGACGTGGGCATTACTGTGTTGTCTCTTGTGCCTAATCACACGATCTAAAGAAACATAGCAGAGTATAGTACTTCTCACACTGCATCCCATATGGCAAAGAGTTAACCTATGCCTCTGCCGATTTAAAGCATGTAGTCACTGATACATGAAATTACTAATTTTGATTTTGCCTATGAGAATAAATAACTCACATATCTCCATCAATTTTGAAAACTTCCCAGATATCACTATGTTTGGTTTTCATACTTTAAAAAACTTAAAATATCTTTGATAATGGATGTTACCCCACCTGTTCTCTTTAACACGTTATTCTTATTATTGCCTACTTGTAGCACCCTTTATTTCCTTGCCCAGGAAGTTACGGTGTCTTGTAGACCTCTTCTCAGTGCACACCTCTCAAAATATCCTTAACTTGACTGTGACATCCGCCAAGGCAGGGAGCAAGACTGTTCACTTACTATTACATTCCTGGCGCTAAACATAGAGCCTGGCAAATGAAGAATAGTTAATCACTCACTGAAGTGATGTTCACTTCTCCAATTCTCTTCTGCTTAAATTCTGTTAAATTTATATTTAAAATTCTACTTCTTTTAGCAAGGAAGGATTTTATTTTATGAAATCCTGAGTTTGAATTAAATTGCAAAGACAAGAGTTCGTTACTTTCTATGCTAAACATGACTACTACTCATCCTACACAATTGTTTCCCACAATTTCTCTTCCTAAAACTGGAAAAGATGCACATATATGGTTGACTTCTTTTTTTGTGGATTTGAACTCAGGGCCTACATTCACCTTGAGCCACTCCAACAGCCCCTTTTTGTGTCAGCTTTTTTCGAGATAGGGTCTCACAAACTATTTGCCTGGGCTGGCTTCGAACCACCATCCACCTGATCTCTGCTTCCTGAGTAGCTAGAATTATAATCGTGAGTCACCGGCATCTGGCTATGGTTGACTTCTTATTAAACATTTAGTAGAACTAACTTTCAAGGTGTTATGCTGTATTATTAAGCCACTATACAACTAAATATTTTTAAATATGTTTAATGTTTTTGGAAAAGACAGAAGACCAGAAAAACTTATAAATTGTAGGCATCATTTGCTTTTTAAAGACTAACTTTTTCCAAAGAGTGGTGAATTCTTGATTAATAAGTAAAAGAAGAAAAGTCACATTGCCTTTTGGTCATATCATGAAGAATATTGGTCAGATTCCTATTCATAATTGGAATGGATTAGTCAATATTCCCTAAAATCCATTTATGATTTAGCTTGTTTGTCTAATTTTATACTGCAGCAACATTTTAGCATAATTTCAAATATATCTTTCTATATTCAATATTATTGAAATCATTAAATCTATTATTTTAAAGGTACTGTTTCATCTGGCCACTTAACCCTTCTGATTAGTTTCAGTTATCTTACGTTCGATAGTAAAGAATAGCAGCTAAATGTTAACTATCTGCTGATAGTTTAACAGTTTTTGTGTTTATTGATGATGTAATCAATATGATCTCACTACTTACACATGCTGAAGGTGAATGCAACATATGTGAATATGTATCTATATACCATATATGACTGTATATATATGTATATATATACATATATATACACACTCATGTCTAATATAACCAATATAACCTCATTATCAAGCTTTGGTATATCAAGCTTTTGTATATATTCTACTTTGGTTCCATGTCATTGTAAAGTTTTATACTTTATAATTTTTAGGATTTTACTTACACTATTTAAAGAAACCCAGATACACAGTTACACACACACACACATATATGTCTCTGAGTATACGGATATATTGCATTCTAATTGATATTGAAGATGTATATTAGCATTTTTATTATTTCTGGTGATGGTTTACTCATCCATTCTGAAGTCACTAACAAAACATATGCATTAATGGCACATCAGCAGGCATATGCATTGATGGGTATGCAGTCTTTTGCATCTGATATCAGCATTCAGTGTAAAATTATTCAGTGTAAAAGAACTCATCTAAGTCCCAGTTGTACTATTAAGCAGTTTATTCATTTTTTAAATTTTTCAAATACCAGATTTCTTCAGCAGCGCTTAAAAAAGGCCGTGCCCTATAACCGAATGAAGCTAATGATTGTGGGAAATACGGGGAGTGGGAAAACCACCTTACTGCAGCAACTAATGAAAACCAAGAAATCAGATCTTGGAATGCAGGGTGCCACAGTTGGCATAGATGTGAAAGACTGGCCTATTCAGATAAGAGGCAAAAGGAAGAAGGACCTTGTTCTAAATGTGTGGGATTTTGCAGGTATTTACTTTTTCATTCATACCTGTTACTTAGCACAGGAAGGATGAAACTGAGTTTTTTACTCTAATACAGCAAAGAGATGATTGACAAGAAAATCAGGAAAAGTCACATTGCCTTTTGGTCGTGTCATCAGGAATGTTGGTCAGATTCCGATTAGTTATTGGAATGGGATAGTTGAAAGTCCCTAAAATTCATTTGTGATTTACTTTGCTTCTCTAATTTTAAACTAGTAGATCCTATGGAGTTATTCCAAAGCTATTTACTGCTATTTTACCCTTGACACAGAATGGACGGATACATAGAAAGAGATGTCAGGAGCCAGGAGGGGCAGCTGAAGCTAACTAGCTGGTTGGTAGCCAATACATCCTGTGAAAGTTGCAAGCCCTGGTAAAATCTCAGGATAGCCCTCTAAATATTGTCTGTTGGTTGTTTTTCTCCTTCAGATAAATAGCTTACCTCCTCTGCCAGTTTTTAAAAGAGATTCTTGCCTATTACGTGAAAGATTAAGAGCCTCCTAATCTGTATTTAGGTCGTGAAGAATTCTACAGCACTCACCCGCACTTCATGACCCAGCGAGCACTGTACCTTGCTGTCTATGACCTCAGCAAAGGGCAGGCAGAAGTGGATGCCATGAAGCCCTGGCTCTTCAATATAAAGGTGATTTGTTTTAATCATTTGAAAATAATCCTGAATTTTTAAATTTTATTTTGTTTGGAGCAAACCATTGCTCCAAACAATCTCTTCAAATAGCTCTTTTTTTTTTTAAAGTTAGAAGCACTAAAATTTTGAGTTAGAAAATTTTTAGAGTAATGAAGTTGTGACATAAAAGTGGTGTGTTCCCTGTTGGTGAATGTTAACAGTACCTAAAATGCTTTAAGCTATAAAACCTGAAAATACTCATGTTCAATTGTTTTTGTTGTAATTCTTTGTTTTCTTTTCTCTTTTTTAACAGTTCTGGAGATTGAACTCAGGGTCTTGTGCTTGCTAGATGGGCTCTCTACCCCTAGAGTCATACCTCCGGCCCTTTTTGATTTAGTCTTTATTTATTTATTTATTATTTTTATTCATATGTGCATACAATGTTTGGGTCATTTCTCACCCCTTCCCCCACCCCCTCACTTATCCCCCCGCCCCCTCCCTCACTCCCCCACCCCCTCGCTACCCAGCAGAAACTATTTTGCCCTTATCTCTAATTTTGTTGTAGAGAGAGTATAAGCAATAATAGGAAGGACCAAGGGTTTTTGCTAGTTGAGATAAGGATAGCTATACAGGGAATTGACTCACATTGATTTCCTGTGCGTGGGTGTTACCTTCTAGGTTAATTCTTTTTGATCTAACCTTTTCTCTAGTTCCTGGTCCCTTTCTCCTATTGGCCTCAGTTGCTTTTAAGGTATCTGCTTTAGTTTCTCTGCGTTGAGGGCAACAAATGCTATCTAGTTTTTTAGGTGTCTTACCTATCCTCACCCCTCCCTTGTGTGCTCTCGCTTTATCATGTGATCAAGTCCAATCTCCTTGTTGTGTTTGCCCTTGATCTAATGTCCACATATGAGGGAGAACATACGATTTTTGGTCTTTTGGGCCAGGCTAACCTCACTCAGAATGATGTTCTCCAATTCCATCCATTTACCAGCGAATGATAACATTTCGTTCTTCTTCATGGCTGCATAAAATTCCATTGTGTATAGATACCACATTTTCTTAATCCATTCGTCAGTAGTGGGGCATCTTGGCTGTTTCCATAACTTGGCTATTGTGAATAGTGCTGCAATAAACATGGGTGTGCAGGTGCCTCTGGAGTAACCTGTGTCACATCTTTGGGTATATCCCCAAGAGTGGTATTGCTGGATCAAATGGTAGATCAATGTTTAGCTTTTTAAGTAGCCTCCAAATTTTTTTCCAGAGTGGTTGTACTAGTTTACATTCCACCAGCAGTGTAAGAGGGTTCCTTTTTCCCGAATCCTCGCCAACACCTGTTGTTGGTGGTTTGCTAATGATGGCTATTCTAACAGGGGTGAGGTGGAATCTTAGTGTGGTTTTAATTTGCATTTCCTTTATTGCTAGAGATGGTGAGCATTTTTTCATGTGTTTTTGGCCATTTGAATTTCTTCTTTTGAGAAAGTTCTGTTTAGTTCACTTGCCCATTTCTTTATTGGTTCATTAGTTTTGGGAGAATTTAGTTTTTTAAGTTCCCTGTATATTCTGGTTATCAGTCCTTTGTCTGATGTGTAGCTGGCAAATATTTTCCCACTCTGTGGGTGTTCTCTTCAGTTTAGAGACCATTTCTTTTGTGAGCAGAAGCTTTTTAGTTTTATGAAGTCCCATTTATCTATGCTATCTCTTAGTTGCTGTGGTGCTGGGGTTCCATTGAGAAAGTTCTTAACTATACCTACTAACTCCAGAGTATTTCCTACTCTTTCCTGTATCAACTTTAGAGTTTGGGTCTGATATTAAGATCCTTGATCCATTTTGAGTTAATATTGGTATAGGGTGATATACATGGATCTAGTTTCAGTTTTTTGCAGACTGCTAACCAGTTTTCCCAGCAGTTTTTGTTGAAGAGGCTGCTATTTCTCCATCGTATATTTTTAGCTCCTTTGTCAAAGACAAGTTGGTTATAGTTGTGTGGCTTCATATCTCCTCTATTCTGTTCCACTGGTCTTCATGTCTGTTTTTGTGCCAGTACCATGCTGTTTTTATTGTTATTGCTTTGTAATATAGTTTGAAGTCAGGTATTGTGATACCTCCTGCATTGTTCTTTTGACTGAGTATTGCCTTGGCTATTCGTGGCCTCTTGTGTTTCCATATAAATTTCACGGTAGATTTTTCAATCTCTTTAATGAATGTCATTGGAATTTTGATGGGAATTGCATTAAACATGTAGATTACTTTTGGAAGTATAGACATTTTTACTATGTTGATTCTACCAATCCATGAGCATGGGAGATCTCTCCACTTTCTATAGTCTTCCTCAATCTCTTTCTTCAGAAGTTTATAGTTTTCCTTGTAGAGGTCTTTCACATCTTTTGTTAGGTTTACACCTAGGTATTTGATTTTTTTTGAGGCTATTGTAAATGGAATTGTTTTCATATATTCTTTCTCAGTTTGTTCATTATTAGTGTATAGAAATGCTAATGATTTTTCTATGTTGATTTTATATCCTGCTACCTTGCTATAGCTATTGATGGTGTCTAGAAGCTTTTGAGTAGAGTTTTTTGGGTCTTTAAGGTATAGGATCATGTCATCTGCAAATAGGGATATTTTGACAGTTTCTTTACCTATTTGTATTCCTTTTATTCCTTCTTGCCTAATTGCTCTGGCTAGGAATTCCAGTACTATGTTGAATAGGAGTGGAGATAGTGGGCATCCTTGTCTGGTTCCTGATTTTAGAGGGAATGGTTTCAGTTTTTCTCTGTTAAGTATAATGCTGGCTGTAGGTTTGTCATATATAGCTTTTATAATGTTGAGGTACTTTCCTTCTATTCCTAGTTTTCTTAGAGCTTTTATCATGAAATGATGTTGGATCTTATCAAAGGCTTTTTCTGCATCTATTGAGATGATCAAGTGGTTTTTGTCTTTGCTTCTGTTAATGTGGTTTATTACGTTTATTGATTTTCATATGTTGAACCACCCCTGCATTCCTGGGATGAAGCCTACTTGGTCGTGGTGAATGATCTTTTTGATGTGTTGTTGAATTCGGTTTGCCATTATTTTGTTGAGGATTTTTGCATCAATGTTCATTAAGGAGATTGGCCTATAGTTCTCCTTTTTGGAGGTGTCTTTGCCTGGTTTTGGGATAAGTGTAATACTGGCTTCATAAAATGTGTTGGCAGTTTTCCTTCCCTTTCTATTTGTGGAACAGTTTAAGGAGGGTTGGTATCAGTTCTTCTTTAAAGGTCTGATAGAATTCAGCAGAGAATCCATCAGGTCCTGGACTTTTCTTTTTGGGGAGACTCTTGATTGCTGCTTCAATTTCATTTTGTGTTATAGGTCTATTCAGGTGATTAATGTCCTCTTGGTTCAGTTTTGGATGATCATATGTATCTAGAAATCTGTCCATTTCTTTAAGATTTTCAAATTTATTTGAATAGGTTCTCAAAGTAGTCTCTGATGATTTCCTGGACTTCCATGGTGTTTGTTGTTATCTCCCCTTTTGCATTCCTGATTCTACTAATTTGGTTTTTTCTCCTCATTTTAGTCAGGTTTGCCAGGGGTCTGTCGATCTTGTTTATTTTTTCAAAGAACCAACTTTTTGTTTCATTAATTCTTTGATGTTTTTTTGTTTCTATTTCATTGATTTCAGCTCTTATTTTTATTATTTCTCTCCTTCTATTTGTTTTGGATTTGCTTGTTCTTGTTTTTCTAGGAGTTTGAGATGTATCATTAGGTCATTGATTTGGGATCTTTCAGTCTTTTTAATATATGCACTCATGGCTATAAACTTTCCTCTCAGGACTGCCTTTGCTGTGTCCCATAAGTTCCAGTAGGTTGTGTTTTCATTTTCATTGACTTCTAGGAACTTTTTAATTTCCTCTTTAATTTCATCAATGACCCATTGTTCATTAAACAATCAGTTATTCAGTTTCCAGCTGTTTGCATGTTTTTTGTCTTTACTTTTGTTGTTGAGTTCTAGTTTTATTGCATTGTGATCAGATAGAATGCATGGTATAATTTCTATTTTCTTATATTTGCTGAGGCTTGCTTTGTGCCCTAAGATATGATCTATTTTGGAGAAGGTTCCATGGGCTGCTGAGAAGAATGTATATTGTGTAGAAGTTGGTTGAAATATTCTGTAGACATAAAGTAGGTCCATTTGATCTATTGTATATTTTAGATCTAGGTATTTTTGTTGACTTTTTGTTTGGATGACCTATCTATGATGATAATAGGGTGTTAAAGTCTCCCACAACCACTGTGCTGGAGTTAATATATGCTTTTAGGTCCTTCAGGGTATGTTTGATGAAATTGGGTGCATTGACATTGGGTGCATATGGTTGATAATTGTTATTTCCTTTTGGTTATTTCCCCTTTATTAGTATGGAATGTCCTTCTTTAATTGTTTGATCAATGTAGGTTTGAAGTCTACTTTGTCAGAGATAAGTATTGCTACTCCTGCCTGTTTTGGGGGGCCATTGTCTTGGTAAATCTTCTTCCAGCCTTTCATCCTAAGCCTATGCTTATTTCTGTCAGTGAGATGGGTCTCCTGTAAGCAACAAATTGTTGGAACTTCCTTTTTAATCCACTTTGTCAAATGGTGCCTTTTGATGAGGGAATTAAGTCCATTAAGTGTTAGTACTGATAGGTATGTGGTGATTCCTGTCATTTAGTTGTCTTAATTGTTTGAAGGTTTAGTTGTGTGTACCTATGTTGAGGTTACTGTCTACTTTCTTGCTTTTTCTTTTCATGTAATTTGCTGCTGCCTGCTCTTTCATGGTTATGTTGGGTTTCACTTTCTGTGTGTAGAATCCCTTGAACAATCTTTTGTAGTGGTGGCTTTGTGGTCATATATTGTTTTAGTTTCTGCTTATCATGGAAGACTTTTATTGCCCCATCTATATTGAATGATAGTTTTGCTGGGTAGAGTATCCTGGGGTTGAAGTTATTTTCACTCAGTGCCTGGAAGATCTCACCCCAAGCTCTTCTTACTTTTAATGTTTCTGTTGAGAAGTCTGCTGTGATTTTGATGGGTTTACCTTTGTATGTTATTTGTTTTTCTCTCTTACAGCCTTCAATATTCTTTCCCTAGTTTCTGTACTTGTTGTTTTTATGATGATATGCCATGGGATATTTCCATTTGATCTGGTCTGTTTGGTGTTCTGGAAGCCTCTTGCATCTGTATAGTAATAGATTTCTCTAGATTTGGGAAATTTTATGTTATTATTTTTTTGAATATATTACACATTCCCTTTGCTTGCACCTCTTTTCCTTCTTCAATGCCCATGATTCTCAGGTTTGGTCTTTTGATGGAGTTGGTGAGTTCTTGCATTTTCTTTTCACAGGTCTTGAGTTGTTTAATTAATAGTTCTTCGGTTTTTCCTTTAATTACCTTTTCATCTTCGAGTTCTGAGATTCTGTCTTCTGTTTGTTCTATTCTGCTGGATTGGCCTTCCATTGTGTTTTGCAATTCTGTTTCATTCTTTTTTCTGAGGTTTTCCATATCCTGAGTCCCTTCCTTTTTAATGTTGTCTATTTTTGTCCTGAGTTCATTTATCTCTTTATTAGTCATGCTCTTTGTTTCACTTTGGTGTTTATGCAGTGCTTCTATGGTTTCTTTTATTTCTTCTTGTGCTTTTTCAAATTCTCTATTTTTGTTGTTTTGGAATGTCTTGAGTGTCTCCTGTACATTTTGGTTGACCCTATCCAGTATCATCTATAAAATTCTCATTGAGTACCTGTAGTATGTCTTCTTTTACGTTATTCTTGTGGGCTTTATTGGGTTCTTTGACATAGTTTATCTTCATTTTGTTGGAGTCTGTATCTGAGTGTCTGTTTTCTTCATTTCCCTGTGGTTCCTGTACTAATTTTTTGCTGTGGGAAAACTGGTTTCCCTGTTTTTTCTGTCTTCCCATCATTGACCTTGGTGTTGTTATTATCCCTGTGCTGTGTGCAATTAAGTATTTTCTAGCTTGTAATAATAACACTGGTGATATTTAGAATGGAAGGGTGAGAGGAGATGGAAAGCAAAAAAGTTAAAGAAAAAGGGAAAAACAAATAAACAAACAAAAAACTAAACAAAGAAATAACCAAAAAAGTTTCAAAAATATAAACAGAGTAGTGTACTAACCAACTGTAAGCTGAACAGGCATTAGAGAGACGGAGAAAGAATTGAAAAAAAGTAAATAAAAAAATGCATAAAATATAATAATTAAGAAAAAAAGAAAAATCTCCAAGTTCAAATGCAATAAAGTTTCAGTCTTAATAATTTTGGTGTTCATCCATCAGCCTCCGATCCTGGAGATGGTTTCTCAGAAGTAGTTCTGTCGTTGTCTCTTCAAAGGGGAGAAAAACCAAACCAAACCAAACCAAAGAAAACAAAACAGAAAAACACCACAGTGTCCCAAATTCAAATGCAATACAGTTCCAGTAAGTTTTTCAGCATGCAGGTGTAGTTAGGTTGTTGTCTCATCAAAGGAAGGGAGAGAAAAAAAAAATGGTCTGGATACAGTTCTGTGAATGGCTATCTGAGGCTGTGGCTCACATGCCCGCTGCTGTCAGCCTGCTGTTGCTGGAGGCTTTATTTATTCAGATCTCAGGAGTGAGCTTAACACTCACCTGGCCCCTCAGGCTTTGTTTACTTAGAGTTCTCCTGGGCGAGACTGCCACTGCTATAAGCTTTTCCCTTTCCAAGCACACTGGGGGAGGTGACACTTAAACCACTTCGCTAGCCCTTCTCTTCTTGAGTTTATTATGACATATTATGACATATATACCCAGCAACATGGACAGATATTATAGAGAAAGTGACACTTGTTTTCGTGGCTACTTTTCTTTCATTGTAGACTCTAAATTGAATGGCTTTCAAGTGAATTTAGGAGAGGAATTTCCCAAATTTCCCAGATAATTTGGAGGAGGGGGTTGAATGCTTGTTTCGTGTAGAAGCATACTTAACAAATAACCTGTTAAGCATTAAAATTAAAAGAAAAAAAACTGCACTACTTCTGTTGTGCAGACCACCTGAAAAGTGATAAGAATTGGATGATGAAGGGGCATAAAAATAACTTTTTTTTTTGGCAGTACTAGGGATTGAACTCAGGGCCTCACAGTTGCTAGAAATCCATGCCCGTAGTTGTTTTGCTTTTAATTTGCTTTTTAGACAGGGTCTCATGCTAACTTTACCTGGGAGGTGTCCTCAAGCCTATGATTCACCACCTCTTAAATAGCTGGAATTATAGGCATTCATCATCACTCATAGATTGTTTTTGAGATGGAGCCTTGCTTTTTGTCTGGGCTGGACTCAAACTGAGATCTTCTTATCTCCACCTCCCAAGTAGATGGGATTACAGGCAAGTACCACCATTACCAGCATAAAAATAACCTTTTAAATGTCTTAAGGTTATATGTTTTTTTAGGTTTATGGTAGTGTCTTAGTCAGAATCCCTGAAGCTGGATAATTTATGAGGAGCAAAGATTTATTTCTCATAGTTCTGGGGGCTGGGAAGTCCATGATTTTGGGACTGGCATCTTGTGAGGGCTTCTCACTGCATTGGCCCACAGTGGAAGGAAAAAGGGCAGGGAAACACACACACACACACACACACACACACAGAGAAGGGAAGGAAATCAAACTCATCCTTTTGCCAGGAATATACTCCTGCCATAACAGTATTAATGCATTTATGAGGGCTCAGCCCTAATGACCTAACTCCCTCATAGAGCTCCCATCTGTCAGCACCGTTCTCTGAGTTTCCAGCATGTATACTTTGAGGGAACATGCAAACCACAGCAAGAACAAAGAGTTATTTTCTTCTAAAGTCTGTGTTTCTCACTACTGCTCAACTGAATTTCATAGAAAGCAAATGTCAGCAGAAATGTAAACAAGTATGCTTTAAAGCAAACACAGAATTATTGTGTGTCTGTCTTTCTAGGCCCGGGCTTCTTCGTCGCCTGTGATTCTTGTGGGCACACACTTGGATATTTCTGATGAGAAGCAACGCAAAGCTTGCATAGGTAAAATCACCAAGGAACTCTTGAATAAGCGAGGGTTCCCTGCAATCCGAGATTACCACTTTGTGAACGCCACCGAGGAGTCTGATGCATTGGCAAAACTTCGGAAAACCATCATAAATGAGAGTCTTAATTTCAAGGTAACAGGGTTTGTGCCTACTGTAGGCTGATAAATAAATATAGTTTATTAATTCTCACATCACAAGACTGCTTGGAACTGTCAGAAGTCTTGAGAAGACAGCAATTATTTTAAAATTAGGGATTTTCATGGCTCTTAGAATTATTAGAGTGCTTTTGATTTTAAAATTGCTCATTTATATTAGACCTGATTTGTAATTCATAGAAATCTGGGTGAAAATGACTGTAGAATCCTGAGAGAGACTAAGAGAATGTTTCTGTATCACAGAAAGTATTCCTAAGAGAGAAGATGCTTCTGACACCCTTTCTCTACCAACTTCCTGTCATAGTAATTCAGTAAAAAGGACAAAAGTAAAATACTGGGGACTTGGGATCATCTGTCCTCTATAATTCTTTGACTCTTGCTTCTCCATCTGCTTCTTTCTTTCAGCGTTCTTATTTTATGCACATTTTTCAGTGGAGTGGCTCCTTTATGACTGTTTGTGATTGCCATTCCATTTTTCTTCTCTCACTGTGTGAGACAATTCTTTCATTTAGTCTTCAAGACCATTAATTTAGTTTCCAGAAATGTCTAAATAATTACTTATTAATGAACTAGGTTTTTATTTTAGGACTTAGGTTTTAAATTCCAAAAATTCTCTTCTGGTAAGCCAAAGCCAAATAAATTAGTCCCTAGGGGAGGATACTCTTTGAATACTTACAGGAAAAAGAAATCTTCCCTGGCTCTAATGGAAGCATGGTGCAAACTGTGCTGAAAACACTCTGGATAGGTCAATAGGACAGACATAATGGCGAATCTCATTTTATCTCTGTTGTCTTAGCTCATTAGCACTAATGATCATGACCGTGGCTTCTAATAGAGCCCTATTTGACCTGGGCAGTCCCAGTATAATTATTAACGCTGACCCACTACAGTCTTAAAAACATTCCAGTTTGAATCATAAATCATATGGTCACTGTGACTATAATTCCATGTTGGGAATTCTGTTCCATTTCTGCAGTTTATGCTCCTATCTAAAACTCAATGAAACATTTTAAAATGTGTAGATCTTTGTTGTGTACAGGCACAGAATTTGTATGCTTATTATCTCTTAGCACATATTTATTAGTTAATAAAATGTTTTCCTGACAGAGGATTACTAGTGGCATTTTCTGTCAGAGTAGTATTTTGTATTTGAAGAATTTTTCACTCTTTTTTGGGACATAATGATTAGAGGCTAATATGACTTCTTTTAAAAACAAATATGCAAAATGTACTCATGCAATCAATCTGTTTATATGGATTTTTTTTTCTGAGACTATACCTGTACTTAAATAATTTTGTTGTTACTAAGAATATTTTAATAGCTTTCCCTTTTTTTCCATTGCTATCAAAGTATGTATCATGTATTTTAAAAGACTCATATTTTAAAGACTCATTGGAAGATGAGTTTGTTTTGAAAACGCCTGAATTTTCAAAATTCATTTGAAGTAAAGTCTATAGGTGATGTGGTTAGTTCATTAAGCTGGATTAATACTCCTTTTATCAGATAGAAGGATATCCTGGTCAATCAATTAGACTAAGTTTCTTCTGGCACTTGTAAGATAACTTGAAGACAGCTCTATACAAGGAAGTAAAATAAGAGAAGTGACAGTAGTATTTCAAGAAATGTATATTCCTGATGCATGCATCATTCTAGCATGTTTATTTGAAAACCTATTGAGTTGCTTTGAAGAATAGTTATTCTTTCAGTTGGCCCATGATTAGTGAGCCTGCAGGAACTTGAGTGTTCTTTCCTCCTGGGGTGCTTCAACCTGCTTCAAATAACAACTTTGAGTGTGTCAGAGATGGTCTTCTTCTTTTTCCTCTTTCTCATTTGTCTTTTCATTTTATCTTGGGTCTTGTTTAATCTTATCCCATCTTCATAAACATGTCTATGCAGATTTTTTTACAATAAATTTTTTTTTGGGTCAATGCCACCAAAACCCCTTTCAGTACTCTCCAGTCCATTATCAGAGCAGGCAGCCTCTCCTGGCCTGTGATCTAGCCCTATACAATTCATCCCCTCTCAATTTGATTTGCTACCTGTGAAACCTTCACTTGCTTTTGTATATTGGTTTTCTCCCTTGGATTAAAACATGAATTTCAAACTGAAGTTCTTTTTCGTCTTCATTTATAAGAAATGAAGAGAAGAAATATGAAAAATTGAGGTTAATAGAATTGTATTTAACTTTCTGGGGTCAGGGATACATGAACACAATTTTTCAAATGCCCATTTGCAGGTAAATATGGAAGTCATCGTGAGACTACTGACAATCAGGCTCCTTAGTGTTCCAGAAACAGTTGGAAAAGAACAAGTACATTTTTTGTGTTAGTGTGAGCTGAAGAAGACCTAGTTTCTATTTGTAATGAGTAAGAATTTAAGTAGAAATTTCAATAAGTATTGTCAGATAAAACGAATATATATTTTTTGGGATTCAGAAATGGGGAGAGTTTGCCCTCTTGTGGCTTTTGAAAGCATTTTGGTTACTATTGTTAGAGATGCAGTTCTCTTTAAAATTAAATTTTCAAGAAAAAAATGTTTGGAAAATATATCTATTGTAGAAATTGTCTTAAGACCATTCTTTTAAAATCTTACTTCATATGTTTCTCAATAGACAGTGATTAGATTCTAAGATCAATAGACAAATGATCACCCTTTTATGTCAGAACTATTGGTATTTAGATGAATTTTCATTTTTCCAAGTTCAAGTTTCCATGAAAAATCATAACTTGGAAGAGAAGATTTTGTGTGTCTACCTTTAACTGTTGATATTTACAGCCTACTACCTGATATTTACAGCCTACCACCATAACATTTTCTAAATAACAAGCATAAAATTTGATGCTTTACCTCTGGATATGATATTTTTATCTAATAAATAATATCTAAAACTCTTGTAATACTTGTTGATGTCTTATGCAAACATATCTATAGCATAGAAACTTAACACTTTAGAAAATCCTTCTGTTATGATTAGTGATTTGTCTTGGTTTTTGCTATGGAATTTTGAGATAATTAAATGTATATGTCCATGCTATTTTATTTGATAGTACTCTCCAAATTGGCCTCTGTATCCCTAAATTTTCTTATTTCAGTTTTAGCCTCTATTCATTAGAATTTAGATAGCTACACCTCATATTTCAATTTTATTCAAAAGTATACTTTTGAATTTCTGTAAAAATTATTGGCACTGAATTTACCAACCTCCAGATAAATGCCTAATTTAAACAGATTTTTATAGCTTGTCATTTGCAATTTCACAGATCCGAGATCAGCCTGTTGTTGGGCAGCTAATTCCAGACTGCTACGTAGAACTTGAGAAAATCATTTTATCTGAGCGTAAAAATGTGCCAATTGAATTTCCTGTAATTGACCGGAAACGATTACTACAACTGGTGAAAGAAAATCAGCTGCAGTTAGATGAAAATGAGCTTCCTCATGCAGTTCATTTCCTAAATGAATCAGGTTTGTGTGCTGTTTCATATTTCCTTTTTCAGTGCTGGGTCATAGTAATTTGTAAAGATGTGTCTGAATGTTATATAGAATCTATATTCAAAATCAAAGAGAATGTTTATAAAATTCTTAAATAGGACATTGACTTTCTTTTGGGGGATCATCACATGCATGATTGTTAAATCATACATCATGTCATCAGAAAATAAATTTAGAAAACATCTCAAGGACAAAGTAGGGAAAGAATGCCTAGCAGGAATTAAAACATATGGCCTGAGTGTAGCCATATCCTTTCATAGTATCAAATGAATTTAGTGAGTGAAAGTTATTTCTACACTTTAAGGAACAATTACTAATGCATTTGTTTCACTGGGCCACCTAGAGTTGAAGGCTGCTTGAGACAGTGTTGCTCCAGAGTGTCAGGTCTTCCTCTGTTGTGCCACACATTGATTTCCTAGTGAAAACCACATCACCTTGCTAAAGACTCCTGAGTCAATTTGTAGTACTAGTGTAAGTGGCTGGGAAGTTGCTTTAGACTCCTGTATTCTGTTGTATGAAAAATATCTCCATGTGGATTATAATCTATTCCCATTCTCCATTATTCTTAAATCAGATATGTTAAAATATGTTGGTTCTTACTTATCTTAAAATAATGTGTCTTTGTACTATACATAGGAAGCTATAAAGAAAATTATGAATTTCTATTTATTTGTAAGCATGTACTCTTCAGTGCATGCCAGTACCTCAGATGTACTTATACATTACCAGGTTGTATAACTCAAAAATATTTCTTTATAACACTGGGACTTCAGAGTTGGGAACATAGGTCCCACTTCTGCTAGTAACTATACTTCAGGTTTCTCATCTATAAGATGAGGTAATTGGAGTAGACTCTCTCTAAAACTCTTTGATATTTGTATGATCTAGATTCCATTTTTCATGGTTTGATGAATTTTTATTGCAGGGGTCCTTCTTCATTTTCAAGACCCAGCACTGCAGTTAAGTGACTTATATTTTGTGGAACCCAAGTGGCTATGTAAAGTCATGGCACAGGTTAGTGTCTTACATTTTGGGGGAAAGAGGGTAGTGATTGGAGAGCAGAAGAGAGAGCACTCAGAGCCTTGAACATTTCAGTGTTTGTGTTCAGTTAAGGCAGAATCTACTGTAAGTATAGAAAACTATAGAATACTTCACAGAAAAGACTGTCTAAAGAGCTTCATGGAAGAAGGGAAGATATCTTTCATGTCTTCATTTCTAAGTCACAGATAGGTCTGTACCACTCTGTTTCATGCTGCTTTTTTAGATCCTGATGATACCTTTGGTGTGGTTATTGGCTTAGGTGATTAAATAAAGGCTTTGAGAAAGTCCTTGGGGGGTTAACACGTGAGAAGATTGCATTGCTGGCATCTAAAACCTCTACCTAGATAGCATGGAGGGTCATTTTGACTCTTAAGTGGACTGGTCTGAGTTGACACTTTTGAAAACTATGGATAGTGGTGGTAATGGCTATCTTTTTCTCAATCTATATTTCATATGGAAATAATTTACTTTCACAATGATAATCAATGACCAATATATTTATATCAATTAGTTATAATAATCTTTCTCTGTAGGTTTATCATAGTAAACCACCCAAGCAGGGCACACTAGCTCAGGATTCCTCAAATTCATTACTCTTGACCTAATTTTTATTGCACATTGTAGGATGATGGCAGGATTTGTTTGGTCTCTGCTTTCTAGATGCTAGTTGTACTCTCCCAGATTGAGAAGTAAAATGTGCTTAGACTTTATCTAATAGTGTCAGGGGGTACAAAATCATCCCACTTGAGAACTACTATGTCTTGCTTAATCATTCTGAGGTGAATTCAGGGAGGATGTCTCCAGCATTAGTGCTTATTGGCAATTATTTTGTTTATGAGCATAATTTACAGTTTTGCATGTGGCTCCCTGAGTCACTAAAATGATTAGATAATCTTATATTAGAGATATCTTTTCCAATTAAGCCTTAATGTAAATTAAATTCCCTAAAATAATCTTGGATAGTAGCTCTTAGATTCCATGTAAGGACAAAAAGGGAGGTAATTTGCAGAGGGAATTCTGTTTAGGCTAAATCCTATACTATGGAACTTGAGAGCATATTGGAACAACAGTGTAATGGCATTTAATTGTATTATGTTTGTTTTTACTATTTTGGTAGATATTTTTAACTGTGATTTTCATCCTTTTTTACATATGCCATGGAAAGTTTGGCTTTCCTCATCTAGTCAATGATAACGGAGCAAGCAGAATATTGTGGTCAAGGGTACATGGTCTAGAGCCAGCTTGATATACATTTAAATCTCTTCAAAATACTTTCTAACACTTCTTAATGCCCTAGCCTTTGTTCCTTCATTTGTGAAACAAGGATAATAACAATATTTTCTTCTGTATTGCTTCTGTAATTCAGTGTAATTGAATGGTAAATGTTTTTATATTTGTGCAATGTGGTAATTTAAGGAGTGTTATTTTAGGAAGTAAAAACCCTCAAAACTATGAAGATGTACTCATGCAATTTGGAAAGTGTGTCAGCTATGGAGTCAAATAAGAAAAGGTAGATGTATCCTGTCTGCCGATAAGCATTTTACATATACCCTATAGGTCTTCTTGTCAGCAGTCAGAAACTCTACATAGGCAGGAAAAAGCTAATGTGGCTCTCTCCAAAAGTGATATTTTCATGTGACTTTGGGACATTTGATGTGTATAACATAAGGGTGAACATATCGTATTGAGTAGAATAAGGAAGAGGGTGGCATCAGAACCATTCTCTTTTTTTAAGAAAAAAAGAAGAGTGAGAGGAAAGAAAAGAAAAGCAGACTTCTATATTGATCATAGTGAAATTCCTGAAGATTCTTTGGAATAATAAAGTTAGAATTCCATGAATGTTCTTTAGCATAGTCTTAGTATTACCACATGAATTTAAGTGAACATTAACTCAAGAATTTGAACAGCTCAAAGTTATTGTGAAAGACAGATTTTAAATGTCAGTAAAATAATGTAAACTTATTAACTTAAAAAATAAATGCCATCATTTTTATTTATGCTGATAAATTAAAATATAATGTCATTTTCACTTAGGTTTAAAGAGAATGAAAGCTCTAAATAACCAAGAGAAAACAAGAGTGACTTTACTGACTCTCATCAGCAAAAATAAATAAGGATATTCACCTCCATGAATCATCAAGATAAGGGCAGGAACAGTTTCACAGTGCAGAAGGTCAAATGAGGCCACACACTTTCTATGTGCCCTGAGCTGTTTGGTCACTAAACTTATTAAGCAAGGTTCTGTCAAGGCAGGGAGAAGTTTGCAAAACTCATTTAACTGTATGATGAAAGAGATATGAAAGGGATCTATTGAATTAATCAGGTGGAGCATTAACAAGCTTGCTTGGTGCTTTCATCTTGATAAAATATGTGGGGGAAATTCAGAGGAGACTTCTTTTCTTTGAGTAAGAAAGTAAGTTAGCCAGATGAGCTAAGGTTGAGGAAATATTGGGAGGTCTTTTAAAGGCAACAGAGTAAGTCAGTGTTTCAAATTTTATTGCTGTGTAACAAGTCATCCTCAACCTTGTAAGATTAAAACACAAAGAATGTATCTACTGTTCTGTGAGTTGATTAAGGTTCAGCTCAGTTGCTGTGCCCACATGGTGTTGGCATGGGTCATTCACTTGGTTTCAGTCATTGAGCTGTGTTGGAAAGTCCAAAAAGAGTGACTCCATTCACATTCTGGGTTGTGTTGTGCTTCTTCATGTAGCCTCTCAGATGACTAAATGGGCTTCCTTATAGCATGGCCATCACAGGGTAGTTGGAGCCTACCACCTTGTAACAGAAGTTGCCAGTGCTCTTAAAAGTTAGGCTCAGAACTGGCAAAATGTCAATTCTGCACCATTCTAGTAACCAGAGCAACCATAATCCAAGATTTAAGGGAAGGGGAATGAACTCCATTTTTTCTCATTGGATTGAATAGCACACTTATATAGGGAGAAGAAAATTATTAATGTCCATCTTCAGAAATATCTGGTACTACTAGTCAGAGCACACCGTAGATCTACTAGAAAAATAAAGCACAGATTACTTTTAAAATCAACTTGTCTAAGTAAAATAAAAACTAAGTAGAAACTGACTAACATTAATATGTGCTTTTCAAAGATGATCTTATTTAATTCTCACAGCAACTTTTAAATGGTATTATGTTAGCTTCTATGTTAAAGATGGACAAAGAAGTTGATAACTTATCCAAAGGTACACATTCAAACAGAGGTAGAGTCAGGGTTTCCAACCAACTGGAGTAGTTTGACTCCAGTTCTTACAAATCTAACCTGAGGATAAAAATGCTCCAGATCACATTTTCTCAAATTCACCCTTTCAACAATATTTGTTTATATCTTCCATGTCCTATATATTATTGTAGTGCTGGGATTATGGCACAAACAGTTTGTGCACTCAGAGCTGACATTCAAATAAAAGAAAATATCAAACAAACGTAGGATTTCAGTTGGCACAGAATGCTACAAAGAAAATATAAAGCATAGTTGGACACAGTAAATTGTCACAACAGAAAAGATCTTAGCACTTAAAAAAAACTAATGCAGTAAATAATTCGTATTACTTACATTTTAAGAGCAATCTGGCACTGCCATAAAGTACACAGTGTGAGAGAAATCTTTAAATACAACTTTTATGATTTGATGGCTTGTAATTTGATACCAATATGTTCAGTCAGTCACATTCATTGATTCAGTAAATACAGTAAACATTACACATGCAAACTATAAATATAGAGCTGTGTAAAACAAGACCTCCAACCTAAGGATTTTACAATTTAATATTTCACTCAAGTAGATGACAACAAAAATGTTTATATCTATTTTAAAAGACCTTTAAACATTATAGATGTTCTAAAGAAAATTAAGCATATTTTATGCTTTAAAAATTTGCTAAATAAAATAAATTGGAATATGTATATAATATGACTTATACTAAAAATTGTCATATGCACTTTCCAAGCTTTACATGTGTGTTCTCTTACTTTGTTTTCAAAGCCATCTAAGAGACAGCTACTTTTACCATCTCATTTTACAGAGAAGGTCTTTCCCAAGGTCACATAACTAGTAATAGAGCCTGAATTTGCACTAGGTTAATTTGATTTCTATTCAGATTCTTAACTTCTATGATGGTGATCAAAACCCAAAATAGGTCTTTGTACTGGAATCATTCAGGCTGCATGGTTATAAAACCTCACTCCAGACCTTCTGATCCAAACTCTGCAAGTGTCATGCAGCCAAATGCAGTAGTTACTTTGAGAATTTCTCTCTTGCTAATCTCCTCTCACTGATGGAAACCCTCTCCTGTGATATAAATGTCAAGTAATATTTCTACTGCAAACTTGTAAGAGTTAACAGTCTGGAAGATGATATCCTTAGGAATATATTAGTGATAGGTTTGTGGGTTTCAGAGAATCCCAATAAATTATGATGTGAATTTCCTCCTTTAAAAAATGTTTTTCTGAAGGTGACACCCCACTGGTTTTCTGGGCTAGATGGCTGCTAGAGAAATCAGGTACTGTGTTGTACTGGACAAATTATTCTCATCACTTTCGCTGAGCAAAAAGACATGAAATACTTTAAATTAGAAACATTTCAGAAAGAGATCACTTATGAGTTTAAATCTTTTAGATTTTGACAGTAAAAGTGGAAGGCTGTCCAAAACATCCAAAGGGAATTATTTCACGTAGAGATGTGGAAAAATTTCTTTCAAAGAAAAGGAGATTTCCGAAGAACTACATGACACAGTACTTTAAACTCCTAGAAAAATTCCAGATTGCCTTGCCAATAGGAGAAGAATATTTGCTGGTTCCAAGCAGGTAAAACAAACCTTAAATTTTTCATTTCTCTGTGGAACTTCATCATCTCTTACATTATTTTAATTGTTAAAGTAACCTTATTCTACCATAGATGTATTAACTTTTTTTTTCGCTTCTTTTTGAACTTTCTACTAATGTAGGTACTTTTAATGAAAACACTGCATTTGACACTTCAAAGATATAGTGAATTATTCTATGAATATAATTGTTTTCTTGGCTTAGCATTGTATATGTTATTTAATGAACGTAAAAATTGGAATGGTGTGTGTTTGTGTGTGTATCCTTACATGGCAATAAGAAAGTTATTCTTTAACAGAAGTTTGGGGCAGATAGTGAGTTTTCAGCAGAATTTTAAAAGAATTTATGGCATAACAATAGAGGCCTAAGTTTTAGCCCTGTATTGTAGAAATTTTTCTTATTGCTGTATAAGCAACTTGGAAATGTTATAAAGTAATGTGATGTTGAAAGTATAAATCATATTGATTGATGGATGACAACCAATTATAAATATAGATGTATACTTTTTTGAGGACATGTATTTTCCTCAAGTTTTATGTAGCCTAAATATTTGTTTATGCATATCTAACTGTAATAATTTATTATTGTACATAGGATTGCTGAAAAATGTGTCTACTATATCAGAGCATGCATTTGAATTATTTAATGATCATTGAATTTTTGATGTAGGAAGATCATGTAGCAAGAGAATTTTATAAAAACGAGTACAATTGCTTGGAATAGTTATCTTCATCAAATCCAAGCAGTAAAACCTTTTGGTAAATATGGTTGGATGTTTTCTAAAGTTATGTAATGAGAGTATTCTTTTTTCTTTAGTTTGTCTGACCACAGACCTGTGATAGAGCTTCCCCATTGTGAGAACTCTGAAATTATCATTCGGCTATATGAAATGCCCTATTTTCCAATGGGATTTTGGTCAAGATTAATCAATCGATTACTTGAAATTTCATCTTACATGCTTTCAGGAAGAGGTATGTATTGAACAAAGACAAAATTTAGAGAGAGCAAATATTGAAAACAACATGGCATTTTCCCAGATTTACATGTTTGGAAGGCAATTGAATTTAGAATATTAGCTTATAAGACTTCGGCGTGGTTAATATAGACCACTCCTCAGGTCCTTATTGAATTTTATTTTAGACACATTTCCAACAACTATGAGTATCCTGCTTTCCATATCATAGCAAGTGAGAAGCAATAATTTAAAGAGGTGGAATAGCTAGGAGACATTGATTTTAACACACAAATGAACAAACAACAAAGAAGTGACCTTTGCATAGTGAGGGTGTCTTACATAAGTGTAACAAGTGGTTCTGACCATTTAGGGTAGGAGCTGTAATATCTCTATTCTGCTTCCAACAAATGAACAAAAATGGATATTTATAATGCTAGCTTTCATTCTAGAAAAACAGACATCTTACTCTTCCAAAGAGAAGAGAGCCTTTTTCTTTTTGTCAAAAGACAGCTTTATGAAGGTATTAGTGGTTTCTGAAATATCTTATCTTGCTTGGAATTTAATTAACATCTAAGTTAGAGTGCATTGAAAAACTGAGGAATGACCTTTAACATAGTATGACTTAACTTTTTTTTAAACTTATGTGAATTTATTTATGATTTTCTTTATCTACCAATTAAGAATGATAAAGTATTTGAAACATGAACCTAAAATATACCTTAGTTAAATCTACAGAGCATTAATTTATTTTATTGCAAAATTAAGGATCAATATTTAATATAGCAATAGATACAGATGAGAACTAGTCAACAGCCTAATACTTTCTTTCAAAACAAACATAACCATTTCCATTACTTGTGTCCTGGGCAATAGTTTTCCCTTTTATTAATGTATTCATTTGGATCCATTTAAACTTTCAGAACGAGCTCTTCGCCCAAACAGAATGTATTGGCGACAAGGCATCTACTTGAATTGGTCTCCTGAAGCTTATTGTCTGGTAGGATCCGAAGTCTTAGACAATCAACCAGAGAGTTTCTTAAAAATTACAGTCCCATCTTGTAGAAAAGGTAAGGAAATTAATTCAAAACCTTGAATTGTACTACTAAAGAAATCTAAGCTAAAATATATATGTGTGTGTATATATATATATATATATATATATATATATAACCCAAAATTAAAAACCCAGAGTCATATGGTCATATGTGGTGGCACACAGTTGTAGTCCCAGCTACTTGGGAGGCTGAAGTGGGGGACCACTTGAACCCAGCAGTTCAAGACTAGCTGCAAAATGTGGCAAGAGCCTATCTCAAAACAAAACAATACAACCCCAACAACTTTCCACTCGCTCTTTTTCAGCTTTGTGATGAGCTTTGTTTTGAATTATGTAGGCTGTATTCTTTTGGGTCAAGTTGTGGACCATATTGATTCTCTCATGGAAGAATGGTTCCCTGGGTTGTTGGAGATTGATATTTGTGGTGAAGGAGAAACTCTGTTGAAGAAATGGGCATTATATAGTTTTAATGATGGTGAAGAACATCAGAAGATCCTACTGGATGACTTGATGAAGAAAGCAGAAGAAGGTATGCTTTGACACAGCTTACAAATGTTCTAAAGAGATCCTTTAAAACTGTTGGTGAAGTAACGTTCGTATGTCAAAATTATTCCTATCTGTAAGGTATGAGTTGTAAGATAATCCATTCAATTTTAGTGACAGTTCAGAGAAATATATTATATTTATTACCCGTGAGATCTTGTGTTCCATATTTCAAAAACTAGGCTTTGAATACTGACTTTTTGAATAATATAACCTCATCTGTGAAATGGAAATATTAATCAAACCTGTCTCATAGAATTGTTAAGAAGACTGAGATGTGCAATTAATGGAAATAACTTACCAACATCTGCTGCTTCACAGATGTAGAGAATAAATAAATAAGTTTCTACTCAGATGTCACATGGTCTAAGGCAGTTCCAAATTCTATTACTCATGGAGGAAACTAGGAATGAGTTATTAAAATTCTAATTAAATGTTTAAAAATTTCTCAAATCTTCTAGAAAAATCTAGGCTTGGTAAGAAAACCTAATGGGTGATGAGAGATGATAGGAAATATGTGTTCATTTTCTGCCAGTCAAAACCACAAATTTATGTATATCCTTAAGTGTTCTTTTTAAAAGAAGACTCTTTCACATGCTTCTCAGGAGACCTCCTAGTAAATCCGGATCAACCAAGGCTCACCATTCCCATATCTCAGATTGCTCCTGACTTGATTTTGGCAGACCTTCCTAGAAATATTATGTTGAATAATGATGAGCTGGAATTTGAGCAAGCTCCAGAGTTTCTCTTAGGTAACTATGTTTATTTTGAGAATAAGAACTATGATGCATTTTTCTCCTTACAATTTAGAAAATACTCAAATACCACAAATATATCTTTGTATGTTTTTAGTGTCTTCATATATTTGATATAATGTTTTTCATTTGGAATGTTATATTTGAAAGTAACAGCATGTTGTAGACCTGGAATTTGCTTTGTGCATGTTCCTATAGACTGGGATAAAGACAGGATGGGATTATCACAGAAGCTCTAATTGGCAAGGATGGGGGAGGGTTGAGTGAAGTGTAATAGCCATTTCTCATTTCAAAAAGGATAAGTAAAGGAAGAACACTTCTCTGTCACCATAGCATTTTTTTGGCTGTATTAGAATTTGAACTCAGGGCTTTGTGCTTGCTAGTCCAATGTCTACCACTTGAGGCATCCCTCCAATCCTTTTTCCTCTGGTTATTTTTGAGATAGGGTCTCACTTTTTGTCTGGGCTTGTCTGGACCACAAGCATCATATTAATGCTTCCTGATGTATCAGGAAACACATACATTCCATGTTTCTTTATAGAAAGCGCCAAGGTTTCTCAACCTTTGCATCATGTCATTTTGGACTGGGCATTCTTTATTATTGAAGTCTGTCCTGTGTCAGTAAGATGTTTAGGTAGAATTGAATTTTGGGCCTCTTTTAATTCTTCTCTTTTCAGATTCTGGTAACTGTTCCACAGTGACTAATTGGACATACTTTAATAGACTTATTTTGTGAATATATATTTTTAAATATGATTGTGTAGGGTTTGTGCATGTGTCTGAAAAGTTGTGGGATCAATTCCCTCTTTGAGGGATTATTTTTCTGGAGAACCAAAATAGAAAGGTCCTTCAGGGGTGTGATTTGATGGGGTTAGAAAGGCCTCCTTGCTTTCAATTTTCTTTCCTACCTGTGTGTCACAAGCAAATGGTAGCAGTCCTTAACTTTGTTTTTGTTTTGGTTGCCTGAAGGATGTGATGGTCCACACTTCATATTCATATGGCAGTGATTCTCAAATAGGGAAGGGCTTTAGAAAATTAGAACTTCCACCTGAACTTTGGATATATCTCCCTAGTGTGTGTTTCTTCTCTATGCCCCATAAATATTCCCTTTATTGTCAATAGCTGTTCAGATTGTGGGTTATCAAAACAAGATGCTTCTATTATTAGCATCCCACTTCTCCTATTCATGCTCTCTCTCTCCCTTCCACTTGCTGTCTTTCCCTTTTTCATCTCATGTTTTTACCCAATTGTATTTCTGATTCCTATGCTTAACTGTTCCTATAACCTTCATTTCTCCCTACAACTCTCATAGTACCAACAATATTAACTAATGCTTTCAAAAATCCAGTGTTTATTAAGTATTGGAGGGAATAAGTGGGAAGATACCAAAAGCATTAAGAGGTATATAGTGCTTTTTAACATGTTTACAATCTACTAGAGCTGCAAGATATATTCACAGCAATAATTTATTTTATCTTAACATGATTACTTTGAATATAAATAATATATGACAATACATACTTATTATCGAGATTTCAAAAATACACAAATAGGTAGAAAATTCCCATAGGTGCGTAATTTTATCACTTGAGATAACAAGCCTTGACATTGTTATATTTCCTTGGAGATTTTTTTGTGTTTGTTCACTTATATTCACAGAGTGGGTGCATCTCATGGGTATATGAGTGCCTTACGTACTGTATGAATAGGATTTACTATAGGTCAGGGGAGAGGATGGCCAGTTTCTCTGGCTTTATGTTCTCAGTTTGTCTTGGGTCTCTTAGGTTTTCCAAACTAACACCTCAGAGATGGAGGTGAGGAAGTAGGGGTGCTCATCAGGAATAGTGTGGTAAGAGTACCAATGGCAGATACAAAGCAAGTTCAGGACATTTCAATTATTCTGCTTTGTCCAGAGCATTGTTCTCAGTGTTGGGGGCTCATTACTATTGTCAGGAAATTAAAAGAAAAAGCCTTAGTGATGGCACCCCCTAAGACTATTTGGATCAGAATCTTTGAGCCCAGACATTAGTGTTTTTATTTTCTATTTGTTTATTTTGCAGTTCTGGGGTTTGAGCTCAGGACTTTGTGCTTGCTAGGTAGGCGCTCTACCATTTGAGTCATGCCTGCATCCATTTTTGCTTTACTTAATTTTTAAGTAGGGTCTGGGGAGCCTCCTATTTATACTTCTCATGAAGCTGGGATGACAGTTTCCTAGTTTCTGTTGATTGAGATGGGAGCTCATGAATTTTTTGCCTGGACTGGCCCCAATCTCTACCTTCCAAGTAGCTGGGATTTCAGACTTGGGCAACCATGCCAGGCCATTAGTATTTTTAAAAACCTTCTCAGATGTGCTATTTACCTAGGAGTAGGAGGAAAAGTGCTAGACTTGAGCCTAGAGAATATGATGTGACCAAGAAGTGAGCTAGAAAAGGATTTAGGGGCTACACTATCAATATGGGGCTGAATTTGGATTTGATTTAATAGGTAACATAGGATAATTTGGTTTTGAGCAGGAGAGTGATGTAACCAAAGTGAAATTATAGTGAAATTAATTGTGCAGGAGAGGTAGAATAAGTTGGTGGTAATGAGCTCAAGATCCCCTTGAGTTTCCCCAGATAAGGCAGTAGGCACCAAGGACTCCAAAAGACCTGGAAAGGGTGGAATGCAATGAATGAGACCACAAAGTAGACTGCCAGCTAGATGTGTGGCTAGGCAGGAGGTGAAGGCTTAACATAATTCTTTTCACTCTAGAACAACCCTGAATGAATCTTGCTTTGTTTTTATGAGATATATAACAGCTAGTTTGGAGGAAAGATGACAGATGTGATCTTTGATGGACTGTGATTGAGATTTGGAAGATCATACCAGTGGCAATCTCCAGCACAAAGTGGGACTTACTGGGCAGTGTTTAGGAGGTGGCCATGGCTCTTGGTGAAAATGTGAAAGTTCTCTGTACACAGGAACAGATGCAGCTGCAGGAGTGGATGGTGATGGTGCAGGACACGTACAGAGGGAAGCCAGGAAGGTCGAGGACAAAGTCTTTAGGTATATCTTAACTCGTAGAGTAGAAGAAAGAAGGGGAATCATGGAGATTGAGTCAATGAAACAAGTGGGTATGATTTTTCTTCAACTAGACAGCAGATATAATTACAAGATATATAATTTGTTTGGCTCTTCTGCCTGGGAAGATTAAATTCTTTATTTTCTTTTCCAAAGGTGATGGCAGTTTTGGATCTGTTTATCGAGCAGCCTATGAAGGGGAGGAAGTGGCTGTGAAGATTTTTAATAAACACACATCACTTAGGCTGTTAAGACAAGTAAGATATCCAGTAATATTATTATATTAAGCCATGCATTATTAATCTCTGGGAACTCTTATTTTGCATGCAGTTGTGAAGATACAAAAAATAATGACCACATTTCCTTAAAGGGATGAGTTTTATTATGATATGTCACAGTATCCTTTCTCGATGGAGTAAAAACTTTTATTTCTACTATTAAAAGACAAAGAAAAGACAGTCTTTTGAAAGTTTCTGCAGTTGTGATATTCAAATCTGATGTAAAATTTTTTGAGGACAACTCACCCTCCCTCTTTTACATCGGAGCCCTGATATTTACAACTGCACTGCAAAGCAGCAGCCAGTATTCCCAGAGACAGCATTCGATACATAGACTCTTGAGATCAGGATGGGGTATATTTCTGTTCCTGGCACTTCACAGTAGTCATACTTGTAGCTGCTTCGGCCGCTTCCAGGCCAGAAGCCTAGCAAGCAAGCTCTTCACTTCAGGTCCTGTTTTCTGCAGTGCACTTATCTTTCATTTTTCTGGTCCACAGAGATAATGAGTTTTCGTTCTGGTGAGCATGGTTTCTATTGTGTTCAGAGTGAAAGAAGTAGTTCAAAGCATGATTTTGCATTGCTAATTTGATTACAGGTCAGAAGTCTTAAGCTGAAACTCTACAAGATAAGCTTGTAATTTCTTTTCTGGATTTATCAACTTTAGAAGGAACGTGTTGTCTTTCTGTTACAAAAGATGGAAAAGTTAGCACACACCCAATCATCCAATTCCTCTCCTTTTCTACTTTCCAACATTTTAAATTAAAATTTAAAAGTACTTATATTGGTTTTCCTGATACAGTAAAAATTGTAACCTGAAATAATTAACAGAATTTATACAGAACTCACTTACTAGCTGTGTGAAAAAAAACTTGCATTATGCCTTTGAGAATTTTTAAGTTTTATCATGTCATCTGTATAGTGGACTCTTTTCTTCTTGAGGAAGTTCCTCATTCAGCCATGACTTCTTCCGTTACATCATACGTGATGTAGGGGTTGGTTGCACCAGTGTTATTCTGTGATTTGTTTTTCTCACCTTCCTTAATGTTTCTGTATTTCTTGGATTCTCTCTCTTGGTTGAATTGTCTTTACTTTTTGTTTGAGACTGTACTCAAAGAATTTTTTCCCAGAAAGGATGCTTTGGAAGTAAAATGTTTCTATTCCTTACATGTTAAAACTATCTTCATTTTGCTATAATATTAGAAATCTAGGTTTGACAGAATTTTTCTTCAAAATTTGAAGAAAATTCTATTAATTTTTAGTTATTCCTATAGCGAAAGAGTAGGCTAATTTTATCAACTACTTATTCCCATGGAGATTACCTTTAATTTGAAAACTGAAAATTTGATCTTCTGGATTTCTCTTATCCTTGGTATTCTAAAACTTCACAAAAATGTGTTTGTGTGTGGCTCATTTTTTCAGCTCATCTGCATCATTATTTGTTGGGAAATTCTCCTCTATGAATTCTCTTTTATTATTTATTGTTTGCAACATTTATTATTCACTGGCCAAGTTTTATTAAGCAACTGTTATGCACCAGGCTAGGTTGTAAGACAGAGAGTGGACACAAGGTTGACACAGATACTCTGCATCTTTGAAGGTGGTTCTTAGGAAGCATGATCACAGTTTAAAACATAAATCAGTTTAACATCACATAAGCTGTACATTTCAACTGAATTACAGTTTCAGATAAAGGCGAATATACAGAATGAAGTATCTATGGAATTAAAAACACACCATCATCACAGAAACTGTAGTCTCACATAATGTGGTCTAGAAGAAGGATACATTTCTAGAAAAGGATAAATTTCAACTAAATTAGTTACAGAGTAAAGGGGACTATACAGAATATATGTTTGAATATAGAATGCAAGCACAATGTTGTAGAGTCTTACATGATATGGTCTTCAGAAAGGATTGTATCATAATGGAGACCTCTGACCTCTGTTCAAACTGCAATGTATCTCTGCTTCTTATTGTAGCTGGGGACTCCTTTAGGAAGGGCACTTGTAATAGTATATGAGCTAAGATCCAAATGGCAAAAGGCCTTCAGCCATGCGAAGGATGAAGAAGTTTCTAGGGGGATGGGTCAGCCAAGGCAGAGATCCTGAGGCTGAAAGAAACTGGGCTGGGAGTCGGATGAATGCTAGCAAAACTGAAGGGTCATGAACGAAGGGAAGAGCAAAAGGAGACTGGGTCTGAACATTGGCTTGGGGCCAGAGCTGATTAGGTCATGAGGTCACTGATTTAAGAGTAGTGAGAAATCATTCCACTTACTCCTGTGGAATTAGGCATTATCCTCAGAAAACTTTTGTAGTGACAAAACCAATGACTACAGCCAAGTTATACCCCATATACTGGTGGAGGTTGATTACTAACTGACTGCTTGCAATTCCTGGTTGAGACAGATTCTGGAATTTAGTTGATAAGACTGACATGACCTGTTAGTAGGGCCACATAGGTGCACATGTATATGCTATCCTTGCATTAGATATACTGGCAAAGCAGAGCAAAAGGAGAAATAGAACTTTAAAAGTCCATTTCAAATTAATAACCTCAAAATCAACTGTTTATTATTGAAAATGATGAGAATATTTAAAAAATAGTTCAAAGAAGAAATGGAAAGTTTGCAAGTTTGCAGAGGAAATCATAGCCTTGGAGCTGAGTCATGTAAGGAAGGAGGGAGAGACGTGGGTAAGAGCTGATGCTGAGTGACTCTCATGATTTTGTAATTTTGCAGGAGCTTGTGGTGCTGTGCCACCTCCACCACCCCAGTTTAATATCTTTGCTGGCAGCTGGGATTCGTCCTCGAATGTTGGTGATGGAGTTGGCTTCCAAGGGCTCCTTGGACCGCCTGCTTCAGCAGGACAAAGCCAGCCTCACCAGAACCCTCCAGCACAGGATTGCACTGCATGTGGCTGATGGCTTGAGGTAACTAGGTCATGCTGTTTTCTATCCAGTGCCTGACAAATGTGATCCCCAACTCACTCTGAGGGTCAGAGATCGGTACTCCCCAGTAACATTGAGTCCCACTGACATTTTTTGCAAACAATTATGGTGAAAACTATCATTTCCTGGATCAAATTTTCTAATTTCATACAATTATAATAGTAAGACAGCGTAGAACCTCATAGCTGATGGTAGTAGAATTTAAACCCAGGAATACTGCTCTAGAGCTCATGGCCTTAACCTTAGACTGACCTCCTTCACTAAAAGATCTAGGTTATGCTTCCAAGTATCAAAATGTGAATTAGAAAATTCTAGTAAGGAAATATTAGTCTATACTTCTGACGGGGACCAGAGTGATTTGTGTTGGACTCTTCAGCATGGCCATATCATGTATCTCAAAGTCACACCCAACCCTGTAGCCAGACAGATGGACTCTTTGAGAGGCAGCACTGCAGGGTAGATAAAGTCCTGGTCTTTGAAGGCAAGTGAACAGGGAGAAATCATTGCTCCATACACTGAATAACTGATTTTAGCTTTGATTTCTACCCATGTTTTAGTCTGTAAACCATGACCAATACTTAATACATAAGTTAATAGAACTTTTGTAGTAAACTGAACACTTCTTAGTTGAAGTCTTGATACCCTGTCTTTATGGCTCCCCATCTCAGTTTTGCCTGGGAGTCATCCTTCATTCCTTCTTTCTCTCCCCTCTCACACCTAATTCTTAAGCAAATCTTTTCAGCTCTGCTGCTCAAATATGTTTTTGTGCAAGTTCTTCTCACAAATACCCTCACTTCCACCATCTCTCATTGACTCACTGATTCTCCTGCTTCCACCTTTGTCCCAGTAAGAGTCTGTTTTCCACATAACTGCTGGTGAATTTTTTGTTGAAATTGGATCAGGTATTTTTCCTGTTCTTGACTCTCTTCTGCTTCACTTCCTGGTCACGGTGCTCAGCCATGCTCCTGCCTGAGGTTCCTGAATATGCCAGAGGCATTATACCTCAGTGTCTCTCAGCCAGGAAAGATGACTCCCAGCCATCCTCTGGTCTGGCTTCTTGTTTCCTTCAGGTCCCTGGTCAGAAGCATTTCCCTGATGATATGACACTGCATCCTCCTGGCATGTGTACCACTTTTCACTACTGGGTATTCTTTATGATTTCATTAAAATTTTTTTCCCATCTTTGCCGTGAGAATCTAAGCAGGGACTTTCTTATCTTGCTTATTATTCTGTCTCCAGTGTTCAGAAGATGGCTCTAGAGGAGACAGAGGAAGGAGGGAAAGCAGAATCTGGCATGTAGAATCCAGGCAGTGGGCACAAATTTCCTTCTCTTTTGAAAGGACCTTTTCTGCAGTCTAGAAATGTTACATGAAATGGACAGTAAGGAAACCAAACAGACTCCCTCTCAACAAAACCAAATAAGGATATAATTATTAATACTTTCTATAGAAGATAAGAAATGAGTTAAATGAATAAATTTCTCTTCTTGCAAAAGTCCAGAAACTATTAAAAATCATGCAGATTTTAACAGTGTCTGTGCAGGGATTTGGCTTTGGGTTGACATACCTTCCTTTGAACACCAGGGGGAGCCTCTTGTTACATTAGGCTCCTGTGTTTCAAAGCAAGCACAGTCACTTTCCTTAATTTAACTGACTCCAGGTCCTAGTTTTTCCCTAATTCTTACACATAATCCCCAAAGTGCTCATTTATAAAATGAATACTTGCTGTTTTTATTCAACAGCTCAAAAAAAGCCTCATTAAAGACAACTTATTCTACTTCTCTGAAACCTTACTTTAAATAACAAATCCAGCAGTTTTTGATAAACTAAATAAAATCTCAAAACATTTTTCAATAATTTGCCTCATTTCCTCTCAGCATAGTGCCAGAAGAGCTTTTTAGACCTGGTGCCACAAGAGGCTAGTAGACATCAGTAGCTATCAATCTTCTACCAGCCCTAAGTATATTTTTAAAACTCAGCATTAAGGACTGTTGTCCCAAATACATTTTAGCATAGAGCTCCCGCTACCAAGGTAGAAAGAGATAATAAAATGATGCTCTACTAGAGTCCCTAAGATGACAGAGCTGTTTACATACAGGAATTTCTCTGTCTTCCCTATTCTCTCTTCTGTAATCCTGCCTTCAAGCTTATTGGCTTACATCTCTGAGTCAGTTCATTCCTTTCAGCTTTTTTCATCAGTCTCATCTCTCTGTGAAGATAGAGTCACTTGCATTTTTCAGTTTTTTCACACTTGAGTTTATTCTCCTTGCTATCTCCTCCCTCAGTGAATCTGTACTTTCTTTTGTGCTCCCCACTTGTCAGGACAGGATCATTGTCACAGCCAGATTCATCTCCTTCTGTCAAAAGTAGGTGCCCATTCACAAATTCAAGGCCAACCAAGGGTACATAGGGAGATCTTGTTCCCCCTCCCAAAAAAAAGTATCCATTATATTTGTCACCAAGTCTTCAAATCTGTTTTAGGTGATCATTTTTATCAGTTCAACTATCTTCATGCCACTACTGCTACCTTGATTCAGTATCTTTAAGAAACTATCATAATATTTCTTCAAAAATAAGCATGTAATTATGCTTGAAATGCCCTGTGGTCCCCAGTTATCTGCAAGATAATCTAAACTCTGAGCATAGCATCAACACCCTTTCTGTATGCATGAGTCTCTTGTCTACCTCTGCAACCTTCACCGCTACACTGCCCGTACCCTGCATTCCAGCCAGGCTGAAGGGGATGACTTTCACCTTGTTTTGCCTTTACATTTGTCATTTCTCTCCTCCCACAAAGTTGCCTCCCTAGAGAACTCATTTCCCTCAAGAATTTGCTTACATACCATCTTTTCCATGATGTTCTTCTCCATAAAGAGTGAGCCTCCCTCACATGTGCTTTTGTTGTGCCTGCTCTGTGTGGGACATGGTATTAAGTGCTGAAGAGGGAAAGGCACCTTGAGTGCTCAATCTGTAGGAAGAGTCAACTTTGCTATCTGTGCTTTTCTCCATTTCTGCTTCTCTCACAGTTGGCACTTAATTTTATTTCTGTAACCTTAGCTGAGTATCCATCTCTCTGAGATGGTGGCTCTCAAAAGCAGAGATACAAAGCTGGCTTTGTGCTCCCCAATGACTGGCCCTCAGGATGTCAAATACCTATTTGTTAAAGGAATGAATGCATTCTATTTTTAGAATAATTCTTTCCAGGATAAGATAAAGTTGACTTTAAATTATGAAGATAGGGGTGTCTAGCAATTCTTATGATTATCATGATTAAAGAATGATTGTTTAACTGAATATAGTTTATTTTAATAAAATATTTGACAATACTTTTTGTCACACAATGCATCAATTATGGCTGAATTATTGTCAGTAAGGCAAGATCTGTACTTACTACCATTTCAAAAGCAATTTTGCTATTCTATTAAAAGCTATTAAAATTGTACTTTTTAAAGATTAAATTCTATAATTGAACATTCTAACTAACCCAGATAATCTCTCCCACTGACATTATTTCATATTAAACTTAACTACTTTTTTTAGTCTTTGGGAAGTATTCTGAAAGAGACTGTGTTCTAAAAATATACTGAGAGAGGCACACGTTATGAAGGATTTGGATGCTATTCAATGATGTATGACTTGGCTCTACCTTTTTTTTATTCTTAATCTCCCAGCTTTTCTCTTCAGCAGGGCAAGAATAGCTAATGGCCTTTCAGTAAGCCCTTAGTAAATTTTTCTTTCAAGCCTATTACTTATTGTTAAGGTCAACGTCATTAGTACGTTATTTGTCGACCAAAAATATGTATACTGGAATGAATAGACCTAATGTCAAATGTCCATACTACATCCTGGAGAGAGAATCAGCTGCATGCGTTATTTGATGCAATTAAATGTCGCAAACTCTCTAGGCTATCATGCAATGGAAAGTTGTGGGCGTCACAGCCTGTCTGCTCCTAATCCTTACAACAACCATGTAATGGAATACATATGTATCGATATAATCTAAATCCAAACCGAAATCCACAAACAAACAAAGGATTCAAATTTTCCTCCATTAAACCTTGTGAAAAAAAATTCTTTCATGGTAGGTTGTAATATAACTTTGAGATAAAGGAGGCAGAGAAGAGCGACTTGTGGAACGTTGTAGATATCTAAGGAAAGGTGGTAATAGTTGCATTGAAAGTTGGGGAACTCTAAGTTCTCTGACCATTCTAGAATGGATAAGACCTGGTACAGATTAAAAGTTTGTTGTGTTTTACATTGACTAGTTTCTCTGCCTGAAATGTCCAGTCCAGGTTCCTTGTGGCTGAGTGGGCTGGTCTCTGAATGGAAGGATGTCAGCATTGACATTTACTGAGTTCACAGTAAACTTTACCTTCAGAGTCAGAGATTAATAGCTAGGAAAAAGCCTTTTGTTTTGTTATTATTAAAAAGTAGAAAATATTTCCCTAACCATTAGGAAATACTATAGTCAGAAAAATAAACAACAAAGATAAAGGATAGAGCTTTAAAAGGTGAGATGAATTTCCATCTAATTTTAAGAAAATAAAAACTATTAAATAAATGAAGGTTATAACAAAATTTCATCAGTTCTTATTTACCATGTTTATTTATTTATTTATTTTTGAGATAGGGTCTCACTGTGTAGCGCAGGCTGATTTGAACTCCCCACTGTTGGGATTCCAGGTGTGCACCACCACTAGAGCTAACACTTTACATTTTAAATATAGTTAGAATGTTAATTTGATCATTGAGGGAATTCAGAATTTCCTTTTAGTAATCGTTAAGTTATATGAAAGAAAGTCTGCAAAATTTGATACTTTGCCTGAGATGGTTGTGTTGTAAGGCTTAAACAACTCACGTATGAGATTTGATCCATTTTCATTTTAAAGCATAACCTTGTTTTGCAATATTTAATTTGTATGTTTTGATTTCCTTCTGCAATACCTCTCAACGTTCAGGGTCAGAGCATACACTTAGTGATGTTTTATATGAGGGGTATGACCAACGAAATAAAATCACAATTTAATCATATTTTAGTAAGATTTCTTGTGCATTCTCTGGCAGATATCTCCACTCAGCCATGATTATATACCGAGATTTGAAGCCCCACAATGTGCTGCTTTTCACCCTGTATCCCAATGCTGCCATCATTGCTAAGATCGCCGACTACGGGATAGCTCAGTACTGTTGCAGGATGGGGATAAAGACATCAGAGGGCACACCAGGTAGGAGGCAGAGTCTGCTTGCTGGTTTGGTCTTCAAGAAAATAACCATCGTCCTCAGATATGAGTTCAGGAGAGTCAAAAGAAAACTGTAGCCTACCACATTGTGAATAGATGTTTATTCTCTCAATAATGACCATTATATTGACATTTGTATCATTCTATTTTGTGGACAAACCCAAAACCAACTGATGTAGTTTTCCAGGGCAAAACCTGAGTAAGAAGGAGAGAATATTTGATGTCAAATTATATCTTTAAAAGGTAGATTTTTTTATAATCTTTGACTACTCTAGAGGTGGTAAAAGTAACACAAGAGTTTTAATCTACCTACTGGTGACATTTAGCTAAAAAAATTAGGCAAACCAAATTCAGACCCATAAATTCTTTTTCATAAATATGAAACTCAAAGAACTGCAAAATCTCAAGGTTTTTTTTTTTAAATAACTAAAGTGACTTGATGCTTATTGTGATCTTTATTTCTCATCCTCTCTGAATATGTATGTATTTTGCTGCAGAAGTATAAACCTACTTCAGTACAGGGCTGGCACTGATCCTACTGAGATTTGAAGTACTGCAGGTGCATCATTATTAACTTTCTTAAATATGAAAATCTGTATTCTTAAACATTTCTGGTTCTAAGAGTTTTACATAAAGGCTTTGCCTGGGCTTTTCTTGGTTGCACTGATATTGATAGAAACATGCTTCCCCACAGAGTGTGGTGCCTTACACACAGAACACAGCACTTCAGTTTTCTTTCTTTGTAATTTATACTTCAGTATTTAAAAATAAAGCTTCTCCATTTGGCTTTGCTAAGTGTGCTGAATCATGGTTACTTTGTAAAGTGAACCATGTCCACACTAGATACCATAGCATCTTGGGTCTCCAGGAATTCCTGACACCCTTTTCTAGTCTTAGAATTTAGTGTTGCTTTTTAGGGTCATTCCCAATCTTTTTTTGTTTTGCTTGTTCTAATAATACTGATTCTACCACTGTGAACCAACTCTATTACCAGTGAAAATCCATTTCCTAGGCCATTATCTTCATGTTTTCATGGTCTTACATTCTGCATGTGATTCCCACCTTACTCTCTTCCCCCATGAAATCCCTATCCCTTTTTCAGCTCCCCTCTTTTCTGGGATTCATCACAATCTCAAGTTCTGGTTAGAAATAAGCAGTCACAGGGCCAGTGCTCTGTACAGACTGATTTTCAGATTTCAGTTTGAGCAGCAATGGAAAATTGAGGCATTGACATCCGTTTAGGGGAGGACTGCTCTATCTTTAAGGAAGCTAAACAGTTAGTTATTTGTAAGTAAAGTGGATCGATGTGATCTTAATGATTGCAGCTCAAGTAAAACAACATGCCTACCACAGAGGAAAATATACTAGAGGATATTTCACTAGGTTAAAGGCTCTAGTTTGTTCCCCTTGTCCCCAGCTTGAATACTTAGATAAACACATGGCATAAACTTCCCCAGATTCCAATGCTGGATTTTATTTTTTGCTGCAAATATGTATTTTCTCTTTTGACTTACATAGCTGTATTTTGGCAGTGGAGTGTGCATTGTCATAAACACTTCAGAATAAATATTCTGGCTAAGAATGTCTCCGGGTTATTCAATGATAATAAAAATAATTTCCATTTCTTAAGCACTTGCTGTGTGCCAGGCTCCCTGCCAGGTACATTACAGACATGATCTTCTTATGCCAGGTCTGAAAGTCCACTATTATTTTCTCATTTATAGAATGAGAACATTGAGACCCAGTAAGATTATATCATTCAGATAAGCAACGAAGATGATAACTCATTCTCAACGAGAAGTGAATTCCAAAGGTATTGATTTTAAATCGTATAGGCTCTCTTTTAGACCACATGCAACTCTAACATGGAGTTGAAGACATTTAAATATAAACTTAGTTATTAAAAAGCAAAACAAAACCAGATACAGTGACTCACGCCTATAATCCTAGCTATTTTGGGAGGCAGAGATCAGGAAGATCATGATTCAAGGCCAGCCTGGGCAAAATTTCACCAAGATCTGTCTCAACCAATAGCTGGGCAGAGTGGTACACACCTGTCATGCCAGCTATGTGAAAAAGCAGGAAGCACAAACTGGAGGATCATAGTCCAGTCTGCCTGAGGAATAAAGTGAGACCCTCTCTCAAAAATAACCAATGCATAAAGGGCTGGTATCATGGCTCAAGTAGTAGAGCTCTTGCCTAGGAAGAAGGAGGGAGGTCCTGAGTTCAATTTCTAGTTATTCCACCCACACACAAAAAAACCAAACCAAAACAATGGAGCCATGAATAGAAAATACTGTCAACTATAGGTTTGGAAAAATGATCTATGGGGATGAAGTATATGAAATTCATATACTTCCACCTAGGAAAAGTAGAAATAAAGCAGTGACCTTCTCTGGGAAAGTCATTATTTTAAATAATACCAGTATGGGCTGGACCACTCAGCCGGGGCTGGCAGTTTCTTCCTCCTGCATTTTCCAATGTAGACTCAAGTTGCTCAGGTAGATGTCCTGCTGTTGAGGACTTGTGTACTCAATTGGGGCAGTTAGTCTCTCTTGTCACTATCAGTTGTTTTTGGATTTGACTTTTTGCCTCTCCCCTCAATGATCTAAGCCAGTTGGCAGCCAGCTCAGTTCAACTTGCTATACATTCATGGTCAAAACCTGTTTAAAACTCTACAACCATCTGATTCTTCATCAAACTGAAAACTTGTTCCTGATTCCTTATAATAGGCAATATTGACTTTTAGTAACATAAATAAATATGGAGAAAGATCATGGCAGAAAAACTCAGGGCCTGATCTTCCTCTTCTGCCACTTCTTCCCCAGTGTGTAGGTTTTCTCTTTTTTCTTATTAAGTCACTAAACTTCTGTTTATTGTTACTATCTTTGTTGTTAGGATTCTTGTAGTTATCTCAGTTCTTAAATTCAGCCTCAAATTTTAAATAACAATACCTGTCACCACTACTGCTAGCATTACCTAACTTCTCCTTCCCCAAAGCATGTCTTTCAAGGAAGAAAATAGTTTCATCTGATTTGTTATCTTTGTGTATTTTCCCTTTAGCAGATCTTCCTGTTAATGTTATATCTTTTACCATAGAAACTTCTAAAGGAACCAAAGTCAGCATATTTGCCAAACTTCTTTGTGCACTTTATCCTAACCCTTACTGTGGTGCCTTCACCCTAGATGAACAGGGTGGGTGTGGGTGAATTACTGTTGTCCCACAGAGAACAAACTGTTGTGGTGGTAGGTGCAAACCCTCCTCGTGCGTGAACAATGTGTCTGGCTGTGCTTAGCCCTTTGCAGGGGTTGATTAGCTTACCCAAATCATCTGGGTTTCTGACATAGGTACTGCTCCTAGTCTACACATATGGGAATGAAAGCTTTGAGAATGTTAAAAATGTCTATAGGGCAGTACCAGATGCAAACCTAAGAGCAGAGGCCCTGGCCCAGCACCACCATACCCAGGGATCCAAAGACAGGAATGATTCAGTTACTGACAGGGACTGCATGCAGTGTGGTGTCACTGACATTTTCAAAGGTCAATATGGAGGGATGATTTCAATTTGAAGTGACTTGGAGAATTTCAACCTTACCTCAGTCATTTCCTGTTAAGGGTGACAAGTAACCCTGGTCCTGGGACAGTTGAAGTATTGACTGAAGTGAATGACTGAAGTGCTGACTGATGGGTTTAACTCTGTCAGCATCCATACAAATGCAATAGTCTTTGGGTGAAAAAAGATGTTGTTCTCTGAACACACTATTACTTGATAGACACGCCCTACTCATACTTCTCAAAGTCAAAAAGAAACAAATGTTTCTGTATAGCATGTGATATATACTCTGACTTACTTTATAAATTTCTCCTTTTTTTGATATATGAATCTTTTTCTTTCTTTGTTAAAATGTAGGCTTCTCTGAAAAATTATTTCTAAAAATAGTTTTTCCACAACGAGTCATACTTTTTAATTATTTTAACATTGAAATTGTTTTGATAATTCTGCAAGGGAATGTTTGCATATTTTCTATTCATTTATTCATGCATTTGTCAATAATTTCTTGAACATTTACAAGGTATTGAATTGGCTCTACCTCTTAATGCTGTGAGGTGCTCATCAGCAAATTATTAACACGATCAAGGACACTAGAAATTCAGGGGATGAATTTAAGGAAAAATTTAAAGGATATTATAATTTAGGTACTTACTGAATACATAAATAATATTATGCTCCCCTACTGTGAACAAAATATTCTAAGAGGCAGAAGATAAGATGACTGAAGGCATTTCCATACTGAAGTAAACATTCCTCTAGATAGAGTCATGGTTTGCCTTTCATAGTGTCTTCTGAATCAATGTGAAAAACATTCTGATCTTCCAAGTAGTCCTAATCTACCACTTGATGCATAGAGGGGTAAAAACTCGTATAAAAGGACATGTGAATTTAGAATTTAGAAATTAGACTAAGTGACCCCTCAAGTCTCTTCCTGCTCTATGATCCTATGATTCCAAATTCTAACAGTGACTTTATAAGGGAAAGAAATACACTGAACATTTTAGTAGTTCCATTTGGTGTGTTGAATGAATAATAAATAATTGAAAAAAGATTTAAGTCAGCTTTCAAAATCCCTTTTACATTCTAAGGAGGTAATCATAAAGGTTGTTAATGAACTAGCTAATGTATGGGTAGCTCATGATTTTTAAGTACTCCCAACTTTTGATTATATCTGTGGGGTTAGAAAAAAATACATAACAATTCTGAAAGGTGTACATCATTTATAAAATGGAAAGTCTCATCTGTCTACCTCATATCAAATGAAATGTTCAAGAAGGTATCTGTAAAATGCTATAGTGACTTAAATTAGAACTGTTGTGATTTGTTTATATCATGTTCAAAGGCACACTTCATTGCAGCTGTGTTTTAATTATGCTCACATTTCATTAGTTTAGGATGTGAGAATTATGGTTATAAAGGTGTGTTAGCTTTCAGTGCTGTGACAAAATTACTGAGACAATCAGCTTAAAGGAGTAAAAGTTTATTTTGTCTCATGGTTTCAGAAGTGTTAGTTCGTGGTCAGCTGGCTGTATTGGCTTGGCTTGAAGTCAGACAGAATATCAGGCTGCTGAGCTTGTGAACAAGGACTGCTCACCTCATGGCAGCCAGGGAGAAGAGAGAGAGGGAGGGAAGGAGAGAGAGGGAGGAAGAGAGAAACTGACACTTTCTTCGAGACCATGCTCCCAATAGCTTACTTTCTTCTACTAGTCCCTACTTCCTATAGTCTCTACCACTTCCCAAAAGTCCATTCAGCTATGAATCTATCAATGGATTAATCAATCCATTGGTGAGTTGAGAGACTCATGATTCAGATACATCTGAACACTGCTGCTTTGGGTACTAAGCCTTCAACATATGAACCTTTGGGGGATAACCCATATCTAAAACATAACAAAAGTTCTATTTCTAAATAAATGCATAATATATTTAGGGGTGAAATATTGTGTATGTAACTTAATATAATATGTAAATATTATATATGGTATTATTAAGTTAATATATTAATATATACCATATTATAGAGAGGGTAGATGTTAATAATTAGTACAGTGGGGGTTACCACTCAAATTTGGTTTCTCCATCCTTTTGCTCCTTCACATCCCTCCAGTTTACAGAAAGACTGCTGAGGTTTACCTCTGTCTGGCAGGCTGTCTGTTAAATAGATCTATTTACAAATTCAGTGGTTAACTCCTTGAAGCCTGTGAACTCTTACATTGTTCTGTTTTTTCTGGATACATATTTAAATTTCTATAATAATAATACATTTTCATTGTAAAAAATCTGAAAGTATAAGAAAGGAAATAAAGTGCATAATCATTACAACATTTAGGTGTATTTATTTCTAGTCTTTAGCTCTGCTTATGCTCATCAGCTTTTTATTTTGAAAACATTAAACCTACAGGAAAAGTTGAAGGTCTAGAACAATATATATCCATGTACCCTACACATAAATTCACCAGTTTTAAGCTATTTGCTTTCTGCTCCTCACTCTTGCAAGATCTCTTTGTTTGTGGATATAAATCTTTGAACTAAGTTTTAGACATCATGCTATGTCATCATTAAATATATTGGTTTGCATTTTCTTAGAACAAGGATGTTCATCTACCTAGTATCAGTATCATTATCACAGTTAACAAAATTGATTCAACTGAATTTTTAATATATTTAAGAACATGTGTATCAGAATTATATCCTATACATTTTTCTCATTTATGTTATAGCATGTCATCTTAAAATGATTTTGAATTTGCTGTATGATATATATTATTGAACTTTTTTCTTTTGTGGTTAGATTTCTTTAGACTGTGAATATTTTCACTATTACCAATAATGTTAAAATTATTCATTTTTTTCCTGAAGAATTTCAAAGTGATTTATCTCTCTTGTGGAATGAAAGGTTTATTTTCCTTTAAAAGAATTTTAGCCATGCACCTTAGAGAGTGGAATTTGATTAGTTTTATTTATTTATTATTTAATTTTTCTATTCATTTTGTGATGCTGGGAATTGAACCCAGGGCCTCCTCCATGCTAGGAAAGTGCTCTACCACTAAGCTACACCAAAGATCCTTTTATTTGTGTTTTTGATTATTATTTTTTCATTGGGTGAAATACAGTCCTAAGTTCTGGAAAAATAGGGCATGGGAATTTTATTGTCAAGATAAAGTGACATGGAGTGAAGGGTAAAAAGCTTGTCTCTGCTTACCTTTCTCTTTTTAAATCGCTGCCCTGGTAACAGTTTTGATTAAAGGGTGAGAAAACGATGCAGGTTCTTTTTCCTAAGAGGCTTCATTTTTGCAATTATGAATCTTCACTTAATAATTTATTAGTGCATGTTTATTCTTATTATCTTTCACAGCAGTTTTATTGAAGGTTGAAGATCTTGTAATAGGAGTCTAAAAACTTAAGAGGATTAAAAGGTCTTACTATTCTTCAGGATTAACCTTGGGGTGCAGTGTCCTGGCACTGACTGATTTGATCAAGATGTCTTGTTATGAGAAGACATAGCCTGAGTCAGAACTGCATGTGTACTGACCCTCTTCTTGGCACATAGCCTGAGTATATTAAGTATATGCCCCCTTGCACGTGTAGGCCTTGGACAAGGGCATATTTACTGCTGTATCTGTTTCCTTTCAGGATTTCGTGCACCTGAAGTTGCCAGAGGAAATGTCATTTATAACCAACAGGCTGATGTTTATTCATTTGGCTTATTACTTTATGACATTTTGACAACTGGAGGTAGAATTGTAGAAGGTTTGAAGTTTCCAAATGAGTTTGATGAATTAGCAATACAAGGAAAACTACCTGGTAAGTTCCATTTTATCTGCAGTGGAGACATTTCCTTGATGTCAGCAGCTTCATTCCAAGTAGCTTCAAACTTCATTCATTTCTCAGTATATAGCATGGGCTTAGTGCATGGATATTTAAAAATCTGAGGATGCATATAACAATCACATGAAAATGTAAGTTCTAGGCTTAAAAAATTCAAAGTGAGTATTGGTGTATTTGATATTAAATTTGGAAGAATACTCAGGAAAAGAAAATTGCAATGAGAATCCCAGGTTTGGTGACTTCTAATTCACATAAAAGTTACTATTGTATCTGTTAGTAAGTGGAGTGTTATGATTTTATTGGAGCATAATAATTTATATGCAGGAATGGAAGCTTTATTTATAATAAGAAGTTTTAGTAATAAATATTAATAAGTATTAGTAAATGGATATTTAATGAGTGCTCAAACCTCATTTTGAATGGTTATCTTATGCTTTCAAGAAATTCTAGGACTTGTTATCCACTTCTTGATCATTATATTAGTTCTTACTACAAAGTATCCTTTTAAATTTATTTAGCTGTTTCTCAGATTTTCTGTCCTCATTTAAGAAGCACCTTTGAGTGCATACTATGGGCCATGTACAAGGAGTATAACATTAACTATTCTTTTGGGGGGACTTTTAATGATCCTGACAAAAGGGAATTTATTATTATTTGAATAAACACTAGATATCATCTGGTCATCTCTTTTATGTTATCAGTTAGCTTTCCAGTGAAATCATCCAGGTCTCTATTCTGTACCAACCTGTAGACCGACATTCTTCTAATGAAAAAGCAAATGTGTACAAACCAACAATGGGGATATGAAAACTAAATGTTTGCTTACTTTGAGTACTAAAATAAAATGTGTTTCCATAGAAGCCTGCTTATTATATGAGCAAAAGTGTCAAGTATGGAATGGAAGTCTCTTATTTTATTCAGTTGGTATTTGTGTCTCTTTTTATATGATAAAAATTAAGACATCTTTTTGATGTTTCCAGTGAAGATCAAATTAACAAAATTAGCTTAAATTTTGTGTGAATAAACTCATAATAAATATAGGATTATGGAGATTGGTGTTTTCCTTTGCAATGTCTAGATGTCTAACATTGAGATATTTGATTTGTTTGGTGTACTAGCATGATATTTTTTATGTTTTAGATCCAGTTAAAGAATATAGTTGTACCCCATGGCCTATGGTTGAGAAGTTAATTAAAAAGTGTTTGAAAGAAAATCCTCAAGAAAGGCCTACTTCTGCCCAGGTATTCTGATAGTTGAAATTTGTTAGTATTTTGTAGAACGTCATATACATGTGAGTTTATATTTTCATGTATACACACACAGAGAGTTAAAAATAGACACAAGGCAAAACTACTATAATCTCCACCACCTGGGCATACAAACACAAAAACAGACAATCTCCAGAAATGCCCATCTGTCTCTCCCTGCTTGTTGTTATATATGTTTACTCTTCTGTGAAATGCCTGTTCATTATTTAGTCCATTTTTCTACTGGGTTATTTGCCTTTATATTATATAAGAAAAAGATATTTTATATTGTATACTAATCCTCTGTTGGTTATATGTGGTGAAAATTTCTGATTTTTGTGTGGCCTGACTTTTTAAAATTCCCTGTAAGTTACCTTTTAATGAACAAACTTTTTTTAATTTTAATGTAGATAAATTTATCAGTACTTTTTAAGGTTGTTACTTTTCAGGTCCCATTTTAAAGAGTCCTTTCCCCCAGATTCACAAGAATATTTACATTTGGTTTCTTCAAAAACTAAAAAGTTTTGCTTTTTACATTTATGTTCTTGGTCCTTCTAGAATTGATATTTTCATAAGGGTCCAATTTCCCATTTCGATATGGAAAATCAGTTTTTCCAGATTCATTTATTAAATAGTTTCTTCTCTTTTTCCCTCATTGATCTGACATGTCCATTGTAATTTATCAAAGATATATAGAAATCTACACATTGTCTTCCATCAGACAATTTATTCATCCTATAGTTTTATAATATAGTTCCCTCTCCTCATTTACTTTTCTAGGAGTATTTTGGTTCGTCTTTGGCTTAGTTCCATATAAAATTTAAAATCACTTTGTCAGATCTTATGACAAACATTGTACTTTGGATTGGATTTTCTTTGAATCTGTAGGTAATTTGGGGAAGATAGTATCTTACTATTCTTGCACATGGCCTATGTCTCCATTTACTCAAGTCTTCTCAGATATCTTGAAATAAAGTTGTAACTCTTTTTACCCCTTCCCTTCCTTTCTCTGCTTTGTCCCAAGTCAACTTTCCTGAAGGTGGGAACGTGGACAGTTTTATTTCTAGTTCTTGCTTACATTGGCTTTGCAGTCCTTTGGGGTTCCAGCTTTATGGGTACAGGATCTTTAAGACTCTTTGTTGAGGCAGACCCTAGAATTTAACTTTTCTCCCATGGACTCCACATAGCATCCAAAAGGATACATCAGTTTTGTGTTGGTAGACAAATGCCTTCAATACAAATCTGGCATTAAGTTTCGACTAACCTCTCTGATTTGTCAGTAACTATTTGGCCTGACAATTCCTTATGGTGTCATCAGCTCTTCTGTGCTTTAAATACATTAAAAAGTGTAGTCAGCATTTCAAGTTGTTTTTAGCTGGAACTTTGGCCAAAGTAATCTCTTTTATATAGTATCTGAAAGAGAACTCTTGTTATGTTTTAAACTGATACAAATTTTAATGGATCAAAATAAAGGTTGCTTTATGCTATCATCTCTTGATTTTGTCATCAGACTCACTAAAAACATTTAATTTAAAAATTTTTGGTCAAAAATAGCTTAGTACAAACACACTGAATTTATGAAACATTATATTATCATCTTGGCTACTCGGCTTACTTGGTTTTCAGTCTAGGTTTTCACAAGTGTTGATCACATGGATTTTTTTATGTATTTTTTTTTATTTTATCACAATGAAATTTTCCATAACTTAATTATTAGCTTCCTTTTCCTCCTTCAATTTTCAATTTTAATTCAATGAAATTTTACTGAATACAATGCAGTCTTGAGATTTTATTTTATCTTTAAATACAGTGTATGACAAGATGGATAAACTCACCACCTTAATTAGATGAGACACAGAGAGAAGAAGGAGCTTTCTTATGGTCTTGTTAGTGGCAGTTAGGGAGCTAGATCATGACTTTCATCCTAGTGTAGGGCTCCTGGTTCTGGCTTTTTGGTTTTTGTTTTGTTGTGTGGCTGTAAGGGAAATTGAGCCCAGGCTTTGCACATGCTAGACAAGCACTCTACCACTTGAGCCGTGCTCCTAGTCTTTTTTGCTTGTGTTTTGTTGTTTGAGACAGAATCTGAATCACTTTGCCCAGGTTGGCCTTAAACTTGTGATCCTCCAGCCTCCCTGAAGTAGCTGGGATTATGGGCACATACCACCTTGCCCGGCCCTATTTTTTTTTTTTTAGATGTAATTTTACCTGTAGTTTGGATTATTAATTGTGATTATCTGGGTGGGTTAAAGTTTAGCTAAATATTTAGGTTTTGTGTGATAGAGCGATAACATTTAGTTCTGTATTTGACCTTTCAAGAGAAAATGTGATAACTTGACAAGTGTTTTGTAATTTTTAAACTTTTTCAGGTCTTTGACATTTTGAATTCAGCTGAGTTAACCTGTCTAATGAGACACATTTTGATACCTAAAAACATTATTGTTGAATGCATGGCTGCCTCAAATTCTAACAGCAAGAATGCAAATATCTGGCTGGGATGTGGTCACACTGACAGAGGCCAGCTTTCGTTTCTCGACTTAAACACTGAAGGATACACATTTGAGGTAAATATGAATACTCTTTAGCTTAGAAGTCTTTTAGATCCCTTTAAATTATTTTAAAATAGTACTGAGAAATTACTTTGGAAGAAATTAAGTAAGAGCCAGTGTAGGAGTGTTATTAAGTTAACTTTGTATTAGAACAAAAACATTCTCATGAAATTAGTCTGTTTGGTTTTAAAAATTACAGTATATAGGTGTCTTAGGTCAGTCTCCAGAAACAGAGCCTGAGACAGGTAATCCTTTAAGGAGAGAGAAACTTGGAAGGAAGTAAAGGAAGCCAGAAGGGACAGAGTGAGGAGCACAGCAAAAATGTAGTTCCTGAGGAAGTTGGGGCTCAGTCTGTACCCACAAGGAGCTCTGGAGTGCGAACAGTACCACAGAATGTTCTTGCCCCCAGGCAAGGAGACTCATCTTTCCTTCTCACAGATCAGTTAGTCAGCTATCAGCCCAGAGGTGGGGGTGGCTTAATCTCCATCCAGCACCATCAGCAGTGGGCCTTCTATGGTGAAGAGTACAGCTCTGAAATGTCGGTGACCCAACCCTCACTGGGGGATGGGTGCACCTGAAGGATAAAGGAAATCTAGCATGGCTTCTATAAGATAGATCAATTACTTATATTGACAAATAGATAAAATTCTAGACTTCAAAAGTAACCTAGTATTTTGACCGTTGCCTTGAAATAAACATTGTGCTTAAAATTGTGCCTAAAGTCAAACAATATGGTTTTAATGCAATGAAAGTTGATACTGAAAAATTATTATTAATTTTTCATTTTTGTGGGGGGCGACTGGGTATTGAACTCAGGGCCTCACACTGGCTACACAGTTGCTTTACCACTTAAGCCACATCCCTGTCCCTAAATTTTTAATTTTAGCTGCAGATGCATTCTGTTTTTTTCGTTATTCATTTATTTATATGTGCATACATTGTTTGGGCCATTTCTCCCCTTCTGCCCACCACCCCCTTCCTCTCCCCTCACCCCCTCGCTTCCAGACAGAACTAGTTCTGCCCTCTTCTCCAATTTTGTTGAAGATTAGACATAAGCAGTAGTAAGAAAGATGTAGTGTTTTTGCTAGTTTGAGATAAGAATAGCTATACAGAGAGATTCCTAGCATTGCTTCCATGCACATGTGTATTACAACCCGAATTGATTCATCTCTACCTGACCTCTTTACTTCCTGGTCACCTTCCCATATTGACCTCTGTCGTTTTAAGGTTACTTTATTAGCTCCTCTGCAGTGGGCACACCAAACACTTTCAAGTTTTGGGTTTCCTACCTTTCCCTATTCCTCCTGTACCTATCCTCCCTTAGTATGTGACCCATGTCAAATATTATTACGCATTTGTTTTAGATCCAAAGTCCGCATCTGAGGGAGAACATACTATTTTTGGCTTTCTGAGCCTGGCTAACTTGGTTTAAGATATGTTCTCCAGTTCCATTCATTTACTTGCAAATGACAAGATTTCATTCTTCTTCATGGCTGAGTAAAATTCCATTGTGTATAAATACCACATTTTCTTAATCCATTCGTCAGTGGTGGGGCATCTTGGCTGTTTCCATAACTTGGCTATTGTGAATAGTGCCGCAATAAACATGGTGTGCAGGTGCCTCTGGAGTAAACTGTGTCACATTCCTTTGGGTATATCCCCAAGAGTGGTATTGCTGGATCATATGGCGGATCTATGTTTTGTTTTTTAAGAAGCCTCCATATTGTTTTCCAAAGTGGTTGTACTAGCTTACATTTCCACCAGCAGTGTATGAGGGTTTCTTTTTCCTCACCAACTTGTTGTTGGACATGTTTTTGATGATTCAGATGCATTCTAGACAGAAAAAATAATTAGTCAGATAACTCATTTATGGTTGAAAATTTAAATTGGCATTTTTAAAATTTAGCCATATATTTTTATTTCTTTCTTTTAATTTTTAAATTTTTTATTCATATGTGCATACAATGTTTGGGTCATTTCTCCCCCCTTCCCCCACCCCCTCCCTTAACCCCTTGCCCTCCTTCTCCCCCCCACCCCTTCGATACCCGGCAGAAACTATTTTGCCCTTATCTCTATAAATTGGCATTGTTTTAAAAAGAAAATATGCAATAGTAAAAAGAGTGAAGTAAGCTGATAACAGAATATTTTCATTCTATTCAAGTTCTAGTAATTTAAACTAAAACCAAGTCTATTAAATTGTATTTTCTTTTCTTAACAGGAAGTTACTGGTAGCAGAATACTGTGCTTGGCCTTGGTGCATCTTCCTGCTGAAAAGGAGAGTTGGATTGTGTCTGGGACACAGTCTGGTTCTCTTCTGGTCATCAATACTGAAGACACGACAAAGAGACATACCCTTGAAAAGATGACTGACTCTGTTACTTGTTTGTATTGCAATTCATTTTCTAAACAGAGGTATGGTAGTCAGTTAATTGGTGGGGGTGGGGGGCATTTATACCTTTTAGATGACTTAATTATATGCAAAATTGTTACTGCATCAGCAAAGACTGCTGGTTTTAATTTTATTTTCATTAGTTTGCCTATATTAAGGGAATTGTGAAAGGCCACAATGATACATTTTTTTCTGTACCTGGACTCAGCAGAGGCAGTCATAGAACAAGTGAATTACTTTAGGCTATTACCTTAACTGTGGTTCTCTCCCTGCCTTTCTTGTTAATGTAACTTCATAGGGCCACTTTTCTTTCACTCTTTCTTTGGTACATAGATATACAAATGTGTATGTGTATATCACCAGCCTATTATGTGCTAAGTAGTTAGTTATCTGACTACCACATTGGAAAAGAATCTAATAAATTAATAAATTGCTAATTGATAAAAATCACTTAATCCTTATCATATGTAGGGATCTTATCCAAAGAAACAAATCTAAATGGCAGAATTTCAGGCATGAGTCATATGTTGATAACTCTAATATTTGGGGCAGAATAATTTCCAGGAGCCATAAAATTATACCTCATATGCTTCTGTGGTTTAAATCAGTACTGCAAAAAAAAAAAAAAGTATTAGAAAACGTGATGCCCAAGTTTTGGCACCTGAAATATAAACTGCCCTGGCAACTAGGGGGTTGAAATTATTTGGATATTGTTGAAAATTTTCACTGGATGGAGTTACACAAGCGAGGAAGACTTTATTTTAAGACTATTGCAATAGGGGAGATAAGTTAAAACCAACTCCACTAAAACAAATGATGACTGGATATCAAACACAGGGATGAGCTACTGTTGTGAGAAAAAGCATCGGAGGACACTGTGGGTGATGGGGAGTGTCCTCAGTGTGATTAGACCTTTGTCATTTGTCCCTTATTAAAGGTATCCCTCCCCTCCCCTCCCCCCAGAGACTGGGGCGCATGGACAGAGCTCTCTTGTTTGCTTTTCAAGGATTGGCTCCCAGGTCCTAGGGAAAGGCTTTTGTGTGTTGCAAAACTGGCAAGAGGCAGGCAAAAGATTTACACCTCAAAAGAGAAGAGAAAGGATTTATAATTACAAGTTTTATAAAGTCATTGCTCTGAGGGAGGTAAGAGGTCTATAGTGAGAAAGAAATCTGTCTGAAGTTTAGTCAAGTTGGGAAGTATTTTAAGGTTGTCTCAGTCAAGGTAAATGTTCTTTTTTGTAACAATTTTTTTTCCTTTTAGCAAGCAAAAAAATTTTCTTTTGGTGGGAACTGCTGATGGTAATTTAGCCATTTTTGAAGATAAGATGGTTAAGGTAAATGTTAAATACATTCTAATAAAATTTTATTTTAAATCCTTTGTTTTATATATCTCATCCCTTTTCTATGTAATTAATAAGCTCCCGGATAACACATATCATAAATTATGCTTTTTATCTTTTTATTGCTTCATAAAATATATGTCCTTGGAAAACATTTGCTGGTGATACAATATTTTATATGAATGCATTAAGTATAATATGATAAATGAAATTTAATTTGTAATTTTAATTATGGAAATATTTCAATTTGCATTCATGGAACAGATAATTCCTTATAAATACATGGTAGAAAAAACCAAAGATGTTTACATTTGAAATCTGGCTTGCAGCTGGGGTCATAGCTCTGTAGAGTGTGTGCTTAGCCTGTAGGAGGCTCTGAGTTTAATCCCCAACAACACACACACACACACACACACACACACACACACACACACACACACACGAGAGAAGATCTGACATGCCATTAACTTTTTCTTTAGCACTGAAGAAATCATCTAACTTCTGTTCTTCCCATTCTTATCTAGACATTGAAGCAGTTATTCCTACATCCATCCATTCATCTGTGGTTCCATCTATTCAACTCCCTACCCATTCATACTTCTTGATGAAAGAAAAGCTCTTATCTAAAGACAGACATAGAAGTAGAGTCTAATCACTAGATTACTTGTATAATTTTTGCATGAAGAGATTGGTTAGGATTACATTTTGAATACCCCTTAATTGAACCCTATTTTTCTAGAAATGGTGAACAGTATATCTGAATTTTATTTACTTTTTTAATTTATTTTTTCTTTTATTCATATGTGCATACAATGTTTGGGTCATTTCTCCCCCCTTCCCCCCTACCCCTCCCTTTCCCTCCATCCCCTCCCGCTCCCCCCCTACCCCCTTGCTTCCAAGCAGATGCTGTTTTGCCCTTATCTCTAATTTTGTTGAAGAGAGAGTATAAGCAATAATAGGAAGGACCAAGTGTTTTTGCTAGTTGAGATAAGGATAGCTATACAGGGAGTTGACTTACATTGCTTTCCTGTACATGTATGTTACCTTCTGAATTTTAATGTTAATATCTGTAATGATTTAAAAGGGAAAGTGGTTCTAGAAAGCTAACATTTTATAGTGTTTGATTGCACACAACACTCAATCTTCTGAGTGTGTTTTCTCTTTTTGGTAAAGTGTAAAGGAGCTGCACCTTTGAAGATACTGAGCATAGGAGATGTGAGCACTCCACTAATGTGTTTGACAGAATCCGTGAACGCAACTGAAAAACACATCATATGGGGTGGATGCGGCACGAAGGTTTTCTCATTTTCAAATGACTTCATCATCCAGAAACGCATTGAGACAAAAACAAATCAGCTGTAAGTTATTTTCTTTCTATACAACTAACTTATCATTTAATTGTGTTTATTATCCATAATCATGTCAATAAAACCATTGATAATCCATTCTGAATTTCTTTTAAACTATATAATGTATGTTTCTATTATAAAATTAAACATCATTTGTTATAGAAAACTTAGAAAATTCCACTAGGAGCATTAAAATATCATCTAGCCCAATCATTTTTGGGAGAAAATATGTAGTATTTAATGATCTAAACTTTTAACAATTCCATTATCTCTGTTTCAAATTACACATATGGAGTTAGAAGGCAATCTACTCAGTATTTTACTAAATCCATGGGTTTTGTATAATGCCATTAAATATTGATTGTAGAAAACAGAGTGCAACTGCAGGAATAATGTCATTTCTAGATTTGATAATCTATCAAAATTACAACGAAGTTAGTGATACCAGTTGCAAATAAGAACAAATTAAATATAAATCTCATTCCAATTTATTGTTCTAATTTTTAAATTATATTTTAATCAATTTGGTTAGTCCTTTTTTTAAATTGTGTTCCTTGGTGATAAGCAGTGTAGGATGGTGGACAAAAGCATAAATATGGTTCCAATGTTGGCTTTGCCATTTATTGGTTTTGTGAATTTGGGAAACAACCTTTCAAACATTCAGTCCTTCCTTGAAGATTGTGATATATTCTACTTCAAAGGGATGCTTAGAAGGTTAAATAAGAAAATTAATATGCAGTGGTTAACATAATGCTCAGTACCTAGTAAACTCTCAATAAATGTTAACTATTTTTACGTTTGTTATTAGCTGCAGCTCACAAATCCCTGCCTCAGAGAGTATGCTAGTTTCCCATATGCACCTAGTTTCCTAAGTTGGACCTTGGGAGTTGTCTTTGAATCCTCTACCCTTTGGCTCCCACTGTTCACTTGATTCTTGTAATTACCTCTCCAGTCCTTTACTTCTCATTGTTCCCTCTGCTGCTGCTGTGAGCCAGATTATCCTCCATCATCTATGGCCATGTTAATGACAGCATCTTTTTATTCAGATCTCAACCTGTGATCATACTTACTTCTTTCAATCCATTCTCAACATTGCAGACAGAAGGAGCCCTTAAAATGAACATCAATCTGATGCCACTCTCCTGCTGAAAATTCTCAGTTGAATCCTGTTGTACTTTATACAAAACCAAAATTCCTATAGATAGCCTATCAAACCCTTCATGAATTAGTACTTTCCTACTTCTCTACATTCATATCTGCAACTTCTTTGCCTTCTATGCTTTAGCCAATCTGAAAGTGTCTCTGTTCCGCTCCTTTTCACTTCCACCCTTGGAATATGGTTTTCTTTTTGTCTCCATGACTATTTGTCTTTTTCAGTTCAAATACCACTTCCTCTTTGTGACTATCCCTGGTCACAATGGTGTGGGTCAGGTCCCTTGTATTTGTACCTCCATTACATGGGGTGTTTTCCTTCACAATAGTTATCATGTTTTTGTAATTACATTTTAAACAGTAGCTTCTTAATACCACTAAACCTACTGGTTTTCAACATCAGCTGTGCATTATAAACAAATATCTGAAATTAAGCTCATGCTTGGGCCCTACCTCAGGCCAATTAATCAGACTAGTCAAGTCTAGGATGGGCCCATGCTTCAGCTTTATGGATTTCTCTCTTCTCTGCTCCCCTCCCCTCCCCTCCTCTCCCTTAGCTTCCCTTCTTTCTCTTCTCTCTTTTCCTCCCCAACCTCTCCTCCCCTCTGCTCCTCTCCTGTCTTCCTTCTTCCCTTCCTCCCTCCCTTCTCTCTCTCCCTCACCTCCCCCTTTCTCTCATCAGTTCTCAGGTGATTTTAAAGAATAATGAGGGTAAAGATATACTGTATATATGTCCCAGTGAGTGAGGGTTTTTAATTTTTGTGTTATTCACACATTTATTTAGTAGCATGTGGTAAATATATAAATGACCTTATTTTCATTCTGTAATTTCCACTTTTCACCCCACTATATTAGCCTAAAAACCTTTAAAAAGAGAGCCCGCCAATGTTTTTATTTCATAGAGCTTTTGGGGGATCATGGGTATCAATTATCCCCTTAAAATTTGCACATAGGCTTTGCAGTATAGATGCTTTACTGGAGAACATTCGTAAATACCAGGCTCTCAAAGTTGTTTATCTCCCAAAGAGATTATGAGCCGGTTTCATAAACACTCAAATATTTTCTTGTCTCCTATTGCCTTGGTCTCTTCCTCACTAAACAGACATCATCTCACTAATCACAGGCTGCCTCATCATTATTACTTTCTAATCAGTGTCAACACACACTAATTGAGAGCCATATTGGGTAGTGAAATGTGCCTGCTTTTGGCTCCAGAAGACTCTGAAATACTTATTTTGAGACTTGAGTCTACAATGTGGTAGTCATGTGGCCTGGAGAAAATTAATTAGCATTTTGTAAACATTATAGCACTGAGCTATATCCTCAGCCCTTTATTGTTAAGGATCAAACAAGATACTGCATAAAAATGTTGTATGAATTTTAAAACTCTGTATAAAATTTTGTGGTAATTAGAACTGTCTCCAATCAAATATAGCAAGCACCCCAGAAGAAATTACTCAAAATGTGAATTTTTTTTCCTCTCTAGCAGAGTAGAATAAAAAGTGGAGGAAACAAACCCTACCAGAGGGTATATTCATAATTGTTACATTCCTGTGGCATTTTCACATTGTCTGATTCAATTGCAGCTTGAACTCTTAATTATTTCTGGGTATTCATTCACACTGTTAGTTCATTCTTTGCATTTCATCCTCTTTCACCCACTTAGACTGCCTGGTGTATCTGAGTTACTGTCTTATGATAACTCATTACTGGATTATGGCTTTATAGAGAAGACATGGGTATACTTAAGAAATTATACTTACAATCTAGTAGTGAGTGAGTAATGAGTCTATTTTAATAAGTCAAAATTGATGTCTAATAAAGAACAAAAGTTACAACTACCCCAATGAGGGAGAGGGAGTGTGGTTGGTTGGTCTACTTCAATAAGTCAGGGAAGAATTCCAGAGGAGCTGACATTCAGCTTAAGCCTGAAAGGCTAACGAGAGCTTGCAGTACAGATGTTGCCCATGGTCCAATCTGTGAAATATGTACAGTGCAAATGTCTTAGGTTGGAGGAGAAAAACCTAAAAATGCTTGTCATTTTCTTTTATTATCGAGGGGGTAAATTTCAACCAATGTACTTTTTATTTATGTTTTGGATGATGTGGATTTTGCCCTCATAACTTTATTGACTTTTCTTGATGCAAAGAGAACCCTTGCTTTACCATTTGAAGACTCTGACACTAAAATTTCTTGCAGCATCTTGTTCTATAACTGTAGATGTAAATGGCTAACCCTTAACATTTTCAAACATTCATTATAACAAGGATTTTGTTGCAGATATAAAGATATTTCATTTAGAAGCTAAGATATAGTATAAAATTTTATAAAGAACCAGATAGAATTAAATCAAAACTAAACCCAGAAATAAACACTGTTATAATCTTTTTCTATAATCAGGGGAAACCAAAAAACTAACCAAAAGTAAGTAATCTAGATAAGTTACATATTCAATTCAGAATGGTTAGAAAAGAATGTGAAATAATTGCAAATAGTCTAGCTTGTTGTTTTTCAAAATAGTGCTAACTTTGTCCATGCCTTAAGAGCTAATATAAGGTTGTATTATGTGCCTTTTTGACTTCTTTTTTCTCTCTAGGTTTTCTTATGCGGCTTTCAGTGATTCCAACATCATAGCAGTGGCAGTAGACACGGCTCTCTATGTTGCTAAGAAAAATAGCCCTGTGGTGGAAGTGTGGGATAAGAAAACTGAAAAACTCTGTGAACTAATAGACTGTGTGCACTTTTTAAAGTAAATTCACTGGTTATTTTATGCCTTTAAGAGCTGTCTTTATACTTCGGTTACACAGAGAAAGGAACTGTGGCTTATTTTTGGTTTTTTTCTGCTTCCTAATAGAATATTTTTTTTAAAGAAGGTACAGAAACAAATTTGTTCATACTAGACAGAACCATCTTTTGCTATCCTGCAAATTTCATTTAGGAAAATAAAATAGGAGCATAATACATGTGATTTCCCCATGACATGATAAAGGAGATTTTCTAATGAAAAATAGTCATTATTAAAGATGACCATCCTGGGTTTATTGCTGGTTGTACATTTAATCACATCACAGTGTCAGATATTACTACTTATAATTAAATTATGAGCCCCAGGAGTTTTCCCTCTAAAAGTAAAATTAATAAAATAATAGAAAAAATACAGGTGAAAGCCCTCTGAATTGATCAATGCATTAACTAAGAGAGGATCAAGACACAGAACGAGTGTAGGTCTGAGGCAACCCGGGAAAGACAATACATCAAACACATCCTTATAACCAGTGCTAAGTAAGAGGACCATTCCCAAACCTATTCCTAGTCACTTAATATTGTTGTTTTATTTTGACTTTACTGTATACATTTGTTATGCTCTGGAGAAAACATTAGATTACACTTATATCCATAAAATGAGATTTCAGTTTACTTTCTTAAAGTCATCTTTACAGTTTTTCCTCTGGGTTCTGAGGAGGCTTAAGTTCACAGGGGCTAATAGTTCTGCTTGGTAAAGAGTGCCCTAGTTCCTGAAGTTCAAAATTATCAGTTATCATTTCTTTCTGGACACCATATTTTTGTCATGAATTAAACTATTCATTGGCTCAGGGGGAAAAATTCAGTGGTATGTCTTGATAGTTTTTTCATATAAATGATTAAAATTTTATTTTCCTTTGTAACTTTGAGACTTCTTAAGAAGCCTTTGAAACTAACTCTTTTAAAATTTATTTTTGGCAAATTTATTTTGATTTTACTGGGTTAGATAGTTATTATAAAAGTAGTGCCCATCTTATTCATTCCAGACTGTTTTAAATCTGAGGGGCTATTGTGTCATTTTGAGAACTTATGTTTCAAATAGTGAAATGTGCTTTTCAATTCTATATTTAGCAAAATTAGTTTTGTATAGTTTTAATGATACATAATATATACAGCCATCCATTTACTCAGGTTTTGCATTCACTGCCTAGCAAGTGTGAAGCCCTGAATTCAAACCCTAGTATTGTCAAAACAACAACAAAATGGCTTATAATGGTTGCATCTGTACTGAACATACAGTCTTTTTTCCCCCTGTTATATAGGACTAAGTGTTATAAGTAATTTAGAGATAATTTAAAGTATGTAGCAAGTTATATGCAAATGTTATGTTGTTTTACATAAGGAGCTTGAATATTTGTGATTTTGCTAACTGCAGTGGGGTGCAGGTCCTGGGACCAATGAATGACTGCATTGTCATGTGTTCATAATTTAAAATGTTAATATATGGAAATATGCATAGGCCAGCATGTTGTATCTCTTAATCGTTGACAAAATTATTAATACATACTTTCTTTGTGGTTCTAGGGAGGTAATGGTAAAAATAAACAAAGACTCAAAGCACAAGATGTCTTACTCTGGGAGAGTGAAGGCTCTCTGCCTTCAGAAGAACACTGCTCTCTGGATAGGAACTGGAGGAGGCCATATTTTACTCCTTGATCTTTCAACTCGTCGAATTATACGTATAATTAACAACTTTTGCGATTGTGTTAGAGTCATGGTGATCGCACAATTAGGTAAGTTTCTTCCCTTTAGAGGTTTTTCATATTCTCTTAGACTATAAAAATATGCCTTTTTAAAAAAATTATAGTTTCTATTCCAATGTCATAGAAGTTTGCATAACAAAACATAGCAATGGGATAAATTTTGTGCAGAGTCATTTGAAAAAGGGGAGGAATAGATGCTCTCAGTCCCATGAGAGAAGCAGGTGACAAGAGCTGAGCAATCAATTTGGGTATTGAGTATATTTTGCTTTCTTATTACAGAGGTTAAAATAAATGTTTATTTTGGCCATAGTCTAAGCTTCACACTCTTTTCAAAGAATGCTATTTGGATTTTCATTCTTTAAAAACTATTTAGTCTTGTAGCAATATATGCTGAACTCCACAATCTACAAATATTGACAAGTTATGATATTTTCTTCAAGATTTTATGTCTATTCATTCTCTTGCTTTTCCATTTAAAACTGAAGAAATCACGGTTGCATGTGAATTATATATTAGTGTCTTTTCCATGAAAATATATTAGTGTTTTTCATTGATAATTTGATTTAGAAAACAGTTACCACATATAGAAAGTTGATCACAATGTTCTGCAAGTGTAGAGTTTGTGCAACTTTAGCAAATCAGTGTTAAAATGTTTGGCCATGAATATATGAATATATTAAGAAGGAACAAGTGTTTCTCCTGCCTCCTCACACACTTTTCTTTCATGCATGTTAGAGTTGCAAAGAAGGAGCTACAATTTAATAATTGCTAATGTCAGGATATATGTCTATACATAGTAGTAGGTCTCAAGAGGGTTGTCTCCCTAGTCTTATTCTACCAACATAGTTACATTTTCAAGTTTAATTTATATGTTCTTTGGGACCCAAATGGCTGGTTACAACTGAAATTATGGTGATATGTCAGTGGGTTCTGATTGATTTTAAAGTAAAGGTAAATTTAAATATACTCTACAAGGTGCTGCCTGACCTCACTTCACTAACCTCTCTAGACTCCATCATTTAGCACATTCCTCCAAGAGCTTAGTGGTCTTTGAGCATCCGTTCTGCATTGCTGTGCTCATCCACCTAAGGCGTTTGCATGTGCATGGGCAGTTACTTCTTTGCTTAGTTAACCTTGTTTGCTTAGTTAATTTGGTCTACCCTCTGGTTTAATTAATCAGAGAAGCCCAAACCAATTAAGTCACAATTACCTCTTTGGCTTTCCTGACATCACTTGCGTAGCACTGACCATAATTATGACTTTTCCCCAGTAATGTCAGTATCTTCATTAGACTATAAACTCTGTATGAGTTGAGTCTGCATGTTTTTGTTCGTACCTTTATTCCCAGGACCTAGCTTAGGGCTCAGAAATACAAGACTTTCGATGAAAATTTGTCAAATAGATTAGTGAATGACTCAAGAAAAAAATGTGATATTGTGACAGTGTCAGTATATCTGTCCATCCATCCCACTGTCCATCAAATGCCCCATATTTGTACCTTACAATATCCAAAGCACTTCCATACACATTATCTGATTTTATAGTATAGCTTTGGAGAACAGCAATGTATAAATATTAAACCTATTTTATAGAAAGGTAAAGCTGTTTTCTCAGATTCATATGATTAATAATTGAAGCAAGGAGTATTTTGGATTTTCTTTTAAAAATGACTGGCTTCTTGGAGAGTTTTTTTAATTCAATATAATTGAAGTTATCTCCAAGAAAACAAAATTGTAAATTCAGTTCAAGGTATTTCTGTCTTAAAATATGGACAATTGTACTTTTTTCCTTCCAGTTTAATATATCATTTTAACAGAAAACTCTTATATTTTGTCTTGGTAAAGGAAGCCTTAAGAATGTCATGCTGGTTTTGGGGTACAAGCGGAAAAGTACCGAAGATACACCACAACAAAAAGGTAACAATGAAGAGCACACACAGAGTGCAATGACATAAATAATAATAGCATCGTGCTTTATAGATCTACAGTAAATATTGCATATAATACTTTCAGCAATTTGAATTGGTAGTTTATTATGTTAATAATTTAGACATAAATTTTCAAAGTTTTTAGTTATTTAGAGTGCTAAATATTTATTTTTTCAGATGAAGTACAGCCCCTATAAAATGAGAACTAGCTCAAATTTAAACTAAATGTGATTATTTTATATTACAACCTACCTATTACCATGAGATCTAATGTGTCAGTGTTTAAAATAGTTCTATTTCTTTCAGTAAATGAAATAATAGATTACAAAATTCCACACCCTTTTGAAATTTAGTAGTTTCTATAATATATTATTAATATATTTGTTTTTATAAATGGCAATAATTCAGCACATTAGTTATAGCTGTATATATATATGTGTGTGTGTGTGTGTGTGTGTATTTGTCCAGATCAACTAAATATAAATTAACAAAAGGAATAAAAATGATCTTTGAAATATGATTTAATTATTTTTCTTCTTCTAGAGATACAATCTTGCTTGTCTATTTGGGACATCAATCTTCCACATGAAGTGCAAAATTTAGAAAAACACATTGAAGTGAGGAAAGAATTAGCTGAGAAGATGAGAAGAACATCTGTTGAATAAGAAGAATGTCAGAAAGTTTTGTCTTTGAATGGAGAAATTCTTCTCTTGTAAATATGTCTTTAAAAATGTTTACATTGAAAAGGGCACCTCCACTCTTTGAAATAGCTCATGTGTATATGAAGGAATGTTTATATGTCTTATTTTTAATTTAAACATGTAAATAGTTACCAGTGAAAGTACATTTTAAAGAACTATTTAAAATACAGTATTATATTTTCAATATACCCTAATTAGTTTGATGGATTAATTAAAAGAAAACTATAAAGTACTTAATTGAAGTACTCATACTAAATTTTACAAAGTGATTATTTTTGCTTTGCTATCCAACTGAAGGTAAAATTCACTTTAAATTATTGCTTAAGACAGGAATGTTGTTTGCTTATTGTCTGGAGATTCTGGAGGGTAGAGTAAAAGTATTTGGGCAGTTTCCCATGTAATAGCTTTTTCTTAGATTTGTTTTAAGTGCACTATTATATATGCTTGTGAATTGTCAAATGAATATTCACTAATAAAGCCCTTCATTAGGGTGTGAATTCTCTTTGTTACTGATGAAAACAGTGCATCTCATACAAGTTCATCTAAAAGAAAACTCCTTTAAAACTATGATGAGAAGACATGGAATAAGGGTGAGGTCCTTATATCTAAAAGATAGTCTCCTATTTTTTTCTACTTTATCTTTGTGGATACCTTGAAGTTTGTATAATTGATATAAATACAATGTTCAATTCAAGTAAAAATGTTTATTGTTTTGTTTGTGTTGATGTTTTAAACCACATCACTGGCTACTTGTTTCATACTTTGCTTTGCTTTAATGCTTCTACTCATATTTTTCCTAAATTTGTGACCCTGCACACTCTACATTATTTATGTTATTACATTATTACTTAAAAACCCTACTTTCAGAATATAGAATTCTACAACTCATACCAAGACCCTGGGGACAACTACATGACTTATTCTTTGATTTGCTCATGGAACTAACTATGCTGGGCAAAATAGCTGCTTACCTAATCTTCTAAGTTTGACCCAAACTGTTCAATGCCTTCCCATAGCTGGAGTATCACTGTCAATTACATATGTAATAATTTGGGAACCATTCTTTTTTAAGAAAAACACTTGGTAAATCCATTGACACTAGCCAATATTCATTTCAAACAATTCCCTCTGAGAGGATAACAGGTTTATTTCATAGTCTTAGAACTGGCTGGCACTTTATTATTTGGGCACTTTAAATTACTTTCTATTAGGGGTAACCAAATTCTTAATCTTAAAAGAATTTCCACTTTTCAAAGGGACCTGTTCTTCAATTTAACTTACATAATTAACAACAAAAATATTTGTTGTGACGGGGCCCTTTATTTCTGTGGTATCTCTCATTGTTATTTTGTATGTATATGCAATTTTTTAACCAAAAACAGTTATATAAAAGTATGTAAATGAACATTGTATTTAAATGGAGTAATAAACATTTTTAAAGCATGTTTATGATTTTTAAAACCTATGAAAGTGTTTTATTTTTCACATATAGGTCTTTATTTTTCACGTATGGACCTTCAAATTAATCTGTGTATGGAAGATTGACTTATAGAAAGGTGCAAGCCACAGTTTATTTTTCTTGAGGATTTATGGGATATTTAAATTCTACTTTCTAGGCACAAGTCTTTCCTGATTAGAGCCCTAAAATAAGTTATTAATAATAATCAAAACATGAACCTAGTTCTGGCCAACACTATACCAATTGTTTATAAACTACTTTAAAACCAAAATGAAAGCTATTTTTCACTTGGACGGTGAAAATATTGAAGAAACAGAAGTAACAAAAAAAGATAGTGACCTTTTCTAAATTAAAAGTGAACATACAAAGGTTCACATTTTGCAAGGACCTAAGTCCCAAGCCCTTGCCACTTAGCTTCTTTATGTAACCCATCATCTTAGACAGCTTAACACTGAACCTGTACAGGGATTGCTTTTCCTGGAGTCAGAAGAAATACAGTAAAATCTGACACTTTTCCAAGTCAGGAGAAGTTGAAATCCTCATTCTCTATTCTCATCAGTTCCCCAGCCTCAGTGCCACCATTCCAATAACAAGCCAGAACCTGACTCTTTAAAAGTGCATAGGGGCTCTACTTGGTTCTTGCTAATTTGCCAAGGCATTTGGAGTATTCTTAGTACCTTGGCTTTCAAGCAAGAGGCAGGGAGACAGCTGTCTGAGTGGACTTGCTGCTGCAAGCATAGACAATAGAGACAAGTTTCTGCTTGCAGAAGTTTTAGCCTGTAGGAAGAATAGTCCTCCAAATTCTAGCCAAAGTAACACCATTGTGCAACAGGCCATTTAGTTATTCTGTGCCTTGAGACTATGTGCCAGACTTTGGCAAAACAAAGCCATCCTCTCTACAGTCTGACAGTGTTTACTGAGACCTTTGAAATTTCTGATTTAGATAAGGATGGAATGCTCCCAAATTCCGAGTTTCTCTCTAGATCTGGTTTGCTCCTACCCTCTGCACAATGCCATGTGAACTTAGAGCTATATAAAATGAAGCTTGGGGTAGAGGCACCAACTTTGGTGAGTGCAGCTGTTTATGAGGTGAACAATGCTCTGTAAGGAATTCTTAATAAATTTGTGTACTTGTCATTCTGGATTTGATTGAGTCATTCTTTGGTCTGTTGCGCCATCCTAATTCTGAGGCAAGTGTTTATGTCTCCCTAGGAAATTCACCCTACATAGCCAAAGACAAAGAGTAGGGAAGTAGAGGGAAAGGGTATCAGTGTCCGAATCATGGGACTACTGCCTAACTTCCCTTAGAATCCACCATGCTGTGGTAATCAGGGACTGGAAACCAAACTCTATGGAGTACCTTATATGTGTTATTCTAACCCGGGTGTCACTGCAGTTATCCATTTGAATACTACCAATGGAGTGATGCTCTGTAACAACAATGGAGCTGTTTGGGGAGGTGGGAGAGGATAAGAGAACAATGAGTGAATAATACTGGAATACAATGCATTTGTATATAGAGATGGTAGAATGGAACAGCTTTTAGTAAGCTGTTGAAAAACAGGAGTGGAGGGAAAAGGAAAGAGAGAATAAGGGAGGGGGGTTAAACTGATTAAAGTATGGAAAACCCCTTTGAACCATGAACATACACTAAAAAATTGAAAGTCAGGAATGTGTATCAGGTCCTGTTAGGGCGTAGGTACCAATGAGAGACGGGAGGATAAGTGGAGAGGGTGAAGGGTGGTAAAATATGATCAATGTACTTCATATACTTGTATGAAAATAGAACAATAAAACCTGTTGAAGTTGCCTTAAGAAGGGGGAAGGGAGATGAAGGAGAATGATGGAGGGGTGGAATCTTACCAAGGCACATTGTAGGCATATACAGAAATGTCACAATGAACTCTCCCTACGACTAATATATGCTAATAACAATGTTTCAAAAACAGGGTAATGTTACCATTTGTTTATGAAAATAAAAAAGTGTGATAAATACTCTATTAGAAGTATTATGGGAAAATAGAAAATGTTTACCTGACCAGAAAGTGGAGGATCTGTGAGGAAGGTAAAAATCAAAACCAAAAACAAGGTAATTTTTAAATACTGAAGTTTGGGACTACTTCCTGTTCCTTGAGAGCTTAATATTAGTATATATGGGAGAAAGGTAAATGATTAAAATGCAAGGTAAATATACGTGAATGTATTTACATAGCATTTTATATGAAATGAGAAATTATAAGGCCAATAAACTTTGGGGGGTTGTTATAAGAAGGAGAGATACTTCAAAGACCAAATATCTTACAGGTTAAGAAATGTAAAGAGAATCTATTACTTTATGTATATGATAAGAGATTTTTCCCATCTCATTATAAATAAGCCACAAGTAACGAATTCATATTTATTTACTTTATTGCAGTACTGGGAATTGAACCCAGGGCCTCCTGCTTGCTAGGCAAGTGCAGTTACTTTCAAAAGCGAAGTTAAAAAAGGGAAATGTTCTGAATTAGAAAGACTGAGGACTGAATTCCCAGGTCAGCATTTACTAGCTCAGTTCACAGGATGCCCAGATATCCAGAAGACACTTTTCCTCATCTATAAAATTACAAAAGCAGTATACCCGCCTTGTGGAGGGAAGAGGATAAAGTGAGGCTGAAGATCTCGTGCCTCTCCCCACGTGAAGTCACCGGGCCTTGTGTCCACGGTAATCGGGTGAAGTATGTTATCTTTCATCACCGTGAGTTTGGTGAGCAGCAAGAGGGCCTCAGGGCAGCCGTCTATTGTGTAATACGTCAGGAACTGCACACTGGCAAACTAATCAGCGATAAGAATAACGCAAGGAAATAATGACCCTTGTTCTTGAGGTCTGCAGATCTGAAAAGCATCTTGTAACTAGGCTATTAGGGTCAGCTGTGTGACCTTTGGCCACAAATCTCACTTGTAAGAAGGGGCCCACCACTCTGTGATCCCCCGTCTCCTATGTAAACTGTCCCTGAATTAACCTCCAAAGCAAGATGAACTTCGGACAAGTTTCCCTCATCTTCTCAATTATCTCTCTTTCTCTCTCTCTTTTTTTTCTTTTTTTCAGTAGTGGAGATTATCGAGCCAGAGCATCATACTTGCTAAGCAGCATTCTACCACTTGAGCTTTTAAAATTAAAATATTATTGTTGTGCTGGGGGTACACTGTGACATTTACAAAAGTTCTTACAATATATCATAATTAATTCACCCCTCCATCATTCATTTATCACTCCCTGTCTCATCCTGAAATAGTTTCAACATGTCTCATTTCTCCGTTTTCATACATGACAACAAAATATTTTACTACATTCACCCTCATATATCCTTTCTTTATATCCTCCCCTTCCCTCCACTGCTACCAAACCCCAGACAGGACTTGCTTTACTTTCTGTTCTCCATTTTTGAAGAAAGGCACTTTTGTTTAAGAAAGGTACACAGGGAGTTTCACTGTGACATTTCCGTGTGTATATGTATTATAACTTGAATTGGTTCATGCCCTTGTTTTGGAGATAGAGTCTCACTAAAGCTGAGCTTGCCTCAAACTCTCAATCCTCCTGCCTCCTCATCCTGAGTATCTGGTATTATAGTCATGCATCATCATGCTAAGTTAACTGGGTGCTATATGTCAGCTTCCAACTGAAGTTGTTTTCCTTGCCTCAGCACTTTTCTCTCAACTTAAATGGACTGTCATGTGGTGACCAGCTGGATTTGGATCTGTAACCAAGAAAATGCATGTGAAATTCTGTGATTTATTTTGAAGCAAGTTCCATGCCATAAGGAATTTCACAATGGACATCAACTTCATTAAAAGGTATTTCTCTAATAACTTGTATCTTACTATAACTCATGGATCTTTGGCATTTGCTCCATCAAACCACAAATAATAAATGGAAAGATGCCAAGGGTTTTTATATAATTTTCCAAACAATCAACTTGAAGACCGAAAAGAATTCACTACCATACTATTAATTTTAATTATATTTCTATTCTTTTAGTAAAACCCATGACCAGATTTGGGTTATAAAATGACCTCAACCTTCTTGTTCACATTATTGCCTTCTTTTGTGGCTCCCTTGCCACTTGCTGATCTATTTTTCCATACTACACTGGTCTAAATTCTATGTCAACCTGTAATAGCAGGGGGGATTTCCTATATTAAAAATAAATGGGATAGGTGCAAAGATTTATCTGTTTTGTTTTGTCTTCAATGACTAAAGTAAACACATTAAGCCCAACTCTGTCACGGTATTAAATACATGCTTAATTGAGTAGTTTGAAAACCAGTGCAATTAGTAACGTTTATGATTTCTTCTACTCCAGAAGTTTGCCTGAAGCTGCTGGTTTCCTGATGATGTGTGCTGTGTTCTCAGCAGGGCACTGTTTCCTGCAGCAGAAGAGGAATGAGATTGTGCTGATTTTTTTTTCTTTTTTTTGTGGGAAGGAATAGGGTTGGGCAGCAGAAGAGTACAACATTGAGGATTAAATTCACTAGATGAAAACTCTTCTGCCTAAGCACAAACTTCTCTCTTCTACATAACTTAGATATATTATTATGAACCTTTCTTTACCTCTGCTCCCCTTCCATCACCAACACAATATGAAGTTTTGGTGTTTATCTATTTCATATCTACTATGCCTGAGCTAGATTATTGACTAGCACAATGCCTGTGGTACAGGATTGATCATGGGAATTGAGTTTCACATTAAAAACTGTGTACAAATTTCTGGACAGTTATTTTTACTTGCAGTAGGAAATTATAAATAACTGAAATATTTTCAGTTTTGTGTGTCTTTGTGGCTGAGTAAAGCTGGGAGTATCATGGTGTTCAATAAACTGTGTGTTTAGCAAAAATGATTTAATTTCAAAGATAAATATAAGCTATATCCAACACAACAGAGTGTCTTCATCGATGTATGTTTACTTCAAAAGTAAACACAAGTGGTATCATATGTGGTAACACCATAAATGAGTTGTATTAAGCTTTTAAGTCAACCCAATCACAGTTTCACTGACTGTTCCCAATTATTTCATACACTTTGATGTTCCATTAGATAATTAGTATGTGTCAATTACAGAGAAATAAAGTATTCATCCACTGACTCCTGACATTTCACTTCATACATTTTCCTTTTAGGTTATTGACTTTACATTAAAGGAAATGGCTTTCCAGGTGTTATTTAATTTCTAAATGTCATAATATAAACCATTCTACAAATTATTGAACATTCTGTCAAATAACTTTTATGCTTTCAAGATAATGTACATAGGAAGAAAGAAAAGTGACATGACTTGAAGCTTTGACTGAAGGAGATTTTTATAGCACATGTATACATTATGGAGAATGTAAGGAAATAGTCTATCTATATCTTTAATTACTAGTTGGAATCCTTGTATGCCTGTGGGACATTCTCCCTTGTAAATCTAAAGGCAGGAGATTAATCTTTTCATTGTGTATGTCAGATTCAAAGAGGTTGGAAGCAGTGCTCTTGGTCAAGAGTCTGCTCACATCTCCTAGTGATGTCACATTATTTAGTCTCTCTCTGTGTCAATGCTCTCATATATAGAAAGGTCTGAAAATACTGTCACACATTGCTCCTCACAATTGTGAGGAACATATTCTTTTCAAATGCTCCTTATCCTTAGCTCTAAAGTAACTTTAAGTGCTTTTTATTTGTTGATAAGGGGAAGGAGCGCTTTGAAAGTTGAATCTCACAGGTGGAACCAATATTCTGATTATTCATTCCGCTGAGTTACTTGACCAATATCTCTTCTTGTCGATTATTGGTTATCAGTGAGCAGGAGACCTAATAACTTGGAAGCCCATCAAACCAATACTTTAAATATCTGTTTACACTTATTTAGTTGGGCTGAGTGAAACTGACTTTGAGTTAATAAAAATAACATGAAAAAAATTTGGCCTTGGTTTCATTTCCAGTAACTTGGATAATGATATGGGGGAAGGCCACCTACTAAAAACTAAGAAGCTAGAAAAGAGAAGGGAAAAAGATGAAAACAGGCTTCTAAGTTTATCAAAGATCTGGTAAGATGTTACGGAATTGTGAGGCCAAAATCAAGTGTGAGAGTGGGAGCACAAAGATGTGAGCAAGAACTAAATCTGTTGTCTTGTGAGTATTTGCTGAACTTTGGAGATTTGGGTTTCCATTCCCCCACCCTTGAAAGGATTGGAGGGCAGAGAAAAAAATCC